ACTTTGTCTACTCTTTTTCTTCAAATGACCCATGGGGAATGAAATGGTACAGAGAGAGAGAGAGCTTTTTCCGCCAAGAGAAGAAGAAAAGTACAACAAAAAGTATAGAAAATTCCCTCCCCCCCCTCTTTCTCCTTTAAAGAAAACTTGCCAAGTTAAAAGCAATTTATTGCATGAATATCTCAAAATGCAACGTCAAGAAGTAAAAATTTTTTTTTTTTTCAGAAAACTTCAGCAAAATTTAAATATCAGAATATTGTTTCTTTCATCTTTCAAAATTCATCAATTGAATAAATTTTTATTTTTGATATTAGAAAAAAAATTTTTTGTGAATTTTTAAATAAAATTAGTTTTTTGTATTTCATAGTAGTTTTTCGGCCACTGAAAAAAAAATTATTATTGATTCAAAAAAATAATTTAATTTGCAATTTTCTTAATTCAAGAAAATTTATAATTGAAACTAGTAAAAATTGCCCTATCAGGACCCTAGTAGGGAATGAAACGCTGATCAGGGGTACCAGAAAATGTGGATTTCCTAATTAGGGCTACATCAGGCGCGGCGTTTAATTTCCTAATAGGGCAACCTGATCCAGCCCCGATCTGGGCCCTGGCAAAATTTCTACACGGGTTTCTCGATATCAAAAAAATATTTTCTTGATTCAATACAATTTTTCCAGTGTGGTAGAAAAAGAAATTAAAAAATGAATGAAAATTGATTCGAGAATAAAGAAATTTTAGAATTTTGTATCAGAAATGAAAAGAATTTTGATGTTTTCTTTTTTGAGGAAAAACAGCTTGAATTATTAAAAAAAAAAGAAAAAAACGATAATCGTCAGCTACCTGAATAGAGAATGAATTGTATAAGCAAAGAAAATTGAGCGTTGGCTTTTGAACGAACGAAAAAATAAAAACGAGAGAGGCTTTTAACAAAGGGGTTGCGATTCGTCGTTCCGCGAGCTATAGCCAATCAGTTCTTCGTACTTTCGAATTAAAATCCGGAAATGAATAGTGCCAGTGGCAATAATGGCCGCGCCCCTGTGTACAGTCTTTCTTTCTTCTACTTTTCTCTTTATTTCAATGTCTCTCTTTCTCTCTCTCTCTCTCTCTCTCTCTCTTTCCTTCTCTCTCCTTCTCTTTTTTTTCTCTCTCTCTTTTTCTCTCTTCGTCGGCAAACGAATCGTCCCCGTGGGGCAAATTGTTTCGCATAAATCCTTTATAGATCGTAAAAGTGCTCTCGTTCCCGGTAATGGGGCTTTCGCTTCTTTGGGAAGTTCCAACCCCCCCCTTTCACCCCTTTCACCAATTTCGAAACGTTTAATTTGGACCCCTGGTCCAATTCTCATTTTCAACAATATAAAGTCATAAAAGTGCGCGCGGAAAATAAACGAAGGCAAATATTGAACTCGTCACGTGGCGCGCGCGCGGCTATAATATCCAGTATAGCTAATATTAAAAAACCGGCCGATGGAAACGTTTTTTTTTTTTTTTTTCCTTTTTTCTTCTTCATCCCTCTTTGCATATATCGTTGTTTTCATTTTCATGTCGAGCAGCTGGAAAAGCCCTTCACCACACGCGCAACTTCATCACTATTATAACTCGACATTTTGATGAAGAGGCGATATTTGAAAGAGAGAGAAGGACAAGAGTCTCTTGGTCGCGCACTATGCTATCGATCATTGTGTGCTCTTTTTTTTTTTTTTTTTTATTTTAGGCTCACACAAATGAGAGTTGGCAGAATTTCCACAAATAGTAAATGCGAGTGTACTTTTTCATGAACAAAAAAAAAAAAAAAGAACAGCCAAATAACGAGAGCATTTCACGAAAAAATTGTAAAGAATCGTGAACGACTGTTATAACAAAATGATAGAACTCTACTGAATGTCTACAAGAGATATATGATAATAAAAGGAATTTATTTTTTTACTATTTCTTTTTATAGTTCAAGAAAGTTATTTCTAAGTCGACAAATTTTTTTTTTTTTTTAGTAAATTTGGCACAATTTTTCGAAAATTATTGGCAAACAGTAAAAAAGTACTTCTCCAAAAATAGTTCACCTATCAGAGAAATATTTTTTTTTTTTGTATTTTATTTTAGGCATATTATTAGAATTAATATTATTGTTATTATTATTATTATTAGAATACTAGAAACTCAAAAACCCTGATAAAATTTAGTCTGGTTTTAATAAAAGGCATTCACATATAAATAGAAAGTGCTTAAAACTTTAAACCCGACAAATTGGGCTAAAGGCACGTCGCGTTCTTCTGTTACATTGCCATTGTTTGACACAAACAAGCACCTACTATATAAGGAACGCTGCGGCAAGCATACTTGAACCGATAATCTAATTAATCGACCCAAACCGTAACAAAGAAGCTGATCCAACTTCAGACTACTCGTGATAACGGATTCTAAAGGAGGTCGAATATACTCGACTCAAGAGAGAGAGAAAGAGAAAGAGAGAGAAAGAGGAGAATTATTATCCCTCAACCAAACACAATGTTATTCTTCTCATATAACACAAAATCGCGAATTTCACTTCAGATGCTGTTCGATGTGTCATTTTCTTATCTTAAAATTGCGACACTCTAAAAACAATATTTACTTTATACAATAAATAAAATGTTTTTCTGTAACAAAGAAAATACTTTTTTGTATAACAAGAAAAATAAAATATTATTTTTTGTTATATTTTCGAGAAAGTAATATTTAAATTTTGTTCCTTTAAAAAAAAAAAAATAAATTTTTTAAATCCAAATAATTACATTCAATCCGCGAATATTAAAAATTCCGTAATGACATGTGAAAAATGAATTTTTTTTTTTGAAATGCAGAATACGTTATATACACGATATTAAAATTTCATTCAACAAAATTTCCGCACGCTTTTTAAATATGAATAAACATTGTGAAAATATAAAAGTCAAATTCAATGTTTATATGCATATTCAAAAAAAAAGCATTCTAAAAATTCTTTTCTTCCAACAAAATTACAGTTTCTCCCATATATATATATTATTCCAACGAAAATTTATTTTTCAAAAGAAAAGAAGTTAATTAACAATTTTTTTATATTATTATTTTATTATTGCAAAATCATTTTTCAAAATATTCTGAATAAATAATTTTATTTATAATTTATTTACTTATTTACGTATTTATTAATTAATTAATTTCTTTTGCCGAACAGTAATAATCATTTTCGATATATAAAAAATTGATATAATTTCCCAAAACAATAAATTTAATTAAATTCCTCATCACTCATTATAAATGTATGTGCGAACAAATAAATTTTAATCATCATCCCTTCGAATCTAATAATTTTCGCAAGCTCTTATAATATAAAATCAAGCATGCAAATTCCTTATAGACGTAAATTCTGAGCGATCAAGACAAGTTTTAAGGGAGTCTCGTAAAACGCGCGAGTACGAGAATTAAATCGCACTTAATAACACAGACAAGCCCTTCCGGTGGTAATGAAAGTTAAGCTCGACCGCTTTATAACTTAACGACGTCGTATGCGTGTTCGACATCCAAGAGAGAGAAAGAAAGACGTACACATTTAGAATAATTAGCGTAGTCAGAATTGTTCAATTAAGGCAAAATTTGGCACCATTAATTTTAAAAGCATTTTCAAATCAAATATTAAATATTGTAATCTGGGGTCAAAGTTCACATATATATATATATATATAAAGGTGTCAACCCGATGACGTTCGACTATTCTTCGTCAATTTCCTGATTCTCAAGAGACTATCGTGTTTCTTGACTCAAACACCTTCCCGCAATCCGATAAAGCACAACTCTATCCTTTGGGGACTTATCGATCTAGGACATCAAGCCGCTAGGTCTAAACAAACGACACTCTCTTTGATAAATATATATATATATATATTTCCCAGGAACTATATCGCGAAAGATTATATATGAACTTTTTGAAAAATGATATTTTCACAATCCGCAAAAGAAAACTCAATATTTCTTTCTGTTTTCGTTCTTTGTTCAAAAATTTTCACGAAAACAGCAAGAAATTATTCAATCTCAGTCCAAATTTCGAATAATTACAAAACCAATATTTTTTAAAATTATTTGACAATCATTTGATAATTATTTGATAATTATTTGAAGATTTTTACTAATAATTACAATAAGATCTCATATAGCGTCGATCCAAACTATAATCGATCCTAACTATCAAAAATCCAAACTGTCATTGATCCAAATTATCATTGATCGTAACTATCATCGATCGGAACAATTATTGATTCGAACTATAATTGATCCTGACTATTATTAATCCTGACTATCATTAATCCTAACTATCATTAATCCTAACTATCATTAATCCTAACTATCAAAGATCCAAAATAACATTGATCCAAACTACCAATGATCCAAACTATGATAGATCCAAATTATCAAAGGTCCAACCTATCATTAATCCAAACTATTAATGATCCAAATTATCATTGATACAAACTATGATAGATCCAATTTATCAGTGATCTAAACTATCATTAATCCTAACTATCATTGATCCAAATTATCATTGATCCAAATTATCAGAGATCCAAACTATCTTTAATCCAAACTTTTCATTTAAATTATCTGAAATCCAAATTAACATTGATCCAATCTATCACGGTTCCAAACTATCAAGGAGACAAACTATTCTTGATCAAAACTAACAAAAATCCAAACTAAATTCTAAATTGTATTAGAGCTGCGCTTTTTGGTGGACAGTAAGGTATAATTGAGGTACAATAACTGTCCCTCAAAAAGTTCAGATGATGACTTAAACTATGACTTGGATCGAAAAATAAAGTCAAAAATTACATTTATTTATTCTACCTTAAAATTTGACGTCTTAATTTTAAAATGAGATTAAAAAAGAGAAGATAAATATGAGAAAAGGGAATAGAAAAAATAAAATTAGAATAGAAATAATAAAATTTTCAAAAATCGATTCTAAACAGAAAAAAAACTTTTTTTTTCAGGAGCTGATTATCACGCCAGAGAGTGAAAAATGGCTGACTCCAAGAACGAGTTTAATTTCAGTGAGCAACTGCCGTTCGGTGTACCTGACAAACTCAAGTTTAATTCACCTTGAGGCTCTGCGGTTGGTCGAGTTGGTAAACGTGGCTAATTTAACCCTGGAGCGTCAAAGCTTCGAACTATCACCACGTTGTACAGACGTGAAGATCACTGTTCGTAACAGTAGCATCGATCTACTGTCCAGTTTCACATTTCGCGGTGACATCAAGACGATCATGTTCATGGACGTTAGAATAGGTCTAATGAGTTCCTTTGCATTTGCAAATTTACTCAATACCGATACAATAAGACTTGAGGATTGTAATATTGAAAATATTGAAGCGCATGCATTTAAAAAATTTGACGTACAAATATTACATGTAATTAGAGGAAGTTTTCGTGGTATAATACCAAGTCGAACAATGAATGACATTGAAGTTTATCAAAGTTTTATGTTGGATGGCGTTAAAATGGAAACATTGAGAAGTTTAGCGTTTATTGTGAAAAAACCAAAAACTGTTGCTATACAAAATTGTATCTTTGATAGTGTTGAGGGTGAGGCATTTGATATTAGCGTTAGGGGTCCGGTGATTATGAAAAATAATACATTTGCAAATTTGGCAATGGGTGCATTTTTAGAAATGAAAGCCGATATGGAAAATAGATCACGTGGTACATCATTGGGTAGTCTTTATGATTTGATATTTAAAAATAATACATTAAAAACATTTGAAGAGGGTTCGTTGATATTTGATAGAAGTAGTTTTCGACCTGAGATTGATAATCTTTTAGTTGATCAAACGTGTGATTGTGATCAATTATCAAATTGGAAGAGTGATATTCTTAATTATACTAATGTTTATTCGAGGTTAAATACAAAACAAGATGAAATGTCATCGGCAAAATCAGAACCAATTGGTTCAGAAATATTTCTCTGTATTAATGGAGCTAATAATTCGCCAATAACATTTACTGATTATGAAACAAGAAATTGTGCATTGAGTAATTCGCTAATAATACTTATAGTGGCTGCTGTTGGAGTGATTATTTTATTGCTGATAAGTGTGTGTTTGATTATTTGGTGCTGTCGAAAGCGTCGTCAGACAAATAGAAAAAGTTGGATAAGTGTTCCCACGAGTGCTCCAGACGTTGTCTCGAAAAAGAATGGCGTCATCAGTAAAGAGGGAAGTGGATCGAGTGCACCGGTGGACAGTCGGATAACGATGGTTGTACCGGATGGGAGACTTTACCGTGAAACAGAATTTCACGTGATTGTCGAGAAAACGGAGCCACTCACAACGGAATTATAACGAGAGCCTCCACGGGCTTCCGGCTCAAGAGATCCGTACGTGCCACCGGAAGACCTGCATTTTCGCGTTTATAAACTTTGAAAAATAAAATAAAAAAAAACAGGCGCGTGCAACAAATAAAGAAACCTGATTTTAGCTTTAAGTGAAATGTGATGATCTAGTCATCACATGTGATTGAAACTATATTGTCTCTCTCATAGTAAAACAATTATGTTTTACCATGGGAAAGATAAAAACAACATTCTATTAATGTAAGACATGAAAACATTTCCAAAAAAAATTTATGCAAAAAAAGGAATGAGAAACAGTTGAGTGAGATTGTATTTATGATATAAGTCTATTATTGTAAATTTAATGAATTCGAAATAGATTTGAAAAAATATAAACAATAGGTTCTGCACTATTGCAGCAATCTGTTTTGTACCAACGTTATAGTAAGGGATATATTTGTATGGATTACGGTTCAATCCATGTCGATATGTATATGTTACGCTACATCAGCGAATCAAACGAATGGCTAGTTTCATTGAATACCCCCGCACTAGTACAAGGCAGTCTGTATAAGCTTCCATTTACATATCAATAACGACGGTCAAGGTTTACCCTCTCCTATCAAATGTTACTTCAGGAGAGCTTATCGAAATCAATGAGGTTGTTGCACGATTGGAAAATAAATACAACATAAAAGAAGAGATTTTATACTTTATAAAAACCAAAATTTATCCCTTTATGCATAAAATTTCTTCTTCTTACATAGCAGATTTTATGTAAAAAAAATTATCAGAACTTTGACCTGCCCTTTAAGGAAATTCTATCGCTTAACTAAACTAGTCAAGAAACTACTTTGTAATTTAACTGTGTTAAAACCCAAAAAAATTAATTTATTCGCATGACTTAAATGTACCCTTTTTTTGAGCAAACCTATTTTTATTTTGTATCAAAAATTTTAATCAATTTCGTAATGTTAAATAATTTGTAATCAGCAATAAAATACTTTTAAAAATCTAAAAAATGAAAATTCTAACTTGAATGTAAGATTATGGGTATAAAGTTGATGGGAATATTATTATATAAGTTGATTATCTTTCTCTCTGTTTTTATAAACATTCGTTTATAGACAATTTCGTGCAACAATCTCGTTATTGGAAAATAGAACCGAAACTGAGCAGAAAAGAAAGTCTTGATGATAATAAAGTTCGCAAGCTTTTCAACCGTTACAGATTGAAATTTCTACCAAGGCACTTTAAACCACTGAGGATAAACGTCAAAATATTCTACTTCAATCCTTTCTTTACTCTTATTATCCAATTGTTCTGGCGCGTAAAATTTCACATAACCAAATTCATTACCTTTTTTTGTTATAGAACCAAATTTTTAAATTTCGTTTATAATTTTTACTTTTTTTTTTTAAAGTAAACAAAACAAATTTGCAAAAATTAATGTACATTAATAGAAAACAATAGAAACCAAACTAAGAAACAAATAAAAACAAATAGAATACTAGAAACATTAAATAGAAAAGTATTGTACTTCGAAATAAAAAATCTCTTTATGTAAATATATTGTTATCGATAAAAAAAAAAATGTTAAAAATTAATTGTCAACTATTCAATTAACTGTTAAGTTTGTGTAATTTTTCATTGCGGATAAAAGCGAAAATTCCCGCACAACTTTTTAAAAATTGTCACACAATCGACTAACTCTTTTTTTGTATTCGAAATAAAGGTAATTAAATAAGAAAGTTCCCACGATAAAAGGAAATTCAAACACAAAAGCAAGTTTTATATATAAAAAAAAAAGGTTTGATCGACCGTCGTTACTTTCTTGGTTTATCGTATAACTTAACTATCGAGAGAGTGCCAGTGCTCGGTATTATTGATTAGCATTAAGGGGAAAAATCCGCGAAAAAAAATGAACAAAGTAATTGAGTTAAAGAGAGAGAAAAAAAACTTCTCTTTTTTTTCTCTAGTTACGTTGATTGCAAAAGAAAGAAAATGTAGGACATAAAAGGAATTTTATCCCGTTCGTTTCATGCGCCTTTAAAACCGCGGGTGCCACTTTAAATCACAAGTGTTTGCGCAGAGTTTTCAGTTTATACCAATCAAAGCAATTACTTGAATGAAATTCGTGCCATTTGAAGTAAGTAATAACGAATAAACTAACAGCAATTTTTTTTTTTTCAAAAAACGGAAATTTCAAACAAAGTCAAAGTAGCATCGCTCATGATAAATATTAATTAGAATTCATTTGACTAAAAATTATTTCCTTTTTAAATAAATTTAACGTAAATATTCGTATTTTTTTAATTGCATTTTTCCTTTTTTTTCAAATAAAAATTTTATTTCATTTGAAATTATTTATTTAAATTTTTAATTCTCTAATGTAATTTTTTCTACTTCAATTTTAGAATTAATTTTTTAATTATGTTCTTTAAAATAATTTAAATATTATAATTTATACCTTTTTTTTTAATTTGAAAAAGTACTTTAATAATAATTTTAATTAAAATAAATTCAATTTTTAATTAGAATTTGAAATATTATTTTTTTAAATTAATTTTTAATAATCAACTCTTTGCAAAAATTTAGATTGAAAAATAAACATATTTGAGAGAGATTTAATACTGTTTGGTTATGAGCAAATAGAAAAAAGCGAAGCACTCTTTTGTAAAACAACAAGAATTTCTTTTTGTTTTTTTTTATACTTAATAGAAAAATGAATGTATGTCATATATATATATAGTATATGAAAGCAGGAAATTTAACAATCAAAAAATAGAAAAACGAAGCAGCTTTTTCATTGCGAAATGAAAGCTATTTCACTAAATGGCGGTTAATGAGAATGAATTTTCAACTCGCTGATTGTGTCTATCTAAATGGGATATTTGAAATTTCGTTGATTACAATATTGAAACTTGAATAATTAAATTAAATTACTTAACACATTCACTATCGAAAATGATCATTTCTATATGTGTAAATAATTAATTTTCACTTTAAAATCTCAAAATTACTTTTCTTTCATAAAATATTATTTTTCATTTTTCATAAAAAAATATATATTTTTTAAAAATCTTTCTTAATCTTTAATTTCTTTTGATTTTAAAAAGACTAGAAACAAATTAATAATCTCAACATTAAAGAAAAGAAACTACAAGACGGCAGAAAAAATCTTAAGAATTTCTATAATAAATGAAAAAAAAATTAACAATTTTTTAATTAAAGAGAAGAATAAAGTTCTGAATAAAGAACGAAATACCAAAGTATATAAAATAAACGTCCATAAAATCTATTTGACTTTAATCAATAAATTTTTTACCATGGAATTGAAAATCTTTTTTCTTCTATTACAATTTTATATATGCGAACGATTTCTATACCAATTTTAATTAGAAAAATTATTTCAAATGAGTTTTTTTTAAAAATAATTTTTGTTCTTTAAAAAAAAAACTGACAAATTATCGCCAATGTACAACTGAATAAATTGAATTTCACTTGTTTTATGATTTACGAGTTTTAGTTACTTCCGGAAAAGTAAAAACACTGGACTTCATTTCCGGTTGCCTAGAGAAGTTCGTTATATACACGTGCAAACTATAAACAATAAATGTGTAAATAGATTTTACGAAATAAACGACTGTTGTATTGTTCCTACATCGAAAATATCGAATTTAATTGGTTCTACGAGTTTTTATGATACGATATTAATCTTCGCGTCTTTTTATCTTCTCGAGGTGTCAGAAAAAGAAAAATAGAGGTAAAAAAAAAAATTTCTAGATACATATAATTAATACAAAAAAAATTTCAAAATACTGTATACTGTGTGTAAAATATTACAAAAAAAAAATTATTATTTGTGTGAATAAAGTAAAAATTAATGACGATAACCCGAGAATCAATTGACGTGTTTTGCGCTCGATTTCATTTTCTAACACTTATATTTAGTTATAATTATCGCAAGTCTGTGATATAACGACAGCTGTACTGTATAATTTAATTTACATTTTATGTCGTACAAGCGACGATAAAACGAAGAGAATAAACGATCATTTAAAACGTTACTCAAGAGCTTTTCTATTCACCTATAATATTTGTATATGAAATAAAAAAAAAATTCTTTTTTCATTCTCATTGAAGAGCAAAGCAATCAAAAAGCAATTTAATTCAACTTGTATTTCTTTTTAAAATGAAATATAAAATTTTATTATACGAAAAAAATAACTTAAATTAAAAATTCAAATTTTTTTAATACCTTACCTATTTATTTATTATTAATTAATATTTGTTTTCAATTAATTAAATTAGAATAAATTTAAATATGAATGGAATATTGTAAAAGAAAAAAAAATCCATAAATGTTAGAAACTCAAAAGAATAAAGATTTGATTTTTAAAAAATGAAATTTTTGCATGTTACGAAATATTTACTCCTCTTATGATTCTCAACTCTTGAGATATTTTATATATTCAAATTTTGTAAATGTATATATGACAGAATCCGAAAAAAAAAGTTTTAACCATTCAATGAAGAAGCGAACTAAAATGATTTTGTCCTTGGATTTTGATTGTCCGTTAAGCAAATATTTGAACGACTGAAATAAACTAATGAGTAATAATAGAAAGACTAAATCAATTTTACACCGAGATGATAAATGTTTAAGTAAATTTTGCCAGAGTACAACAAAATTCACATTGAAAATAATTTACCTCTAGAAAATATTAAACACGATTTCAAATTCCTCTATACGAAATTCTACGAAAATTTCTCTATCCATTTCAATTTTTGTTCAAAATCATCAAGTTACTCACGATTAGTGAGAGGCGATTTTCTAAAAACAATTTCGCTCATTAAAATATTCAACAGAAGAATAATCATCCCTCTAAAAGTAGTAAATCCTAATCCTTTAATTTCTTATAATTCCTTTTTCGCGAATTAATTAACAAATATATTTTATATCCGAATAATTTTTCCCTTATCATTAAAAAAAAAAGGATTTAAAATTTTATCAAATAAATAATAATATAAAAAGTTTAAAAAAATCGTTAATTAATAAATTATTAATTATTAGTTAATAAATTATTAATTAAAAAATTATTAACAAAATTATTATATTATTAAATTATTGAATTTTGTCTTTAATTTTTGTGAATATAAAAATAATGAATAAAGCCGGTGATTTTGCAATTTAAAAAAATATAGAGATATAAAAATAAGATAATCTACATTTAAAGAAGGGCACTTACCTGAATGGAAGAACGCCATCGAGAGCCTGGGATACCGACGGTGGAGTTTCGAGGGCGAATCCACGTCCAAGAAGAGCTGAGTGAACGGAGAAAATCCTCTTTGCTGTTTCCTGTACCGACTCTAAGTCCTCTTCAATTTCGTCAGCTGCAAATAATAGAGGATTTAGAGATCACAGAAGATTTCTAATCAGGTTTAAATAAAAAGAAAAAAGATTATATAAAGAATGACAAAGAGTCGAAACGGAACTTTTACTCTTTTTTCTTTTTTTTTAACTGATGATATCTCCAAGACGATAAGAAGCCAGTAAAACAGATATTTAATTTTACAATTTCAGAATAATAATTCAATTATTGAAATAAATGATAATTAGATAAGTAAATTGAATAATAATTGAATTATTAAATTCTAATTATCCATCTAATTATTAAATTATTAAATTATTAAATTTAAGAATAAGACTTTTTTTTAATTTTCTATTCTTCCAAAAAATTGAGAAAATAATTCAACTATTAAATTATGGAAGGAAAAAATCTATCTTCTTTAAATAATAATTAAATAAAACCAAAAATAGATGAGACAAAAAAAATAATAAATATAAAAAAAAATGAAATATTTTGAAAATTAAACTAAAAATTCAATTTTTTTTTAAATTAAAAACTCTTTCTTGAAATAAATTTACAGTAAAAAAGCACTTACATGACACTGGTGGTAATGTGAGATTCTTCTGCATAAGCCCAGCAGTGCAAGCACCGCCGAGAAAGGCTAATTCCATCTCGAGATTTTTTAGTCCATTGCCGGAAGTAATCCAGTCGTAGCCAATGATGAGACACTTGAAACCGTACGTATTAGATTTGATATCCTTCATGTAATCCGAAGCAGTCTCAAGTGAAAATATCACTTTATTTCCTAAAAATTAATTCAAAATTTTTAATTTATTTCATCAATTCAAATTCTTCCTAAATTCGGTAAATTAAAAAAAAAATTCAACTTACCCGGCAAAACAAATGCATTTTGAGGCCATTGGCAAGGCACATTACTCAATTTTCTGAGAACAGGAAATAATTCCTGATTTTCATCAGTGTTCAAACTTTTGGAAGATCTGTAAAAAAAGAAATAATTTTCATTACTTTCTAGAGAAACAAATTTTTGTAATATTTTTCAGGAATTTTTTTTAAATATTTTTTTTTTCATTTCAATAAATATTCACCTTGAACCAGATAAATCTGGAATAAATATTTGTAAATAATCTTCCGGTTGTGCTGTGCCACATTCAGAAGTAAATTCAACTGTTAGCCATTTTACAGATTCGGGAAATGTGACTTTATATTGTGTAACAGTTGCTGGTTTATAAGGATGTTCACTCTCTAGCCAAGTGTAATGTGTGCTTGTAGTGATAGGTGACGTAAAATGCATTTGCATCTCATTGTCTTGAGAGGCGCTAGATGATCCTGACAAAAGATTTAAAGCAGCAACGTGTGGAAGCATCTCTTGAATCAATGTTAAAATTTGTACTCCACTCTGCAAAAAAAAAAATTAACATTTTTTAAAATGAAAAACAAACATTTTCAAATACAAAACAAACATTTTAAAATGCATAACAAACATTCAAAAAATAAATTTTTAAAATAAACATTTTACAAATTAAAAGCAAACAATTTTTAAAAGTAAACCCAAAAAAGAAACAACTAAAAAAATCATTTTTTTAGTTAATATACTTTAATTTTGTATTTAGAAAAACTTTTTAGTAAAGTTCAATTTGGTTTTTTTTTATAAAATACTTGAGTTACAAAAAAAATCAATCAGTTTAAAAGGAAACTATAATCATTTTTCAAACTTACTCTCGGATCGGAGGAAGCTAAAGGACCAATATGAGCTATAACCAATGGTAAAAGAGTCGTTACAAAAGTGGCATTTCCAAGAATCTCAATGGACCTCATTTCTTCAACTCTTTCACGTGCAAGGGCGAGAATTTCATTCGCACGTTGAATTATTGTTGTCGTCATTGCTAAAATGTACTTTCTCGCCTGCACTTCAACCATTGCTTTACTTGTTTGTTGAACACCTGTATCTTCAGGATTCGAATAGTACAAAATATGAGGTATCTGTCCTCTTGTTTGTGTTGTACCTGATAAAAAGAAATTAATGACGATTAAGAACAAAAAATTAACAATTTATTTTAATAAATATCCTCTTTTTATTAAAATTACTTTTATTTCCTAATATTAATATTAAAATTTTATTTTAATTTATTTAATGAATGTAATATAAATAAATATAATAAATAAATAATGAATAAAGAAATATGATAAATACAATAAATATTAAAAAGTAAAAAACAAATCTATGAAAATAAATAAGAAAAATAATTAAAGTGATAGAATAAACTATTTTAATGATAATAATAAAATAAATAAAAATTATATACGCACCATTAAAGCATAAGGAACAAGCAGTAAAAGTAAAAGTTGTTCCATCAGGACCTTTGACAACACTCAATCCACCATCTCCATTACTTGTTCGTCCACCTCGATTCCTTAATCGAATTGCATATTTAACATTTTCCTTTATTGGTATCGATTTATTAAATTTTAGATCCACAACCTCATCAACGCAATCTTCAGCGCTAAAAGAGCCCCTTATAAAATCTAAGCTCATCCACCGTTGGGTATTATACGGATCGTTTCCAGTATTATTTTGCTAAAAAAAAATTTATTTAACATAAATTTTTATTTTTTATTCTTATTTATAGTTCAAAAAATAATTTAATTTTTATAAAAATTTACAAAGTAACAAAATACAAAGTAAACATTGAAAATCCTAGTTTTTAAAATAGTAAAAAATAAACATTGAATAAACAGGGTTGCCACCAGATTAAATGTTACAAATTCCTGACACTTCTCTGATATTAAAAAACTCTTTTTTTAAAATAATTCCTTTTTTTTAATAACGAATAATCTAATTAATTTTAATTTAATTCTAATAATTTGGAGTTACAAAAAGGAGTTTTCGTTCTATATTTCACTTTTTTCACTAGAACAGAAATCACAGTGCCACATTTCTTAAAAATAGATAGAAATGTGAATTATTTATCGAAAATAGGTGACAAAAAAGTTATAAAAAACTGACATATAAAACCAATTAATATAAAAAATAAAAAAAATATTTTAATTTGGGTAAATTGAATTTTCGATAAATTAAAATTTAAACCAATCAAAATTTAAGTAAATTGAAATTCGAATGATTTGAAACTTAAAATCAATTAAAATTTAGGTAAATTGAATTTTGGATAAATTAAAACTTAAGTCAATTAAAATTTGGATAAACTGAAATTAGAATTATTAGAAACATAAATCAATAAAAATTTTGGATCATTTTAAACGTATGTCAATTAAAATTTGGACAAATTGAAATTCGATTAATTTTTAACTTATGTCAATAATAATTGATATTCGATAGATTAAATTTTGTATTTGATTAAAATTTTAATTAATAAATTTTTGACCAATAAAAACTAGAATTGATAGAAAGTTGAAGGAATTTAAATTAAAATTTAGATTTAATTGAAATTCGGATGAATTAAAACTTGAACAGATACAAACTTAAATTTTGGATTAATTGAATTAATAGTTAATTTAAATCAGAATGAATTAAAATTTAGATCGATTGCAATTTTAATTGAAAAATGCTTCAATTAATTTAAATTTATTGAAATTTGGCCTAAATAATTTTTAAATTTATTACAAATTTTGATGAATTCAAGCAGAATAAAATCAATTAAAAATCCAATTATCTATTATTATCAGGTATACTTATATTGATGTAAACAAAAATTATTTTTATATGTTTAAAAAGCCAAAATGTCGATCAATACAATTTTTCAAAAAAAAAACTTTTTGAGTTTTTTAAATTAATCAAAAAAACACTTTTTTGGCAAAAAAAAATTGATTTTTTAAAAGGTCTAAGTTACATCAATGTTTTTACATTGTAAATTTAATTACTTTTTAATTATGACATTCGAAAATTAATCAAATCATAAAAAAGGTGACAAATTATCAAAATAGGTGAAATAGATGACAAAATTTTAAATAAACAAAAAGGTGAATAGACGATGATAACTTATCCCTTGTCGATGCAAAAATGTTTAAAAAAAATTTTACTCTTATACAGGAAATATAAAATTGACTTTTTTATAAATTTGTTCAATTTCTCAAATTTCCCTGCAAAAAAAGTTTTTTCCCAGACAAAAAAATTTTCCCTATCTTGTAGCTAGCTTGATAAAAAAATAATAGACAATTTAATTTCTCAAAAATAATAATACTAATAATAATTAGTTACTCACGCCATCCAACAGTTCCAATTCATAATCATATCCTCCAACTCCACCATAAACACCAACACCGGCTATTGTAATTCCAGGTCTATCCACAGAAAAGCAAATAGCGTCCGCAGCTCCATTTCCTGTATTCCATGATCTCGTCTGATTTACTCTAGCGAATCTCGAGGGTGTTGTGTATAAAATTCGCCCGCAAGCTATTTGAAATTCATCCTCTGTTCCATTTGATTGTGCGGCTAATTCGGCAATAACTTTTGCCAATAAATGACAACAATGAAGCACAAGATCAGGTAACGATTGACAATTTTCATCGCAAAGATTTCTTTTCACTGGTATTAATGTTAAATCCAATAGACGATCGAGAACTTCACGAAATGACCAATTTAACGTTTCATTTTCTGTACTCTCAATTTGTGATTTATAATTTATTTGTTCAACAAGTATTGGATAGTGATGTGATTCAGTGGAATTCATCATTAATAAACTTGCATTATCGGACGGGCTCAATTGACGTTTTATACTGTCACTACTGTCAATGACATTATTCAAAATTGGAAATGTTGTTCTTAAACGAACAGTCGAATTGCAAAGTGAAGCGAGAACAGCCGAAAGAAGACGATCTTTTGACGTTGTACCTTGTTCCTGTAAAAAAAAAAGAATATGCAAAATTGTTTAAATTCTAATTTTTTAAATTTAAATTTGAAATTTCTTTTACCTTATCGATCTCTGATAAAAGTTCACATAAGGAGGTCCATTTTAAATATGCAGTGGGATAAAATGCATGATAACAGGCGACGAAAGTTTTATGACACTCGTCCAACACTGTATTTGTCATTTTTATGAATAGCTGACTCGAACCTAAATAGAATTAAAATTAAAACATTTATATTGTTTATTTTTATACTTATTTTGAAAGTTTAATAAAACCAAATCGTTTTTAGTTAAAATACTCACTTTTATTGGACCGTGTTTTACTCTTGCCTTTTTTAGTGACGCTTATTGTGTCCGAAAGAATTTGTTGAATCAATGCACGTAGTTCTACTGTGCATTCTGCTAGTTTCACAGATTCGGCTGGTGCTTTCTTAACAACTGCGATAAACATAAATAAATAATAAATAAATAAATACAGTATGAATTAATTATAAAGAAATAAAAAATATACCTATATTTGGATAAATTTCATTGGTGTACGTTCTGAGTAATCTCAAACTTGCTTTACTGATATAAACAAGTCTTTCCAACTCCGAGATGGCGAACGATGTTACATTGGCTGTTGAATTTGCTAAACTTGCTTTTAATGTATTCCAACTCCATTGTAAAAGAGAAATTAACGATTTAAAACACTCCTGCAAAAAAACGTATATTTATAATAATTAATCATAATTTTCTCTTTTTTTAAATCTACTAAAATGTCTACGATCTTTTGAAATCTTTTACCTTGCTAACAGTTTTACTAAATTCTTTACTAAGTATATAAACAGGTTCAATTTGGTCTTTTTGCGTATTTGGACTCTGATTTTCAGGCGCAATAATGCGATAAAGTAATTGTGGAATTTGGCCAGCGTTAACATCCGTTCCATTGTTTGATCTTTTCGACGATTTAAAATTGAAGACTATCCTGAAAATTTATAAAAAAAACATATAAAATTGTAATTCTGAATATTATTATACTTCGAAAAATAGATATAATAGTTAATAATTAATAATAGTTAGTAATAGCAAATAATAGTTAATATTGAAAATAAAACTAACTGATCCTCGGATGTAACTACAACTTGTCCTCCTGAACCGCAATCACTTGAAGGTCCACTAACTCTGGCCCAAGCAACGTACCATCTGTTTGCTTGTAAATTAACTGGTTCATCAAATAAAATTGCACTTTTCTGCCTTGGTCCACATTCATATGGCATTTCTTCCGTTTCCGCCAAAAGATCTCCGTCAACTTCCTGATCGCCACCATCCAAACCGATATCAAAGAGCTGTTCAATTAAAAAAAAAAAGTAAAATATATATATTTTTATTCTCCGCCTTCAATAATTAAAAAAAAAATTAAATCATTTACAAGTAAAGTCGAATTATAATTTAATTAATTTTTACAAAGTTAAATTGTATAATTAAAATATTCTGCCTTTAACTATAATTGCATTCAACTTAATTATAAATTCAAATTTCAAGGTAATTAATTTACCTTGATTCTTGCGGCATATTCCCCACGTCCACCGAATAATCCATAACCACCTAAAAGGATGTCAGTGTCTACCATAAATCTGATAGCCTCAATTGAATGTCCGGAATATCCCCATCCTCCGCCATGATCTGTAATTAGTGATTCATTAAATTACACTCCTGCAATCAAATGTTCAAATTAAGAATTAAAATTTCAATGAATTTTAAAATTTATATGCATCGGAGATGAATGTCAAAATTGTGTCAAGTCAATGATTTTTTAATCTGATTAATCAAAATATTTCCAAAGATGTAAAAGATTATAATTTGATCTTATTTCATACAAATTTTTTCCCTATTCATTTTTCGCAAACATATTTCGAAATTTATTGAATAAAAATAAAAATATCTTTTCAATTTTGGTAAGAAAAAACATTATCTTTGTTGTAAAATTAAAAAAAAGACATTCTAACCCCAAAATTAAAAAAAAAATTTGTTGAAAAAACTTAATAAACATTTTTTAGAATTTAGTAAATTATTTGCTTACTATTTTCTTCTAATCCTTAATTTTCTGCAGGTTTATTTATATTTACAATCACAACTTAACAGAAAAAAAACATGAAAATTTAAACAATTTAACAATTAACCGTTAAAATGTTTAACAATCTACGTGAACTTGTTTGATCGAAATAAAATCAGGCATATAGCAATAACTTCACTTTATACATAATCTGAAATTTTCATATTTTCAATAATGTTTACTAATTATTCACATTTTACGTCATATTTAAAACTTTGTTAAAAATAAATGATTCTTCTCAATTTGAATGAAATTATGTTAAAATAAATATTCCATAAAAATTAGAAAATATGATATTTTAACCTCAAAATTATAAATAAACTCTATTATAATAAAACCAAATCATTGTTTTTTAGAATTCGATAAATTATTAACTTACCACTTAAATGAAACCCTTTATTTTCTCTACATCTATTTATTTTTCACTGAAAGTCACAATTTTGTACCATAAAAAAAGGATGATTTAGACAATAATTTTTGACAACCGTTAAAATGTTTAATATTTTGTATACTGATGTGAACTTGCATCAATTACAAGCGCGGTAAAAATTAACATGCAAAATTCAAATATATCGATAATAGAATAAATCGAAAGACTAATATGCAAATAGGGACAACTTCACTTTGATAAAATTCGATAATTTCTTGTATTTTAATCAATTTTTCTCTTATTAATCCCATTTTATAATCTCGTTTAGAAGTTTATTAAATAAAATAAATAATTACTGAGACCATATGACGAAACTTTTCATATTAGTCAAGAAAATTAGCAAAATATAACATTCTAACCTCAAAATAAAAAAACCACATTTTTTTGCAAATATTTAATCAATCGTTAGTAGAATTTGATAAATTATTATCTTACCGGATAGTTGTAATCTTTTATTTTCGTCAGAACTATTTATTATTGTAAATGGGAATCAAAATTGTAAAGAAGAAAACAATAAAACTAGAAGCCAAAAGTTAACTTATCATTTCGACAAAAGCCGCCAAGAATGCAAGAACTCGAAATCAATCACGTGACTTCTAAAAAAATGGCGGGCATTTCAAAAATGATACAAATCAATAACTAATTATCCAACGTTTGATATATAAATAAGATGTTTTTTTATTCTTTCAAAAAAGAAAATATTAAAAAATATTGTTTATTAATAAATTATTACTTTATATTAAAGAAAGAATAAAATTAACTCATTAATAAAAATATTTGTATTATTAGGTAAGTTTTTAATTTGACTTCAGTGAGAAAACTGATCACGTGACTATTTGAAAAAGTGGCGGGCGTTTTCATAATGTAATAATGTTCAGTAACTTTATTTCTTTCTACTTTAATAATGAAAATTAATTTATTTTTCATTAATTAATTAAGATTTTTAAGTAAAAAAAATTGCAAACTTACCTTCTTAAAATTGTAATTCATTTTAAAATTCAAAATTTCGGATAATTATAAATTTGTTGAATCATTGACAAATATTTTTGCAAATTTGCAAAAAAAATTTAGTTATTTTTAAAAATTTCCCGATTTATATTATATATCTTTTTTTGTATTTAATTAGTGTAATTTTTTTTTGTACTTACTTTCAAATCGGCTAACTGTCACGAAATCTTCTCGATTGTAAATTTTGTTATGCGTCGATTGATTACTATCACTCTCTTCCATAATTGTCAATTTATCATCTTGAGTTTGTGTGAGCGTGTCTAAACAAGACAATAAATGAATTGCCGCCTGAGAACGTGTCACAAAACAATTTGGCACAACTGGCAATGCAAGTCCAGGATTAAGTATAGACATTTCCAAACTTGGAATCACTTTTGAATCCGCAGAAATTATATTATACGATGATATTTCATTAGTTTCCGAATCAAAGGTCCAAATAACGTTATATAATGGATCCAAATTAGCTGCACAACGACTAAAGTCAACTTGATCGTTTCCACTGAAACTATTACAACTGCCATCGCGTTTATCGATAACCAAACATTTTAATGGATTCGAATGATCGCTCTGATGTGGAATTAAAACTGAAAGAGAATTTTTTTTTTTTTAATACTAAAAAATACTAAATCTACTTTTTAAAGTTATTTTTAGTGAAATAAAATATAAATAAAAAAAAATTATTAAAATATTTAAAAAATCTAATTTTTAAATAAATATTGAAGATAAATTTAAAAAAAGGACTTACTCATGCAGCTTTTATTTGCCACCACGTTGCTTTTAGTTAAACTGATAAAACTAGTCTCATCGATTTTAATGTAGGTTTGATCTCCGGAAGCTCCAACCCAAGTCGCTCGTCTTCCCCATTCACAACCAATATTTGGAACTTGATTTGGAAAACTGTACCAAGGTTGAGATTTTTCCGATCTGAGACTTGTTTGCGAGATATTTCCGTCTTCAGTTTGACTCTCTTCTTTCATACCCAGCTGTCCTTTCTAAAAATCAATAAAATTAATTTAAAAAATAGGAAAATAAAAATTTTTATTCATAACTAAGACTTTATAGTCTTATCTTTTCTTTCATAAAAAAATATGTACCTGATAAACGCCAAATGTATAAACTTCTCCATTTACTGTGAGGATTACAGTATGATTACTACCAGCCGCGACATGAGAAGCAGCAATTGGTAATTTCACATGAACGAGTCCTGCATGAGTAAGCAAATCACCAGCTCCAAGTTGTCCGTGAACATTACTTCCAAATGTATAAACCTGACCATTTTTCAAAAGAATAACTGAAAAACAAATGAAAAATATAAATAAATATTTAATCATTTTATTTCAGAATTTTAATTTTATAAAATCAATTAGAATAAAAATTATTTTTACCAGTATGATGTAAGCCGCACGACACTTGGACAACAGGAACATCATCGAGAATAGGAACTCTCGCTGGTGGTATATTTGATATTCTTATGGTATCGCCTTTTTCTGCATCGCTACCCTTATCACCTTTCTCAGCATCACTACCTTTTTCTCCTTCATCCGGCAAAAGATAAGATACTCCTGATTGTAAACGGGTTACGGTAATTTTTTGAAATTTCTCCCCTTTCTCAACATCATTTCCCTTCTCACTCTCATCTGGTACAATATTAAATACTCCCGACGGTAGTCGAGTCACCGTTATTGTTTGTATATTCACCCTAGGTCCAGCTGCAAAAAAAAATTAATATGCAAAAAATTACATTCTCAAATTATTATCAAAATAAATTAAAATTAAACAATTTAATCTTATAAACTATTTAATTACTATTATTAAATTATTTCTACTGTTATCAATACTAAAATTACAATTTACAAATTACCTGATCTTTGATTATTGGCGCCCTTCAATTTTCCGACATGTTTACCAGAACTCGAGCCAGATTTTGCTCTATGTCGTTGTTTTCTTTCCTCCAAGCGTTTTCGAAGATATTCACGAATACTAGAACTAGCTTTTCCTGTTAAATGAAAAAAAATAAATTCATAAATATAATTTATCTACAAAATGTCACCTACCAGATCCTAGCCAGCTTTTCGTGATAAAAAGCAATGATAATAAAAAAAACAAACATTTTCCTGTAATTCAAAATCATTTTTGTAAAATAAATTCTTGAAAATGAAATCAAAATAAAGGAAAATTAACTTTTAAAATTAATAAAATGGAAAAATTAGGAGAAAATAAGTATAAAATTATAATAATAATAATAATAATTAAAAACAAAATCAGCCAGACCGAACCTGGTAGATGACTACCTTCAATAATCATATCCAAACGAATTTTTCCCAAATCACCACCTCCTGATGGTCCAAGAACTGCCATTTCACCACCATTGTCACAATTTTCACGTGCACAAATACGACAACATCCACACACTGCACAACCAGAATCACCTTCTCCGCAGCCACATTCTCTGCAAAAAAAAAATTAATCAGAGTTGCTACTAAAATTTGCAAACGAAATTTAAGGCTTTTCCACGGTTTTTTTTACCGATTTTAAAACAAATTTCAAGGTTTTTTAAATTACAGGGCTCGGATCGAATTTAAGGCGCGAAAATAGTCGTTTTAATCAATTTTTTAATTTAATTAAATTTAATTAGTTAATAAATATTTTACTTTAAATATCTAATGTTATTGAATATTATTTAATTTATTTTTTCATTTCTTAATAAGAATAATTGAAGGCGTAACGAAATTCACATCGTTTTCCCAGTTTCCAAGGTTTAATTTTTCAATTTAAATCTTTATCAAAATTACATCTAAATTAAAGGAAATAAAATTAAATATTTGAACTTACTGTCCTGGATTTCGGTCAGGTCGGATACTACTGAGACATGATATACTGTATCCTGTGCACTCACGACAAACTGTACACACCATACAATCTCTTTGTCTCCATTGATGTTTTCCTGGTGGGCACATACCTCTTGCTTCTTCCCAATCCTCTGCAGGTTCTAATTAATAATAAATAATCAAATTTAAAATATTCCCGAAAAAATATAGAATTTTTTATTTAAATGCACTCTTCATTTATATTACTTTTAATAAATTGTATTGAAAAAAATATTATTTAACCTCTTTTAGTTTTATAACGTAAAAATTGATATAAATAAAAAAACAAAACTTACCGTCTTCTGCAGCACCCAATTCATCTTCACCAGCACCGGCACCAGTTTCCGTATCCATAAACGTCACTTCTTTGACGAAAGTTTGTCCAATTGTAAAATCACGACCACATTGTCCCTTGTTATTAATGCCAAATGTATACAAATGCCCTTTATTTGTCAATACGGCTGCATGTGCTTTTCCCAATGAAACTTGTACCACAAAAACATCTTTAAGATTCGATACAAAACCTGTCGAACCATCGCAATGCAAACAATCTTTACCAAACATTAATAAGGAACCCTCTTTTGTCACAAGTGCTGTTGTTCCATTATTACACGCCGAATTAACAATCACCTGACTCTCAACTTTTGTTATTTTCTTTGGCTTCATTGCCTTTGCCGGTCGTCTCACTTTAACTGCAAAAATAATTATTTTATTCAATTTATCTTACTAGTAGATTAAAAATAACAATAATAACTGAATTGACACAAGAATAAATTTTCCAATTTCCTTCACATTTCCCTAATAAATTTTTTTTTTTTTTATTAAATTTAATGAAATAATTTGAAAGTTACAAAAACGCGTTTACGTTCTATATTTTACTGTTTTTATTAGAACATTGATCATAGTACCTTATTTCTTGCAAGTAGGTAAAAAGGTGAATTATTTACAGAAAATAGGTGACAAAAAGATGATATAAAAAACTGAGTTACAATTAATTAACGGGAAACATAATTAATTTGTATCTATTCAATTTTTATTAATTGAAATTTTTTATCACTGATTAATTAATAATTAATTAAAATTAATAGTTTCTTATTTACGTAAATTGAATTTTGGATAAATTAAAACTTAAGTTAAGTAAAATATAGACTCATTGAAATTTGGATAATTAGAGACTTAAATCAATTAAAATTTGAATAAACAGAAACATAATTTAATCAAGTTTGGATAAATTGAAACTTAAGTCATTACAATTTGGAAAATTTGTAATTCGGTTAATTTTAAACTTAAATCAATTAAAATTTGGACAAATCGATATTCGGATATTTAGAAACTTAAAATGATTAAAATTCGGTTAATTTAAACAGGGTGTCTAACAAGGATTGAGAAAAAAATTCCCTGACTCCTCCCTGACATTTTTTTATTTTTTCTTGACTTTTTAATAACTTTATTTCTGCTTTCTTTGGACAAAAATATGGTTATTGACATATTTAACAATAAATTAATTTCTAATAGTAGTAACAAATGGTAATAAAAACCATTCAAGTTTTTTTAGATTAAAAAATTTTTAAATTCACAAAAAATTTTAATTTTTGTAGAAATTTACAGAAATTTTCTGAAATTCCCTGACTTTTCCCTGACTTCCCTGACCGTTAGACACCTTGTTAAAATTTAAATCAATTATAATTTGGACAAATCAATATTTGGATATTTAGAAACTTAAATCAATTAAAATTTGAATAATTAGAAACGCAAATCAATCAAAATTTTAATAAATTGAAATTTAAATAATTTGAAGCATAAGTCAATTCAAATTTAGCCAAATTTAATTATATAATAATAATAATAATAAAAATCTTCGTCATATTATTATATAATAATTAAATTAATTAACACTTACTGCTCTCGCCATCCTCTCCACGTCTAGAAGTTCCGGCAAAAAGAACAGAACCATCATCGAGAACAAAAATTGCATGATATCCATCATGACCCACGGAAAAATCAACAACCTTCGCATCTTTTCCCAATGTCACTTCCAACCATCTATTTGGTCTTGTATTTAATTTCATTCCAATGCAATTTCCCTTTCCTGTGTAGAGCAATTTTCCCGAAACTGTTCTCAGCAATGCAAATTCTTTACCCGCTGACACTGAGGCAATTTCATCATCATAGCCAGGATTAAGAACATGAGCTGTTTGTTCCTCGTCAAAAAATGCATAACCAAATACATCGATACCTTGTTTTGCAAATTTCAACGGAAGCTCCGATGTTACTGTGACAGTATTGCTCAATGTATTTATTGTTCGAATAACAAAACCCTCCTGAAAATTAAAAAATTAAATTATGCATCACACGCTCAATTATAATAATAAATAATAATAATAAATAATAAAAATAAATAATAAAAATAAATAATAAAAATAAATAATAAAAATAAATAATAAAAATAAATAATAAAAATAAATAATAATTATATTTAGTATAGAAAAAAGTTTAAAAAGCACAAAATATAAATTTAATTAATTTTACAAAAGCAAGTTTTCAATTAATTTTCTAAAAAAAAGATATTTTACAAAATAAACTTACGTCTTTGCCAGCTGTTAACATTCCCAAATTTTCACCATCTGAAAACATAACCGAGGAAGACCAGTCTTTACCCTCCAAAACGGCTTTTCCTTTTATTGAAAGTAATTCGGTGTCCAAAATCAACAATTCATATTGATTTTTAGGTGCGCATTTAAAGTACAAGGAATTCTGTATAAAAATAAAATAGAATATTTTTTATTTAAATAGCTAAAGAATTGCCAAGAAGAATAAAATCTTAAAAAAAAATTTACTTACATTTGCATAACCAAGCCAGCCAATTTCTGATGGATAAAAATCAGATTTATGAGCATAAACATGACCCCATATCGTTCCTCCATATCCGCTGCCAATTTTAATTAAACCTTGATTTGTATGTAGATACAAGTACTTTCCATCACTAACAAAACTCTTTCCATTTAAAACAACATTGTTCATATCATTTGGTAATTTAAGCATTGATGTGTGAACCTTGGAATTTTTAGGTACACCATAAGTTATCCAATCGCGTCTCGCGAGTTTACCAAAGAAAACAGCGTGAACACTTCTTTGTAACGATATCAATACATATGGCATCTAAAAGAAAAATAGAATTTAAAAAAATAAAATCTAAAACTAAATTAATTGTAAATAAAATATTTTTAATTAAAATTATAATTTACTTTCTTTTATTAGTATTTTTTTAATTTTCAATTTTAATTATTAACTTTATTTAGTATTAATTTTTCTTTAAAGATTATTATAAATTAACGTGATAAAATTTTAATTAACTATTAAATATATGTTTACTAGATTCAAAAATAATTAATAACAATTACCTGAATATTTTGTGCAGCCAAAGCTCTGGGTGACATCAATAATGCCGCTATTGCTGATAAAAGATGTCCAGTGTCACCTCGAACAACGACTAAACTAAGTAAACAAGCACATGCCACTGCTGTTAAATGACTGCCATCATTAGCTGCTTCAGATTCGGGTCCATGTGATGTTGCAAGATCAAGTAGCAGATCAAACAATGCATCTTTAAACATGAAAATAAAAATAACCATTAAATAAAAAATATATAGTACTAAAATTATTGTAATATTAGCAAACTAGAACAAGATGTTCATTTCATGACCATTTAGCTTCCTCATCATGATACACTTATATTAAAGATTAAAAGAAGGATTACAACTAAAATAGCGATCAATTTTATAAATATTGGTAAAATTTAAACTTTATATACATCAATCGATTCGTTTTGATGCCAGGAATATAATTTTGACAAGAATTAATTAAAATTTCTATATAAGAAAAAGTTATTTCAAAAAATACAAAAAACGATTATTTTCAAAAATTCCAAAAAATGATTAAATCTATAGATTTCAGTAAAATATGAACTTTATATAGGTAAATCGACTCGTTTTAATGCAAGAAATAAGTTTTTTTACCAAACAAAATTAAATTTACAAAGAAAAAAATTTTTTTTTTCAAATTTTGAAAAAATTGTAAAAAATAAAATGTTGTGAATATATTAGGAAATCCTTGTGTCAGATTTTAGGTATTAATGATTACAATAAGCATACAAAATTTCAGGACAATCCGTTAAAACGTTTCTGAGATAATTTGTACAAAATATTTTGTGATATACACACACATACATCTGGACATTTGCTCAGGACTTCATATATATTAATTCTAGATGAAAATGAGTCCATATAACCCAATTTAAAAAAAATCGAAAATCGTCACGAATGCAAAGCTTCCTCATGAGGAAACAAAAACTAACTAACTTTAGCAAAATAGCTAAAGTAAATTTTGAATTGTTAAGTAAATTATATAATCATAAAATGTTTATTTCTATATTTTGAATATCAACAATTTAATTAAGATTATTATTTTACAATTGTTTTAAATTAATTGAAATTGGGAGATTCTCTCAATTATATTTTGAATAAATTACAATATAATTTTACTTTGAACATAATTAATAAAATACATTATCAATTGAAAATAAACAATATTTATATGATTCTTTCAAATTTAAAACAATATTTTTAATTATATGTAAAAATAATTTCATAAAATTGTTGTCCATATTCTAAGTTTATATTAAACAAATAATTAAAAAGGTTTTACAAAAACAAACCAGAGAAATATCAATGTAATACAAGATTTAAAATATATCTTATTTATTCTTCAAATTAAAAACAAAACATTCTTCAAAAAATATTCACTTTTTTCTATTTTCAACAAATAGATACTTAAAGAACATTTTTAAATTAATTTACACTATTAATTTATTCACAATATAAATCAATCGTCTAAAAAAGTAAATTAAATATTCAAAACTTTATGAATTAAGAATTTTTTAATTCACTTATTTAAAAAATTAAAATCTAATTTGTAACTTAAATAACAATTTTTTACTTTTTTTTTTTTTTTGATTTTCTACATATGAAATAATTTAATTTAGAAAATAATTCGGACATAAATCGATAAATTTTTAAAAATATGTAATATTAAGTTTTGAATTTGAAAAAATAATATAAATTTATAATTCTTTTATTTTTGTTGAAAATAACATTTTTTTTTTATTATTCATTCATAACGAAATAGAAAGAATGGTTTACCTCTTTAATTAAAGTCAGAAAAATATAAATTTCTTGTCTAAAATTTAGAAAACTTAAAGAAATTATTAAATTTTATTTTTTGAACAAGAAATACACTAATATATCTCTTAAAAATTGAATAGCAGGAAGTTATTAATGCAAATTAGGATTAATCAATTAATTTAATTATAGGAAACAACGGATCATTTATTTAAAAAAAATAATAAATAAAATGTAGCTAAATTGTGATACTCTTTAAGGAATAATAAAATAAATTTAACTAATGTAAGTATATTTGATTGGCGCTTTTTTTGAACCAAATTATTGAAAACATAAAAATTTCAAGAACAATAATTAAAATTCCAGGACTTAGAATTCTTAGAATTCTAGAAATTCGAATTTTCCAAACATAATCAAATAAATGCAGGTAAATTTAATAACGGAATTTCTCGATTAAATGATATTTTTACAAAACTATATTTTACATTTGTGAAAAATAATATTGTCTTCAATTAATATTAATTAAAATTGCATAAAATACAATTAAAATATCACTTAAAAATTTAATTCTCAGAAAAGAAGAAAAGTTAAGAAAAATATTAAGAGAATAACAAAAAGTAGAAATATTAAAAACTGAAGTATTTTATTATCAATAAAATATTTTTTTTATATTAAAAAAATATAATTATGCTAATAATTTATTATTCGTTCTTTTCAAGGGTGGAAAAAAATGATATTTACATACCCACAATATCATCCGGTTCGCCTTTTAATCCTTCTGGAAGTTGTCCTTGTAAAATATCTAATAGAGCGCCCAGCGCTTTATTGCAAAATATTGGTTCAATAGTTCGACTTTCTCTCACTAAAGTAAAAACACTTCTTAAACCAATACCAACGATCTGCAAATGAAATATATAAATTTATTTTCTTAAAAATTGAACAAAATTTTCTTTCTATTATTTTCTTTTTAATTTTAATTGAATTAGATTTAGAAATTATTGTATTTTTTTTTATACCTTTGGTAAGCTTTGGGTGGACGAAATTTTATCTTCGTCATCACTGTCACTGTCAATTGTGTCACTGAATTCGGGAGGAGGTGAAGATGTGCAATTTGATGTTGGATTTAATTCACTAGCAATGTGATTATGTTTTTCCAAAATGGAATTTCTCACAGCAACAAAAACAGCAAATGATGATGCATTACTTAGGACTTCTATTCCCGGTGGACTATTGTAACAACATTCACCACTTGCATCGATCTAAAATTATCGTGAAATTAATTTTATATATAATTCTTATAATCATAGAATTTTATTTATAAAAAAAATATTTGCACATACTTTTTTCTTTTCTTTCTTACTGCTCGATTTGCTCTTCTTATATTTTTTCCATTCATTTTTTAACCTAAAATTAATTAAAAAATTGAAGCATTTCAAATTAGTAGTTTTTTAATAAACAATTTTATCTTCCTTCTCCAAAAAAAAGTAATTCAACATTTACTATTTACTGAACAAGAGTTTATTATAAAGAAATAAAACAATATAAAAAAAAGAAATTTCTAAAATTTTTAAATAAAAAAAAAATTAAGAAATGTTTAAATTTTATTAATCTAAAATTCTTGACGCAATAATTGTATATGACAGAAGATTGAGGTTATTTTTCAATTTATAAGGCTTCTGAAACTTTAATCGTTATAGAAGAAAATAAAAATTTTATAACATACAATATGTAAACAGTCAATTATATCCATTGGCGGATAATTTCAAAGAAATTAGTGATAAATGATCTAAACTAGATAATAATAATGACAGGTAAATAAAGGACAGAAAAGAGGTTATAATTTCACTTACCTCTGTGCTTCAACTTTGAACAAACTATAAAAGTTTTGTACATAATTGTCAGCTCCGGACAGCAAATTCTCCTGGTCTTCAATGACCATGATTTTCAATGAATGAATGATCTTTGTGCAATTCACTAATTCATTTTTCTAATGTTATTGATCGTTAAAACTGGCCGACGACCCCATGTGATTGCAATATATCAATTTAACGTTCAACAACCTCACGAAATTTAGCATAATCAGATTATCAAACAATTGTTCTTATGATTTGCAAGTACACTAATCATTCAAAACTGCCAATGATCTTTTTTTATATAGTTTTCGAAAAAAAATACGAAAATCTTCTTCACCAGATAAACACCGCATTCCCCCAAGTTTCACTTCCCAGAACTTCAGAGTGGTTCAGGAGTTTGCGCCAAAATGTGTATTTTACAAAGGTTTTCGTTTTAATGTTTCTGATCAAAACTACATGTAATTGTGTCCTTTTCTAACTCACGCTTCACGGTCACAATCACGAATGACAAGTTTTCCGAAGTCATTTTGCGCTGGCCTTTATGTTTTAAAGTCCAATACACAGTGCACGTAAAAGTTGTCCACATTGTAAATTACTCTCATCAAGCCAATCAGATTGAAGATTGATCTTTTGAAAATAAAAACGGTTTTTACTCACAAAATAAAATTATTAAAAAAGTATAAACTAAAATTATCATTTGCGATTTATTTGTAATATTTTACATACATTTTTTTAACTGTTCTCTAAGTGAATTACTTCTAAAAATATTATTTATTAAATATCTAGTATAAAAAAAATTTTTTTTTTTTAAAGCTTAGTTTTTTATTTAATAAATAAAATTAATTATTATAATACATAAATTATTTACCTGTCTTTTTTTTCATTAAACAATTTTAATTAATTTAAATTTCGTGAATGGACAAGAAATGTATTAGCCAATTAGAAATAAGTATTTTTTACAAGATGGTGATAAAAAGTGAAAAAAAATAAATTTTTCCATTTATTTCATAATTAAATGTTAATTTATAGAAAAAATAAGATTAATTAATAAGATTAAGTTTATTTACTTAAAAGTCTTATACTGAATCGTATTTGTGAGAAAATAATTGTTTTTTTCATAAAATATAAATGAATTAAAAAAAATTAATTTTTTAACAATTGGATAACCTGCGTTAGTTTTCGCGGTAAAGTGATAGCAAGCAGGAACAAGACGCCAAGGCACGCACGTCGCATCGTTTACGAGGGTCAAAAAAGTAAGATATTTTGTGTTTTCTATTCAAATTTTAATACAATTTTTCTTTCTAAAATTTTTCTATATTGACTTTATACTTTTAAGATAAGAATTTATAAATTTTATTTAACTTTATACTATTTTTCACAATACTTGTTCGCACTTCGTTACCCGGCCTCTTTACCGCCATTTTGCTATTTTCGGCACTTGTGTTTCTGTTATTCATTAAATAGTACAATATTCTTTGTTTCCTTCAATGTGACAATAGTAATTTACAATACATTGCATTTAAATAATTATACGTCTAATTTTGACTTTTTTTTATTTAATGAAAATAGAGGTATAATTGTCAGCTTCCTTGTGGTCCATTGTCAAACACGACATTAAACAAAAATGCTTTAATAGGTTTTTCCAATTTTGATATGATTTAAGGTTTATATGGTAATTTTCTATTCATGTCAAAGGACAATTGGTGATATTTTTCTTTGTAATAATTAGTATTACTTTTTACTTTTAGTTTTGTTATTTGAGAATGTTGATATTCATTTACAATTTATTTTTTTTTCTACACAATTTTTGGCACCTGCGTGGTATTGTAAAACGCATTCTTACAAATGTAAAAGGCAAATGACTAATTTTATTATCTCAATAGTGAGTAGAAAAAAAATTATTGCCTCGTTAAATTTAGATATTTGGCAATATTTTGTAAAGTAATTTTTAGGTTATGTTTCTTATTTCCCGTTATAGATGTTTGATTCAAATTATTTTGATATTAAAATTAAGAAGGTTTAATAAATAAAAATTCTACAATTATTAAATTCTTGAAATATTTTATTTGATATATTTATTTTATAGAATAAATAAAACAACAAAATGAGCAAGGCTAAGGATTCACCGGTTACTGAACCTGAAACTGAAGAGGAATTCAGTGTGGAAAAAGTTCTGGACAGACGAGTTGTCAAAGGAAAGGTAAAAATGGAAAAATTTAATTTTTGAATTAATTTTTTTTTTTTTTTGAAAATTATGTTATTAAATTTGTTATTTTTCAGGTGGAATATTTCCTTAAATGGAAGGGCTATTCAAATGATGAGAATACATGGGAGCCAGAGGAAAATCTTGATTGTCCAGATTTAATTGCTCAATTTGAGGAACAACGTAAAAAAAGAGAAGCCGTACCTTCTGGCAAACGACATGAAGATAAGGACAAAAAAAGAAAGAGTTCCTCAACTCCCACTCCGACTCAAGCTAAAAAGAAAGCCCCAGAAGAAAAGAAAGCCGAAGGTAATAAACTATCAAATAAAAAAAAAATAAATAAATTTATTTGTACAACCTAATAATTTTTTATTAAATGGAATTTTTCTTTCTTTTTTTTTCAGGATTCGACAGAAACTTAGACCCGGAACGCATTATTGGCGCTACTGACTCAAGTGGTGAACTTATGTTTTTAATGAAATGGAAAGGAACCGATGATGCTGATTTGGTCCCTGCTAAAGAAGCAAATGTACGTTGCCCACAGATTGTGATTAAATTTTACGAGGAAAGGTTGACATGGCATAGTCCAGCACATGACGAAGAAGGTTCGACGAAACCCGATCCAGAGTAGCATTTTTTTTCTTCAATAATTTAAAAAAAAAAACAAAAATTAAAAAAACAGCATTATTTCAAATGCAACTCTTTGAAAATCATGTTAAGAGCAAAAACTGAATGTAATAACTTTTCTTCTTTTTTTTTCCTCTTTTTTTTTTTCAATGAAAAGACACAAAATCATGACATTTCAGTTGTATTCGTCATTTAACCATTTTTTTTTTTTGCATATATAATTATATTTTTTAAATAAAATATTGTTTTTCTTAATTAATTTATCTTTTTGGTTTACTTACACCGATTCACAAAAAAATTATCCAATTTGTTTTTTCCCCTTGAAAAGAAAAGTGGTTGAATGGTATTACTATGTTGTGCTTTTGTGAATGTTTTTTTTTTTTGTATTACATTAACAACTTTTGGTTTAATAATAATATTAAGAATTATCTAAACTGTGATCGATTTTTAAATGTTTGACGGCGAAAAAAGAATTATTGATCCAAATTATTATAGTGGGAAAAATTTGATTTTAAGTTATATTTAGTGGATTGCATTGTTAATGCAATTTAATTTTCGAGACCAAAAAAGAAATCAGTTTAAAAGAACATTCGCCAGTTAAACTCGAGAATCAGATCGTAAGGGCTTTGAAAATGCTCTTCTTTATTTCTAAAGAATTTTTTAAAAAATGTGCACTTGGTTCACACTTTGTTTCAAGTTTCAAGTATAATATTGTAAATTTGAAAACATATTGATATTAAATGATAGTTTCCATAATATAGTTAATCGGATGCGTTTTTTTTTTTTTTCATTTCACAAATTTACTATTATATATTTTAATATTGTCATTTATTTTTCTTATTCTAATATGTAATAAAGTAATACTAGTTCTATAATAAATTTTGTTTATTATTACCTTCATTCTTAAGTTAAAGAATTAATTTTTAATGTACAATAGGAAAAAATTGATTTTTAGAAAAATATCCTACCTCTTTTGTTTTTTTACACTTTTTTTGTTATTTGTAAATTTATTTTTTCTCTTTCCTTTCTTATTACCAAAATGAGATCGTTGATTTTTCTTTGCTTCCCATTTTAATTGTTTAACACCGGCACCGTCCTTTGCATTCATTGAATTACTTCCTCCGTGTTTCGATTTAGAATATCCTTGTTCCTCCATCATTTCAGCAAATTTCTCAGCTGACATAAAAACATTTTCATTTGATTCTTTTGAATTTTTTTTGTTTTTCATTAATGAAAGTTCCTCGCGAAGTGTATCTTCGTCACTATTCTCATCGTCAAAATCAATATCACTGTAATCATCGTCCATATTTTCCATATCGTCACTCATATCCTCCATTTCTTCATCTTCCAAATTATCACTGAAATTTTCATTCTCATCGAAATCTTCCAAATCCTCATCGCTTTCGTCGTTTTCACTTTCTTCCTCGTCCTCGTCATCTTTATCTAAAAAATTTGATTAAATACAAAATTAATGTTAAACAAAAATTTAAAAAAAAAGCTTATTTTTGAAATTACCTTTCTTTTTACTTTTCCTCGGAACAATATCACCGGCAATATCTAAATCGTCTAGATTTTCATTTTCTGCAAGTCCATCTAACATGGCGTTAAATTCTTCACTATTAACACTTTCGTTATCTTCATCGTCGTCGTCGGTGGATTTTGATATAAAATCTTTTTTCTTCTTTAAAAATTGATAAAGAAAGAGTTCATCAACTGGAATACGATCTTCGTTTTCATTTAAATACGCCTCACTATCAACAGGTACTGATCGCAAACCTTGAGGAGTATAACCAGCACGTTGTGCAAGTGGATCACCTTTTCTCGTTACTTTTTTATTTTCCAATTTTTTTGGATTCTTAAAAACATAACGATCCAAAAATCGAATTAAATTCAAATCCTCCAATGGATCACCAGAATAATCAATAATTTTTCCTAAAAGACAAATTTAAAATTATTTTTCTATATTATTTACATTTATAAAATAAGAACTACTTTACCTTCTTTTATATTACTCGCAAAAAGTGCCACACTCGGATGAAAATGATTTACAAGTGCAAAAAGTTCATAGTAAAATGTATTATTTGCACCGGAACCTAATGGATTACGACAAAATGGATTATATTCTTTATCTGGATCAAATTCTTCTTTTATTGTTATTTCTTCTTTAATTTCAGTGTCATTATTTTTTACAATAACTTTCGTATCGTCTGTAATAACATTTGATATTACAATATTATTTTTTTCCAATTCATCATTATTTGTTTCACTGCATTCTGAATTTGTATCTTCATTATTTTCTTCTTTTTTCTCATCATTTGATTCTTTTTCATTTTTAATTTCCGATTCAATTGAGAAAATTGGATCTTTCTTTGTTTTTAAAACTTGTGAAACAACATAGAGTGTTGCACATGCCATATTTGCTGGATAATAAAGGATAATTTGAAATATTCTTTTTAAAAATGCCTTTAAACGAATTACACTGTGATCATTTTTTAACACACGATATAATAAATTCAAAAAAATCGCACGTTTATTTCCAATACCAATTTGTGGATCTAATAATTTTTTATAAAAGGCGGAATAAAATCTATTCAATTGTTTTTCGTTTTTTCCAACTACCTGAAAATAAATTGAAATTTAATATTTTTATTATAAAAGCAGGCCTCGGAACGACTTTAAAGCGGAAAAAAGTGGTTTTACTTGAATTTTTTATTTCAAATAAAAATTAGTTAATAAATATTTTACTTAAAAGAACTAATGTTATTAGATTATTAAATTAATTTTGTTAATTTTTTAATAAGAATAATTCTACAAGAATATCAAAAAAAATTTATTTTGAATATTTCAGAATTGAAGTAAGACAAATTTTCAAAATTTTAATTCAAGTAAGACAAATTTCTAAAAAAAATTCTTAAAGTTTTCTGTTTTACAGATTTTTAAATAATTGAGTTGCAGAAGATTTTAAATTTAAAATAAATTTTTTTGTAAATTTAAACTGCTGTAGTTTCTTTTTAAATTTCTGACAATTCAATTTTAGAGTTATAATTGTAAACTTTTTTAAATAATTAAATTTAAAAAGAAAAACTATCAATAATAATTGAATTTTGGAAGAGTTACAGTTGAAATTTTTAGAAATAATTGAATTTCAAAAGATTTTATCAAATTTCAGACAATAATTAAATTTTACAAAATGAAAAATAATTTATCAAATACTTTAAGATAATTTTTTATAAAAATAATTGAATTTTCGAAGATATACAATTCAAATTTTTGAAAATTATTGATCTTTAAGCGATTTTTTATTGAAATTTTCAGTGATTTCTGTTGCTATAGAATTTATTATAAATTACAGACAAAAATTGAACTTAAAAGTTTTTAGATAATTGAATTTTCTAAGAATATTACAAACACCATTAAAAAAAAATAATTGAATTTCAGAAGAGTTATAGTTATAAAAAAAATAGTTACAGAATAAATCAAAATTTTACCAAAAATTTCAAAATCAAATATTGGAAAAGATTTTAAAGATTGCAAATTATCAAAATACATGATATAATAATTTTTTGGATAAATGTTATTCAGCAAAATAATGTGGAAAATTTTTTACTTTAGGTATCAAAATTCTAATTTGAAAATTATAAAAGTTAAAAATTTGTTCTACCTCATTTCAAATCAGAAGTTATTAATTATTTTAGGAAATAGAAAATATATTTAGAAAAATTTAACGGAGAGATAAGAATTTTTAGTTTTTTTTTAGTACTATTTAGCACAATTTTTAATTTTAAGAATTCGTATTTTTTTAATCAATCAGTTATAAAATTTGTTTTCACAAATATTTATTTCTTCAAGAAACGTTTAACTTTGAGGTAGACCAAAAATTTAGGAAAACTTATGATAAATTTCAATTTAAAAGAAAATTAAAATACGAATTTAAAAAAAAAATTTCAATGTTCAATTGATAATTGATAATTGAAGGCGAATTCAGGGCTTTTTCAAGGCGTAACTAAATTCGCGTCGTTTCTCCGATTTCAAGGTTCAGTAAAAACCATGTAATTTTATTTGATTTTGTAAAAATTTTAAATATCTATTGAATTTCATAAAATTTTTAATTGAAAAATAGTTATTATAATTGAATTTGTGAAGAATTTCCTAAAAATTATTGAAAATAATTAATTTAGAGAAGAATTTTAGTTAAAAATTTGTTAAATAATTAAAATAAACAAGATCTGAAGAAGATCTGCATTAGATACTAAAAAATACGTATTTTGTTTAAAAATTTTGTAAAAAATGTAAAAATGTCACATCTTAGTTGAAAAAGGCGTATTTTCGAAAAAAAAATGGGAAAAAATCGTATAATCCAAGACCTGTAAAAGAAGAATGATTAATTTATAAAATCTATTATTATTTTTTTTTTTTTGCTTACTTGAAATAAAAGGCTGAGTGCATTCAATGAAACATTAAATGAACCAACATGTACAACTTTATAAAGAGAATCAATGTGATCATTGAGTTTTTCTGATTCAACTTTAGAAAAACGATAAGCACGATTGACACCCGTTAAAATTGCAGCCATCATTCGACTATCGGGTTCACCTTTCTTGAGACTTGCTTTGAAAAATGAAAAATATACGTCAATTAAATTATTTGCCGTTTCAACATCATTGCGATCCAAAACAAATTGTGTCAGCAGACAAATTCCATAATATTGTGCTCTTGATGAAACATTATTACGAAATAAAAGTTTCTCCACTTCGCGAAGTACAACAACTTTCATATTTGAATGTTCATAAAGTAATTTATTCAAACAAAAAATCACCTTTGACGCAACTTTATTACTAGGATCACCAATTTTATTCACAAGAAAATCAAGTAATTTGTGTTCTTGTTCTGAATTACCCATTAAAAGATCATTCATAACTGAAACAGCTTTTTCACGATTTGAATCAACTGTATTTGATGCAATTTGTGATAGTGAAATAATAAATTTCTCATATATTTCCTTTAATTGATCTTCATAATACCAATGTGCAAGTAATTTATTTTTAGACATAAATGGCACACCTTTCTCATGTTTATTTGAAATATCAATATTGTCGAGTTTATCTAAATTTTGTTCTTCAAATTTCATTAATTTATATGTGGGATGTAATAAATCAGTGAGAAAAAGATCGCGAAGTGCTGTGATAATTGTGTTGCATTGATTTTGTTTCGATGCTTTTACTTGATTAATAAGATTTGTTAAACGTGATAAATTATGTTTTGGACTATTTTGGAATAGAACAATACTTGCTGCAATTTTATCAGAACTTGTTCCTTGTGATAGTGCAGTTTTAAGCCAATCATATTCTGAATTTCGTGATTTTGATTGTTTCAATTGATAAGCATTTGTTTCTGCTTCAAGAAGCCTTTTTCCATCGGCTTTTAAATCCATTACTGTGATTTCCGATTTTGTGTGAGTACATGGTTTTTGTGTTTTTGGATATTCCTCGTACCATTTTTTATTTGTCGATGGAGCCAAATATTCAGCAATCGTCTTCATCTAATTAAAAACAAGATTAAATTTGTTAAAGAAATTTCTATTTTTAATCTAAAATGCATGCTTTTTATTTATTTCATTTATTCAACAAATCCAACAGTCAAAGACCAATTAATTTTTAATATTTATATAATTATAAATTTGATTTTTAAGAATCAAAATTTTCAATTTGATATTTACAAATCGAATTTGTTAATATTTTTCGAATTTATGTCAAATTTGATATAGGAAAAATTAAAGGCTAAAATATAACCTAAAAATTGTACTAAGAATATTTTTTCACGAATAAGTAATTCATAATTAAAAGTAAAATATAGAAAAAGTTATATTTCTTTATTATTTAGATAATGTTAGTTGCTTTAATTAAAAACTTACATTTATTACAAATAAATAAATATTCACGTGGGATTTTATGAAAACATTACTAATAAGTGAAGTTGTACACACTTGTCAATCAGTTCGATAATTCGATATTTAATTATGGACAAGTTTTCTGATTGGTTAGGAATTTCGACAGCCATTTTTTTTTTAGCGCGCTGATTTAAAATAATCTACTTGTTCATTATTATTGACAAATATTAATAAATAAAACACAGAAACGAGATAAAATATAAACTAAAACTAATAGTGACGAAAGGATTTAATATTTTTTAACACAAATATCAAAGGGAGAATGTAAAAAAGTGAAAATTGTGATTTAACCTAAAAAATGTTCTTTACTTGATAATTCTATCTAACTTATCTAGATTTTTGTATTCATTAATGATTAAAAGATTTTTAATTGAATGGGAATTTTTAATTTAGACGTGTATATTAAATAGATAAAAAGAAAATTAATTGCGGGAATTTTTAACCGAAACTAGTGACATCTAGACGATTTCTCTTTCCATTTAAGTCATTTGACGGCTTCGCTTTTGCCGTTTGTGGCCGTTTGCTTCGTTTTCCTCTTTTCTCGTCACGCACGTGTCTGTGTGGCGAACGAATTCCATTTTTTGGCGCACAAAGAAGGTAATAATTTGCAATTATTTATGTGAACAATTGAAAACAATTGAAAATCAATTGGCACGTGTTGGCATTTAAACATTTTTGACAGCTGGATTAACTATTTGGGAGTTGTTAATTTTTCGCGAAAGGTGTAGAAGACGGTAATCTTTTGTCTCTCAGTTGGAGGTCACGCATACACAATTTGTTCTTATGATAAATTTAACGACGCTGAAAAGTGTTAAAAAAATTTTTCAATAATATGTCATTATTTTTTTTATTTACTGTACACGTGGTGTTTAATTCCTAACCTGTAAATCTTACGTAATTTCGTTTAATCATGCAAGTTGGGGGAATTTTCTTAATGGTGTTGTAAAAAAAATTTTAGTTGACAATGCCGTCCGACGCAAAGAAAAAGCAGCAGCAAAAGAAAAAGGAAGCTGCAAAAGCCAGACAAACGGGTAAAAAACCAACGACTTCAGGTAAAACCAATGAAAATGGTAAAGAAGAAAGTCCTGTTCCTGGCGATACTCAAAATGGTACCAATGGTACTATACCTTTGAGTGCTGAAGGTATTTTTCTTTTTTTTTAATATTGAAATTAAAATTAGAAAATTAATTAGAAAATGAATTAATAAATTTTGGTAATTGAATTTTAGAGGCACTTTGCTTGAAGTTGGAGGCGGATGCACGACTCAATGCTGAGGCACGAGCTTGTACAGGTTCATTGGCATCACATCCACGCAGTCGAGATATTAAAATTTCCACTTTTTCTATTACGTTTCATGGCTGTGAATTACTTCAGGATACAATGTTGGAGTTAAATTGTGGACGACGTTATGGTTTATTGGGTCTCAATGGATCTGGAAAATCAACATTATTATCGGTGCTTGGAAATCGAGAAGTGCCTATTCCTGATTCAATTGATATTTTCCATTTGACAAGAGAAATGCCGGCAAGTAGTAAAACTGCACTTGAATGCGTAATGGAAGTCGATGAGGAACGTGTAAGATTGGAAAAACTTGCCGAGGAACTTATCGAATGCGAAGAACAAGACGCGCAGGTAATTATTAATTTCAGGCCTCGGATTGACTTTAAAGCCCCAAAAAAAAGTCGAAAAAATCGATTTTACTAATTTCTTAATTTCTTGAAAATCGAATTCTGATAAATTTTCAAAATTTTGATTAAGTAGGACAAATTTCTGAAAAAATTCTTAATTTCCATTTTTTTTTAATTTTTTGAAGTCTGATTTATGCAATTTATTAGAATGAAATATTTTGACATCGTTTTTAGTTTTAATGGTCAAAAAAATTTCGAACAATTAAGTTTTACAGATTATTAAATTAAATTTTTTTCTAATTGAATTGCAAAAGATTTTAAATTTAAAATAAATTTTTTTTGAAAATTTAAACTTTTTAAATTCCTGACAATAATTAAACATTACAAAATTGAAAATAATTAAATAATGATAGATAACAATTTTTTAAATTATTTGAATTTCCAAAGATTTACAATTCAGATTTTTGAAAATAATTGAACTTCAAGTAATTTTTTATTGAAATTTTCAGTGATTTATGTTGCTGAATAATTTATTAGATGTTGGATACAAAAATTGAATTTCAAAATGCTTTCAAGTAATTGAATTTTTAAAGAATTATTCAAATTATTGAAAATAATTGAATTTTGCAAGAGTTGCACTTGAAATTTTTAGAAATAATTGATTTTCAAAAAATTTTGTTAAATTTCAGACAATAATTAAATTTTACAGTATTAAAAATAATTTCAGATGTTTTTTTTTTATAAAATAATTGAATTTTCAAAGATTTACAATTCAGATTTTTGAAAATTATTGAATTTCAAGCGATTTTTTATTGAAATTTTTTTGATAATTCAAAAGGCCACAAAAATTTGCGATAATTTAAAACTTTTACGGCTTTTTTCCCGATTAAAAAAAAAAATTCAAGGTTTTTTAAATTGAGATTTTATCACATAATTTAAATTTTTTAAATTGTTTTTAGTTTCAATGTTCAAAAAAATTTCAGACAATAAGTTTTACAGATTTTTAAACTACATTTTCTTTTAATTAATTGAATTTCCTAATGATTTTGAATTTAAATTTTTTGTAATTTTATTTACTGATTTTTTTTTAATTTTAAATAATTATTGAAAAATTATTAAATTTAGAAAAGAATTTTAGTTAAAAATTTGTTAAATAATTTAAATAAAGAATATCTGCATTGTATACTAAAAAAAATACGTATTTTGTTAAAAATTTTTGTAAGAAATGTTAAAAATTCGAAAAAGTCGCATCTTATTAAAATAAGTCGAAAATAGACGTATTTTCGAAAAAAAAAGTTAAACAAGTCATTCCAAGGCTTATAATATTGAAAAATAGAATTGTTTTTTAATAAAATCTATATATTTTTTTATAGGAACAATTAATGGATGTTTATGAAAGATTAGACGACATGGCAGCGGACACAGCAGAGGCAAGAGCTGCTCATATTTTGCATGGTTTAGGTTTTACTGCAAAAATGCAGAAAACACCAACCAAAGATTTCTCCGGAGGTTGGCGAATGCGTATCGCTCTTGCAAGGTAATTTAATCGATTTTTATTGATAAAAATAGAATTTTTTTTTCAATTGAATTAATCAACTGAGGGGAAAATAATTTTCAGAGCACTTTATGTGAAGCCTCATTTACTATTATTGGATGAGCCAACCAATCATCTAGATTTGGATGCTTGCGTATGGCTCGAAGAGGAATTAAAAACATATAAAAGAATTCTTGTCATTATTTCGCATTCACAAGATTTTCTTAATGGAATATGTACCAATATTATTCATCTTAATAAAAAACAATTAAAATACTACGGTGGAAATTATGAAGCATTTATGAAAACAAGGTTTGTATATTTATTTTCTTGTAAATTTATTTTTGCCAATATTTTAATTTTTTTCATTTATTTTCAAAAAAGGATGGAATTATTGGAGAATCAAGCGAAACAATATAATTGGGAACAGGATCAAATTGCTCATATGAAGAATTATATTGCGCGATTTGGTCACGGTTCGGCAAAATTGGCTAGACAAGCTCAATCGAAAGAGAAGACATTGGCTAAAATGGTTGCTCAAGGTTTAACTGAAAAAGTAGTTAGCGATAAAGTTTTAAACTTTTATTTTCCATCATGTGGAACAATTCCACCGCCCGTTATTATGGTTCAAAATGTCAGTTTTCGATATAATGATGACAGTCCATTAATTTATAAAAATTTGGAATTTGGCATTGATTTGGATACAAGACTTGCTTTGGTTGGACCTAATGGAGCTGGAAAAAGTACATTGTTGAAATTACTCTACGGTGATGTGAGTTCAGTTAATTAAAATTCTATTAGTTTATTTATTTATAAGTTAATTCAACTTTTTTTTTTCTATTTTAGTTAGTACCATCATTGGGAATGATCAGAAAAAACAGCCATTTGCGAATTGCCAGGTATCATCAACATTTACATGAACTTTTGGATCTTGATATTTCTCCTTTGGATTATATGATGAAAGCATTCCCAGATGTTAAAGAGCGTGAAGAGATGAGAAAAATCATTGGCCGATACGGTCTCACTGGTCGTCAGCAGGTATTTTATCTTTTTTTTTCCCCAAGGAATAATTTTTCTTATTTTTAAAATTATTTTCCTTTATAAAGGTCTGTCCGATTCGTCAACTTTCCGATGGACAACGTTGTCGTGTTGTATTTGCTTGGCTAGCTTGGCAAGTTCCGCATTTACTTCTTTTTGACGAACCTACCAATCATTTAGACATGGAAACTATAGATGCACTTGCCGACGCGATTAATGATTTCGATGGAGGAATGGTTCTAGTTTCTCACGATTTCAGACTTATTAGTCAAGTAAGTTTCTTTTTTCAATATAAAAACATTTCTGTTTAAAAAAAAAAACGAGTGTAAAAAGTAATAATAATAATAAATGAATAAAAATAGGTGGCTGAAGAAATTTGGGTATGCGAAAACACAACAGTGACAAAATGGCAGGGCAACATTTTGGATTACAAGGAACATCTTAAATTAAAAATTTTAAAAGACAATCAGAAGAGACAAAAGGAGTTAACGAATCGCACTAAATAATAAAAAAAAATTTTTGACCGAAGTGTTCCTTCAATTACCACAGAGGTTTTCTTTCTTCACATTTATTGTTCTTAATCAATTAGTACCGATTTCGATAGTTTGTAATAATTCTACAACAGCGATCTCTTGTTCGTGCTGCTGTGTAGTGCGAAAGCAGATCCAAAATCCGATCTAGATAATTTATTTAACTGACATAAAACAGGTATTAAAAAAAAAAAAAATTAGATCTAATTGCAAGTTTCACTAATTTTTGAGAAACGTTGCGAATTAAAAAGAAATTGTAAGGTTTAAAAAAAAATAAGCCAATTGCTTACTGTGAATAATAATAATAATAATAATATTAATAATAATTACGCATGCTGACACATTAATTAATTCACCAACTTCAAATTGAGTTCTCGTAGAGATTCTTTATTAAAAACATTTTCTTAAAATTTTATCAAAAAATATAACAATTTGTTTTTTTTTCTTTTAGAATTGTATCAAATTAATCAAATGTAAAATTTATTGCATAATTGACAAACCGATATTTATGAATTGTGTATTTCAGATTAATAAAAATTACACCAATTTTTGGAAAAAATTACCTTGTGTATATTTACAGTATATAAACCTATATTTGTCCAAATTTGTATTAAATTTTTTTTTTGTAATTATAATTTAAAAAACGATTAATACTTATATATTGTTCGATTTTCAAGAGATAGAGATGTAAAATCAATAAAAATACAAGATTAAAAAATTTTTCCAAAAATAGTTTTTTAAAAAGTTATATTTACAATTTTTTTTTCATTATTAACCATTTTTTTTATTCATCTCTTTAACAATAATTATCACAGGAAAAACGTTCTCTTCATTTGTTTCTTTCTTTCTTATTTTAAAGAAATTTTTTTTTCAATTTGATTGTAAAAAAATTATCTTATAAAAGTTTAGTTTAGACTATTTTACATCTCTAGTGGAAGATTTTTACATTCTCATTTAATGAGAATGATATATATTTATTTATCTTGCAAAAACGATTTAAAATCATTTTTTGAAAAATATTTAGTTTTTTTTTTTTTTTAAACTGGCGTTGAAGCTGGTATTGTACAACCGGCTTCTTGCGCTAAAGCTGCATTTCTTAAAACTAATAAATGTGAATCCATGTCATTAAGTGCTTGATCGATGAATGCCAATTTTCGAGCTTGACTTTTTGGAACACCATGTTTTGTCACCAATGCCAAATGTGTTACTGCAAGAACAAGAGCCGCAACTCTGGCCTCCAATAATCGAGCATCTAGAGGTGGATACAAACTGCGAACAACATCGTCTACCCTTGGAGGAATTCGCCTTGCCACCTGAGGCAATTAATCAAAATTATTCCATTTCTAAATTTAATATTTCTAATTTTAATATTTTAATATTCCAATTTTAATATTTTAATATCCAAATTTGATTTAATATTCCAATTTTAATATTTTATTATCCAAACTGAATTTAATATTCAAATTTAATTTAATATTTTAATATCCAAATTTGATTTAATATTCCAATTTTAATATTTTATTATCCAAACTGAATTTAATATTCAAATTTAATTTAATATTTTAATATCCAAATTTAATTTAATATTCCAATTTTAATATTCAAATTTAATTTAATATTTTAATATCCAAATTTAATTTAATATTCCAATTTTAATATTCAAATTTAATTTAATATTTTAATATCCAAATTTAATTTAATATTCCAATTTTAATATTTTATTATTCAAATTGAATTTAATATTCCAATTTTAATATTTTATTATCCAAATTGAATTTAATATTCCAATTTTAATATTCAAATTTAATTTAATATTCCAATTTCCAAATCTTTAAAATTAAAGAAAAGTCAACCAAAAACCCACAAAAATTAGAATTTTTAGTAAATTTTAGTAATTAGTAAACAAATGAATAAATTTCCAACGAAATCTCGATTATTAGTAGTTTTCCGATTTTAATAAATTTTTTAATAAATGGAAATTTTTGCTAAATTGAAAAAATAACTTACATCAACAATTTCAAGAGGAACAGTGTTACTGTTAACAGTGCCAGCGATTGATGTCAAACTTGCTGCTAAAGAATGACAAGATCGAAGAACAGCAATGCAAGGTGGTGCCAATCCTGTTGCATCGTCAACCCATCTTTTTTTTTAACGTTTCAATTATTATTAATGAAAAATATTTTTAAATCTAAAAGAACTGTAAATTATTTATACCTATCAGCGCCTGCTAACCATTCTTCACTTTCCCATGCATCTAATGTAAGACCCGAGATATTTTCCCCTTCTAATAAATCAGAACTCATGTCTGGTGAATCTTTTTGCTTCTGCAATAAATTGCACTCATTAATGAAATATGTATTATTATAAGGAATAAAAAAATTGAAAACTCACATAATAACAACGTTGCCTACGACAAATAACTAAAAGAACAAATAATGCACCAAGAAATACGGCAGCTAATGCACCTAGTGCAACTGCAACAATAGTTTCCATTCCTGGTGCACCTGACGTTGAATTTGCATTTCCCACTGACACCGGTGAGCTCATCGAGCTCATCTTCTTTTTTTTTTTTTTGCCAATATTTCACTAAATTAGGTGGAAAAAAAAATCCTTTTTGTCCTTACATTAGACACTCTTTACAGCAAATGTCATTTATGCTGTTTATTTTTCTTACAATTATTTACTCTCAAATACACATTCACCGTGGGAGGCGGAGACTGTCACGGATTATTCTAAACACATATACGTCGTGATTTGCATGACAGTTACTTTATCTTTTTTGTATAAAGTAACAAACATTAATCAGTCGGTAAAGTAAACATAACCTAAAAATATATTGAAACTGATTTCAATTTCTTTTATTTAATTCTACATACTTGTAAAATTAGTCATTATTATATTTACAATAAAAAAATAAACAGTTAAAATTAAAAAAAAAATCCAAATGAAAAAAGAAAAAAATCTTTACCGACTGAGAAAATGACATCACAAATCACGAATTCGTCATATGTTTTTCCTCATTAAAAAACGTCTGTCAAACATCTCTAAGCGTGCAATTCGAAAACAAAAATCGCGTGAATCTTTTTTAATATTTCATAGTTTCTATTTTTACGATAATTATATTCAACATTTAATCATCAATATTAGTTTAAAGTTATTGACTTGTGACAAGAAGAAGAATAACAACAACAACACACATATTCCAAAAGACTGACGTGGTGCAAATTTCTAATTATCTAAAAGTCAGTTTATTGGCTTTATTTATTCCCAATTATCCAAAAAAAGGTTATTATTTTCCTGATTTTTCATGATTTATTCAATACATTAACATTATATTTCTATTATCTTGAAATAAGTTATAAGAAATTTTAACCTCTTTTTCACTGCGGAGGTGGGTCAATTTTCATTCAGTTATAATATTCAAGTCATAAATTGAAAAAAAAAAGATATTTAATTAAAATAATTAGGGGAAAAAATTTGTAAACATGGCCAGGATGAACAAAAAACCTAATAGTGCAACTGCAAGATTAAAACAAGATTACATGCGACTTAAAAACGACCCAGTTCCCTATGTTTTAGCCGAACCAGTACCATCGAATATTTTAGAATGGTAAGTAATTGAGATAATTTTTTTTATTCTAATTTCCTGTAAACGAAATATTAATATTTAACATTTTCAGGCATTATGTAGTAAAAGGACCAGAAAATACACCATATGATGGTGGATTTTATCATGGGAAGCTCATTTTTCCCGGAGAATTTCCATTTCAGCCACCAAGTATTTACATGACCACTCCAAACGGAAGATTCAAAGTAAACACAAAACTTTGTCTCTCGATATCAGATTTTCATCCTGATACGTGGAATCCTGCTTGGAGTGTATCGACCATTCTTACCGGATTATTAAGTTTCATGGTGAGAATTAAAAAGAATTTAATAAGATTAAAAAAAATAAATAAATAAATTTTTTTTTATCAAAATTACAGATTGAAAACAGTCCAACGTTGGGGAGTATAACAACAACAGACTATGAAAAAAAACATCTGGCTGCCCAAAGTTTAGAATATAATTTGAAAGATAAAATATTTTGTGAATTATTCCCCGAAACAGTTTCGGTAAGATTATAATTATAATTAATTTATAATTATTTTTAAAAAATACCAAGCACGCAACGTTTATGTTAAATGATTTTTAAAGAAATAATTTTTTGCCTAAAAAATATTTTTTTTTACAATTGATTACTGAAAACTACAAAAAATAATTTTTTGTATGTGAAAAATTATAGAATTTTTAATTCTAAAAAAATTATTTCTTTAAAAATAATTTAACATAAACGTTGCCGTACTTCAGCTTCGTAAAAAAAAAATTAATTTAAAATAAATTTTCTTTTTTGTATTTACTGATTTTTTTTTTTACTTACAGGATATTAAAAAAGAACTTGAACGTCAAAAAGAATTGGAAAAACAAGCCAGGCATCAATTGACATCTTCAGAGGTCTCGTCATTGATTAGAGATCAATTTCAAATCGATCAAAGTCCATTGCACAGTGCCATCACGAATCTCGTTGTTGTTATTGGATTTGCAGCATTTGCCTATGTTGTCAAGTATGTTTTAAGGAATATTGCACTGGAATAGAAAGACACTTTTATCAATTTATGACTGGTAGGTTTACTATATAATATATAAAAATATATAAATATATTTTCAAGCGTAAGACGCTAGTGATCGACGCATTCGCGGAAGACTAAAAAAAAAGAAACTTTTTTGAATGAAATATTTCTCAAGACTTCCGTCAATATTGATGATTGACTGTCCAGAGAGAAACAATTTTTTTTTTCTTTTTTGTAGAGAGAGACTTGCGTATCGAGAAGTCAAAATTTTTCAGTATGATATAATATTAGTAATCATTTTTTGTATATGAGAAATTTAGGATTAGGCGTGTTTTGATGATATCGTGCTCTAAAAAAAAAAAAATAAGTCAATTTTCTCGCATTTAATTCTTTTTTCACACACATCGGCTTTTTTTTCTCTTTATCGTTTCTCTCTTTTAAATTTTCTTAGAAAATATATTTATTTGAAAACTATTTATAATCACATTTGAGAGTTTGAGCTTCCACAGTATTTTTGTTTTTTGAGTTAATATGCAGCTTTTCAATATAAGAAAACTGCGAGATGAGTGATTTTTTTAAACGTATTTTCTTCCCTTTTATGAGCTTCTCTACATATTTCCTTATATACAATTAAAAGCTCAGGTTTATAGTTAATATATAATATAATAATAATAATATAAATAATATAAATAAATCTTAGCTTTTTTTCATTTCCATGAATTTTCAAATATATTTCACTATTGTACGCACATTCTTTACCAATTTTTTCATTTCATTCCGAATTATATATATATATATATATATATATATAGTTTCGGTTCATAAAGTGCCAATAAAATTAATTACACAAAAAGAGTTCGCGTAGAGATAACATGATAATCATCACATATATATATATATAGTTAGAAAACAAAAGTGTAAATAAACGAGATAAAAAATAAAAAAAATGTTCATTAAGTTAAATTACATCAATAAAAAATGAAACGTCGAATTATTTATATCTCGGTGCGCGATCTTGTTGATTTTTTTTTTTTAAACACAAAAATGTATTATACTTGTAGTATTTTTAATTTAAGAAATTCTCATCAAAATTTTTAAATGAGCAAATTCTTTTACATTTTGCCCATTAAAAAATTACAATCTTAAATTAAGAAATTGCGTTGAGATTTTGATTCGAGTAAATGTTTTTCAGAATTTTCATTCCATATAAAGAGAAATAATATTTTTCCAATATTTGTGTGGGTTCTTAGAATATTTATAAAAAAAAGACACTTTTTAACAGAATGTTTATAATAGAATACGAAAAAAAAAAATTTACTCGATTTGAAATTCCTCATTGTGTTTTTTGCATATATATGTAGTCGCAACATATTACTGACTAAAAAAAAAAATCATGTGAGCTTCTTTATTTCTACTTATAAACAATATTAGTCAGTAGATTTAAATTTATAGAGAATAATACATTTTTTTTCTCTTTAAATTATATTTGAGCTTTTCTATGTTACCTGATGAAAATATTTTTTTTTTTCAATTATTTAAGTTACGATTTTTCAAAAATCATATCAGAGAAAATGTTTTTTTTTGCAACAAAAAGAAGTCATTTTTTTCGATTTTGTATAAATAATATAATTTATCATTTTTGTTAAACAATATCTAAAAGTTTACAGAAAAAAGAATTGTAGAAATAAAAAAAAGGGGTTAGTTATATTAAATGAGTTTTAAATTAATATTTGTTTTTAAATAAAATTCGTTGTTTTTAAATATTGTAATATTTTTTTTTTATATTATATTAAGTATAGTAATTTTCCAAAAATCTTTTTTTCTTAATTTTAAATATACAAAAATTTAGAATTTTTCACACATACATAAATTGTGTAATAGTTTTGTTTATTTTATTATACGAAAAAATTCTTTTTGGAAAATTGCATTTTTTTTTTTTATTAATAAGTTATGTTTCATATATTGATATATGAAATGTAAAGTTATGCGTATTATGGAACAAAAATATTTTTTAAAAAAATACGTTTTAATTTACTGTCCAATATTGTAAATAGAAAGGTATGTACGTTACAGATATGTAAACCGTGCAAAATACATTTATTTGCTTAGAATATATTATTCTAAAAAAAAAGAATGGTTTTTTTTCTCTAATTTCTGACTTTATTGTGTAATAAATTGTAATTTTTTGCCTTTTTTTTCAAATGCTTTTTTTTAATTTATTTAATTTTCTATAGTTTAAAAAGACGTTTTGACTATTCTTATAAGACGAAATAAAACAGTTTACCAAGATTCACGAGAGCTATATAGTGCGATAAACCAGCGATAAACTGTTAGAATTTCGTTCTGAATGAATCGTTGTTCATGTTTGTTCGCGAGGAAGGATGCATCCTGTGATTCGTTTTCAGATTGTCTTCCTTCCTCTTTTACACTATATACTCTAAACGTCTAACTTTGTTTATATTTGAACGTCGTAGAATCAATTAGCTCTAATATAGCCTAAATCTAGGTTAGAAATTTTGTATTTCAGGCAAAATTTTTATTAGAAATATTTTTAAAAAGTCGAATTAAAAATTATTTAATCAATTAGAAATTCTATTTTCAACAAAATTTAATTTATTTGAATCAAAAATCTACATAAATTAAATCTGTTTTGATAAATTAAGAATTCCATTTTTTTAATTTGTTTAATAAATTAAAATTTTTTGTTTCTAATTTTATAACTTGTTTATTATTAAAAAAAAAAATAATTTTTGTAAATAATTTTAAAATATTTTTTAGTATCTAATTTAGAATCAATTTTTTGGGAAAATTTAATTTTTAATTTATTTTAATTTTAAATTTGAATGTTATATAGTAAAAAAAAAAATTAAAATATTTTAAGAATAACAAAAAGAGGGAACAAAAAAGAAGAAATATGTTATGATAAAAAAAGAATAAGAAATATACAAAGAAATCTAGGTTTGAAATTTGTATTTCGAGCGTGTCTACAAATTTAACGAAACAAGAAATATTTTTTTAAAGTCGAATTAAAAATTATTTAATTCAAATTCTATGAATGAAAATAAAATTTTTTTTAATCAGTTAGAAATTCTATTTTTAACAAATTTAATTTATGTAAATCAAATTTTTTGTTTCCAACAAATTAAATCTTTTTTAATAAATTATTTTGTAGTTTTTAATTTTAAGAATTTTTAGGAAATTTTCATTTTTTCTTTATTTGAATTTTAAATTTGAATTTTGAGATTTCTACTAGAAATATTTTTAAAAAATCGAATTAAAAAATATTTAATTCAAATTTCATGAACGTTAAATTTATTTAATCAATTAAAAATTCTATTTTTGACAAATTTAATTTATTTAAATCAAATATTTTGTTTCCAACAAATTAAATCTATTACAAAAAATTAGAAATTCCTTTTTTTTTTTGCAATTTGTTAATAAAGAAAAAATTTTATTTCTAACAAATTGTAACTTGTTTAAAATAAAAAAAATTTCTAAATTATTTTAAAATATCTTTTAGTATTTAATTCAAAATTTATTATTTTGGAAATTTTAAATTTATTAAAACTTTTTTTTCTAAATAAATAAATTTGAATATCATAGTAAAAAAAAAAAGTGAAGAAAAATGAAGAGTAACAAAAAGAGGAAACAAGAAAGAAGAATTAATGATAAAAAATAGAATAAGAAATATATAAAAAGAAAACGAGTGTCAAGAAAAGAACATTTTGAAAAATTTATTTTCCCTATTTTTCGAAAAGGCAATTAAAACCACAGCCTTCTGGTGCAATAGATCTTTCTCCTAATTCCCGAGATGCATCGCGTTGAAAAAGAAGAACATGTCGCATCTGTTATCTCGAGAAAAAAGAAACGAATAGGAAAATCTCATATTCACTCTGTGCGTTGATGTGGCGCGAAGGAACAACTTTAATCTGCACAAACATCCCACAAAAGAATCAAACAGCAATTTATTCGTCCAGGGAATAACACGGAAGTTCGTCTTTCTCTCTCCCTCCATATATTTATCTCGAGGATAATTCTTTATTTCTTGTTCCTCTTTTTGGTCTCGTTACGTCAATTTTTACGAGTTATGTAACACAGTAGCTTTTATACCTTATTTAGTGTCACACACGCCTACTCCATGTAAATCATCAGCCAGGCGCCAGGATCTTGAGCAAATAAGATCCACATGTCCTTTCCACAGGATGTCGGCATCGAATTTACGATGCACAATGACATCAGAACTCCTTCCCTTGAAAAAAAAAGAAAAATATATAAATTCAAAAGCTCACCGTTTCCGAAAATCGTAAAATAATTTTACAACCAACTGCATATATAGAAATATACATAATTAATATGTTTACTTAATTTAAAAATTTTTTCCTTAAAAAAAAAATACAACTTTGTAAAAGTACCTCCTCGATCGTAAAATTGTATTTCCTTTTTTAATTTTTTCAGCTTAAAAATATTGATTTTTTATATTAAATTTATTAAAAGAGTTTGAACATCAAAGGAGATTTTTCGAGATGAAACCGGAAGTATCAATAGTTTCTTTTGGAGTCTAGTTACACGCGAGGTAACAAATCTTTTGAAGGCAATTTAAAGACCCTTCAATTCGTTTTACGGGGAATCATTTTACATTTCATTTCCTGACGTGAAACAAATATGTGACTGCGCTCTGACGACTATTTGTATAATTTAAAAAAAAGTCCCTGTAAAATCTATTTGTCATTTTTAACATTGTATGAGAAAAATTTTCGACTGTATCGTTAAAATTTCATTTTAGAAATTTAATGAGCTTCTGATACATTAAAAAAAAGGCAGTCTCAGACTCACAAGAAATACACATAAAAAACAGGAAGAAGCTTATATGAGTTTAAAAAAACAAAAAGAAATATTGACCTTTCTGGGCAAGAGATAAGTCAAAAAAATATATAATATATTTTTATAATAATATTTTTTTCAAAAACATGTGTTTTTTCTTCTCTGGAGAAAAATAAACTAAATTTTTTTTTATTTAGGTTATTAAAATAAAATAGTATTATTTAGTTATTTTTGTTAATTTTTTTGGAAAAATGTGCGGTCCGAGAACAAAAGCAATTTTAGACATAAATACTGTTGTGTATATTTTAAAGCCCTCCCTTTTCTTCCTATTCACGAAAACAGAAGCAGTCATCTAAATCGCCAACAAACGCGAGGAAAATGAGAGCTGCCGTTTCACCCGCACGCTTATACTGATCGTAAAATGTAAAACACTTGAAGAACCTGTCTTGTTCTACATATCCCGGTTTTGCACCCTCAGAAATCCAAGAAATCCACCTAAACTAAACATAGACCCCGGACCGAGAAAAGATTTATTTTTATTTTCGTACAATGCATTTTTTTCCCAAAATTAATTTTTTTTTTTTAATTTCATTTCTTCCTCCTTTTTTCCGCTGGAAATTTGAATTTACTGTCAATTTTAACTATAACAATTCTTTTTAATTTTTGCTTTTTTTCCGCTGGAAATTTTAATTCACTGTCAATTTTAACAATTATTTTTAATTTTTTTTCTTAATTGCATTTTTGTCTCTTTTTCCTTGGAAATTTAAATTTACAGTCAATTTTAACAATTATTTTTAATTTTTTTTCTTAATTGCATTTTTGTCTCTTTTTTCCCTTGGAAATTTAAATTTACAGTCAATTTTAACAATTATTTTTAATTTTTTTTCTTAATTGCATTTTTGCCCCCTTTTCCCCTGGAAATTTGAATTTACTCTCTATTTATAATTTTAATTCCGCGTGATTTAGCCGAAATTTTTTAATTTTAACTTTTTTTTTTAATACATCTTTTCGAGAAAAAAAATAGAGTTAACAAAAAAAGAGAATAAGAGAAAAAAAATGAGTTCAAAGACTTTATTTGAAATCGGGCAAATAATTATTATAGAGTTTAAGTGTCCCATGTTACTGCCATGAATGATCTATGAAGCGTAACTCGACTTGTTGATCCACCCACTCACTGAAGTGGCAATATTAATCCAGTAAAATGAATTTTATTAAGTATCTATTTTCATTTCATTTACGATCTTTTTACTATTCCCATGAATCCATCTTTCCCAATTTCTACGATCCATGACCGCACTTCCAAAGTCTCATATATACCTACATTAAAAAAAAATGTAATAATTAATAACACACCGAAAAGTGAACGATATTCTAAATTTAAGAATATAATCTTGGCATTTGTTTAAAATGTCAATTAAAAACAAAAAGAAATTTGGATTAAAACTTATTATTAAAAATTTTATTTGGGATAAATAAAATTTTATTTACTAGAAAAAAAAAAATATTTTTGTCTAAATTTTAAATAATAAATATTTTTATTATTTATTATTCATATAGTTCATGCCTTTCGGGTTTGAACGGAAAATAATATTTTTATTAATCTAATTGTTTTTGTAATTTTATATTTTATACTTTAATTTTGTATTTTAATTTTGTAAATTACTTTTTGTATTATAATTTTTATTCAGTGTTAGTTTTTTTAAGTTTACGGAAAAAAAATTTGTAAAACTTTGTAATAAGTACACAAATGAAGGAAATAAATCTATCTAAATATATTTTTATTATTTATTATAAAAAAAATAAATATTTTTTTTCAAATAAATTTATTTGGTGCAAATAATTTTATTGCCAAATAAAATTTTATGCGAAACCAAATTTTATTTATTTATACAAATAAAAATGTTTATGCCAAACAAAAATTTATTTATTTATACAAATAAAATGTTTATGCCAAACAAAAATTTATTTATTTATACAAATAAAATGTTTATGCCAAACAAAATTTTTGTTTGAAAAAATTATAATACAAAAAATATAATTATATTTTCTGAGACAAATATACTTATATTATTTACTTTAAAATTGTATTATTCAAAGGAGATTTTTAACAATAAGTAAATTATAATTCAAATTTTTTTTTAATTTTTAAATAATAAAATTTTGTTTGTCATAAATAAAATTTTATTTGACGTAAATAAAATTATTTGAACCAAATAAAATTTATTAAAAAAAAATATTTATTTTGCCCCAGAGACAAATATTTTTTTTTTCTACGTATATATATAATGAAAAAATTGTAGTAGTGTTAAAATTTTTAAATATTGTACGTTAAATGATGTCAACAGACGTAGTAATAATGTTAACGACGCTTTAATAATGATCGTCATTAACGCATTGATGTTGTAAGTTCTAAAATTATGTTTACAGATACCAAACAAACGAGAGTTTATTACTATTTGAAAATTCATTAAAAATTAAACACATGGAAATAATAGATTTTTATTATATAGTTATATATATAAAGAAAATCACAAATTAAATATTATATATTTTATACAACAGGAAGGAAGGATAAAGACAATAATAAAAAATCATCATATATATTTGGAAGCATTTTTCTTTTTATTAAAACAATTTCAGTGAAAATATAAAAATACTGTACAATCATTAAAAATATAGGAATGAAGTACTTAATGTGCTATCACTTAAAATTACTTAATTATGCTTTAATTATTATGTACAAAAAAAGTCACAGATCAATATAGTCAGTTAAAATCACTTATTATGCTTTTTTTTCAAAAAAATTTTTTTTTTCCATTTCTCTTTTTTCTTTTTTTTCAAAAATATTATTATACGGACAATGATCTTGTGACTTTATTTTAATATCACTCTATTTTAAGTACAAATCTATTTATTTAATATAAAATAAATTGTTCTTAAAAATTAAAGGTAATATAATACTATTCCCTCAAAAAAAATATACAGTAATCCTTTGTATACAAATATAATAGTAAAATATACAAATTAAAATTATTTTTCAAAGTATGGTGAAAATTAATCATTTACATACAAAGAATAATGATAAAACTTTGGCAGATTTGCTGTATGGCTGAAGGTGAAAAACAAACACTCATAGCATTATTTCGTAAATTAATAATTATTTTTGTTTTTAAAACAGTCGAGGGTGATGAAAATTTCTTTTTAGAAATTTTTTTTATTATTACTATTATTATATAGTCTTATTCGCGATAGCTTATATATAATAATTTGTCTTTATATTTTTTAATTTTTCTCACATATTTGGCATTCAACGTCAGTTTTTTTTTATTAAATTTCAATTACTCGTTTAAAATTTTATAATAATTAAGAAGGTAAATTGATAATTAAATTATCATTGAATATTAAAATAATATTTAGTGATTTTCATCGATAATAATAAATGAAGTGATAAAAATAAAAAATAGTGTTTTAATTTTGAGTTTGGTTTTTTGCAAAAAGAACTTGAAATATATTTGAATGTCATTTTAAATTTGACGAAAATAATTAAAGGAATCGTGAATCCTAAGGTCAAATTGGCCTTGGTTTCTTTTAACGATCCCTTGTCTCTTCTATATAGACCTCGACAGCTGCTGTTAGTGTCGTTTTGACATTTTTTCTCTTCCCTTCTATGACTACCACACACATATCATTCTCATATTTTTACAACGGATGCTCATACTACTTAATTAGTCAATTTCATTTTTCTTTTAGAAAAAAAAAAATCCTTTCCCTAATTTTATTTTTCAAAGTTAAATAAAAATTCATCATTATCAAAAAATTTTAGAAAAATGAAAATTAATAATCCTGAGAATATATGAGCAGGTTTATATAATATTTCTAAAGTCAATATTATTTCAAGTGTTTTAAAATAATTTTCAAATTTTCGTTATTTTCGAAACAAAAATAATATTTAAAATAATAAATTTATTTTTCTAAGCTCAATATTTAAAAACAAAAATTTTTCATAAAATTAATTTCTAAGAAATATTTTAGTGAAAATTAATTATTTTTTTAATATTCGAATTGCCAAAGTAAAGAAAAAATTTTTTTTTTTTATAATTTTGAATTTCTACTATACAATGGGGGGGAAGAGATGAAGATTGTGTGGCGAGGCACATTCGAAAATGAAAATAAAAAAAAAAAGAAAAAAAAAATTACTGAAGGGAGAAGGAATCGGTGTTTTTTTCCCGAAGATTCACTACCGCAATAAAGACAGTCCGAGACTTTAACGCAGCGTGTCTTCGTTAAGCGAGTAAAACGCAGCTAGAGAGTTTGCTTTGGCTGGATTAAAATAACTAACTCCATCCGAAATATTCACACGCTCGCCTTCGCCTGGTTACACTGCATATGCGTGAACGTATATGTAAACACATATCTCATGACAGACAGGTCTTATATACCCATACATACATAATCAGTCTCAAAAAACCCCCCTCATCCACCCCCAAAACAAAAAAAAAAGAGAGAGAGATGCACTTTTTTATAATATCCAAAAGACTTTCTTCTCCTCAGAACTCTCGTAAAACATTTTTTTTAATGTCATTTTTCACTATTCTCTTTTAGTTTAAAGTAAATTTTTTTGTAACAAAATAAAAATATTGTAAACAAAAAACAACTAAAGTTTTTTTTTTACAGAAGAAACATTAAAAAATTAAATTATAATTTTCTTTTCCCGGAGAAATATTTACAAAAATTTTATTTTTTTAATAAACAAAATTAATTTTTTTTAAACATTTTTAAAAAATGAAATTTTTTCTTTTGAAGAACAAATTTTTTAAATCAAATTACAAATTTTTTTCAAAAGAGAAATTCTTTAAAAATTAAAATTATTTTTTTATAGAACAAAATTTAGAAAAATTAATAATTTCTTTTTTTTCACAGAAGAAACATTTTTATAAAATAAATTAATTTTTTTCTTCTTTTAAAGAAGAAATATTTTTAAAAATTAAATTATAATTTTTTACAGGACAAATTTTTAAAAAAATTATAATTATTTTGTTACAAAACAAAATTTAGAAAAATTAATTTTTTTCACAGAACAAACATTATTAAAAAATTAATTTTTTCCTTTCTGAAATAATTCTTAAAAATTAAATTATAAATCCTTTTTTTATAAAACTCTTCCATTTTTTTTATTTTTCATAAATGGGAAATTCCCTAGAAAAAAAATTTTTAAATAGGTGAAAAACTACAGGTAGGTCACTTCTCTCTCTCTCTTTTTTTTTGCGAATTTTCGTCAGGGAAAAACCCACTTTTAGAGCTTTTGGGGGAGATTATTTTGATGTCTAATCCTGAATTTACTGGTATACGGTCACAGTGCAATAAATGGTGAAGAGATCGTGTATTGTAAAAGGCAACCAATATTTTCTGGTTGGTATATATAGTATTCTTAAAAGCCATGCAATATAATCACAAATCGTAAATTTAACTTAAAGGTATCCTATTTTACTCTCAAGAGCTGTTGGGATTAAAATTCAAATATATACCTGTTATTTTCAGTTTAGTAATCTCTTTCCATTTACCGTTTTGACATTGTTAAAATTCATGGTATTTCCTACGGGGATTCCCCATAGGCACGCGCTTTATAAAATCTTTCCTTTGCCATTATTACCCCCAAAAATTTCAAGTCCTTCATTTTTATAACTCAAAATATGATATTTAGAAATAGAAAAAAAAATAATTTATTTTCCCTATCATTTTAGTGATAAAAGTAATTTTTTATTTCTGTTTTTTATTATTTTCTCTTCATTTATTTTTTGATTATTTAGCTGTTTGTAAGATTTTTAGGGGCAAATTTTTTTGCCAAAAGCTATTTTTTAAACGAGTAAAGAAAATGTGATCAGAATTACATATATTAAAAACTCACGTTTATAGTAAATGTAATTTGATCTGATCGTCAAAGATCATTAATCACAAAATTGTTTCTACTTTTATTTTCACAAAAGTAAAAAATTTCGCTTAAATTTAAATTTTTAATTTCATTTTTAATAATATTGTTAATATAGTATTAAATGAATTTTGTTTAGTGTTAATAAAAAAATATTCTCATAAAAATAAATAAATTGCAAATTACAAGAATAATTGTGAAAGTAAATATGCTCAAAATAAAAAAAATGGCTTTAGAGTTAATAATATTCTACTTATAAACTAATATATATGAAATAATAAAAATTTACACGTAAATGTAATTTTGGAGACATTTAAAAGTTTTCGTACCAGCGAATCCGTGAAATGTTCCTCATGGTTAAAATGTAATCACTGGATCAAATATGGTTCATCGTTCCCAGATTTATTTCATAAACCAATTTTTTTTTTTTTGCCTTCTATAAATTAGCATTCCATTCACCTTGCATTCTCCAAACGCTGAATGCATAGGAAATTTTTTCCTGCGCAATGTAAGTACAAGAGGTTGATGCAATTTCTTTGGCTGCCAAATGTAATGCATTTCTTTGATTGGAATCGCCTATGTCAAAAAAAAGAATGATTAAATATTTTTTCAAAAAATAATTTTTTTTTATTATAGTACACCCTCAATATTGTGTTAAAAATTTGATTTTCCTTTTAGTTTAAAAGCAAATTACACTATTTTTCCTAATGTATTTGTATCATAAAAAATGAGTGTGACATCTTACCATTAATTTTGAATTGACTCCATAAATTGTGTTTGTTGTGTGTTTGAAATAGTATGTTCGTGACCTCGCACGATCCGTAAAAAAGCTCTTTTTAGATCTGAAAAATAGTGATATGCTTTTTTCACTAAAAGGAAAATAAATTTTAATTGTTTTTTGAAGCAATTTTTGAAAGATTTCCTTTTTTTTACTATTAAAATATTAGCGCAAAAAAAAATAGCAAAATAAAAAAAGATTTGAAATTTTCTTTGCTTGTAACACGTCAACCGTTGACGGAGAAATGGAATTAACGAGATGGCTACCACATGGATTTATGTCTTACAAAAACAAAAAGGAGAATTCTTTTTTTGTAATTATGTTTTTTTAATTGCAGTTTTTTTTTGGTGAAAATTAAAAAAAAAAAAGTAGTTTGATAAATTTCGAAATTGGGGATAAAATGATTAATGGAATGTTTAATGTAAAGTTCTTGAAAGGCTTTTGAAAAAAATTGAATGGACTATTCTAAAAAAATTTAGAGCAAAACACTCGTGAATGATAAGAGTTATACGAGAGGCCCTATTCAATCGTCGGGTCCAGCTTCCTAAATTTACGAGAATCCACTATGGAGGTCTTTAATTACATTATAGAGGATAAATAGTTTTTGTTTTTAAAATCAAGTGCATCTTCCAAAAACTACTATTTACAAATAGAAATTAGAAAAAATGTTTCCACACGCACAATTTATGGTTTATTTATACTTTTTTAATAAAAAAAAAGAATAAATACAAATTAATTTTAAATAATTTTTGTTCTTACCTTCATCTAATCCTTCCAAATTATCAGCAGGACATTGTGCAACCGTTGAAAGAAATTCGATGTACCTGGCAGCAAGCCTCAATGTTTGTATTTTACTGAGCTTATCACTTGGCATTGTTGGTATTTTTTTTCTAAGATCAGTGAAAGCTTGATTTAAACTTTGTGTTCTCTGTCTCTCTCTAACATTGGCAATAACTCGTTGATTTTGAATTTCTTCAAATGTTGCGCCATTCTTTCGTCTTATTTTATATTTACTTGATGATGATGAAGAATTATCACCATCATCTGAATCATTATCAACACTGTATTTACGTTTTCGTTTACCGGATGTTGGTCGTGATGTTGGAAATGTATTCTTCGTTGATGATGACGACGACGACGATGATGGTAAAATTTTTCTCATTTTATTCTCCTTGAAATTTGTAATTTCCTCTTCCTCTTTGAAATTTGGTATTTCTTCCTTGAAATTCGTTATTTCTTCCTCTTCTTTAAAATCAATGACTTCGGGTTTAAATTCAATGATATTGTTAATATAAGATTGATCATGAATTTGTGAATTCATTTCCTCGCCGGATGAATACATTTGTGGTGATGGCGATAGATAAATATTTTCATGATCACGATGTCCATGATCGGAAATTAATTCCGGTGATGAATGTAGCCGCCGGTCGCAATCAATTTTGTCATAAATCAATCTTTCGTTATTCATTTGTTGAAAACGTTTGTTACCAACAATATTTGGATAAGTGATGTAATTAGATTGCGTTTGATAAAGAGAATGATGATTATTATGATGATTATGCTGTTGTTGTTGTTGTTGTTGCTGCTGCTGTTGATGATGATGATGAAGGTGGTGATGTTGACGATGTAAACTTGGAAGAAGCCTTTGATCCTGTGGATTGCTGAGATCCATTAAATGACTTGGTGGTGAAAATCTCTCATAATGATTTGGTGAATTACTCGCTGAACTTCCGCCGCTATGTGGAATACCTGAACTATCATTCACCATCACATAAACACTTGGAATACCCGGCAAACTCATTGGCTGTGTTTGCATCATTTTTTTGTTCTTCGCAAAAAAAAAAATTGTTTCCGGAAAAAATAGAAAAAAAAAAAAAATAGAAGTAACTATTATATCTTTGAAAGATATTTAGAATATGTTTCTAAGATTTAAGAGCGATGTTTGAAGTTAAGGTGCACGACTCGATCTGTCAGGGGTGAGACAGACTTATTAGAAGGAATGGCTCCTGTCTCATCTCGGGAACCCCGCCCTCTTGAAGATGAGTTTCTGCCTTCTTTTACCACCACTCCAATACTCCCACTACGAAGATTTCTTTTATCTGAGCTGTCAGTTACTCCCCCACTATGGGGATCAGGTTTAGAGATGAAGAGAGAGAAAACGAGAGATTTGAAAAGGAAAGAGAGAATATTGTGGGTGGATGCTGAAAAAGAGAGACAGAGAGGGGGAAGTGAAGAAAATCGAAAAGAAGGTATAGACTTCAGCGGAAGGGCGCAAAAAAAACAGGTTGTAGAAAGAATAGAAAAATAGGAATAGAAAAAAAAAAAGATTTGCACATCTGGATAATGAGACAAAAAGAATTTGGACCAAGTGGGGGAAGATGGGGTAGGCTGAAGAAAATCAGTGATACATGAAGGAGAAACAGGATGTGAAAAATGGTGGAAAAACTGTGCAAACAAATTTTTCGAAATGGCCTCGAAAATTTCGGTTTTCAGTTAGAAATAACAATAGAATTCTTATTCTTTGATAAGACTCTTCGAAACGCATGATTATTCCGTAAAAATCATTTTTTGAATTTTTATTTTCAAGATTTTAATTTTTTTTCAAGATTTTTTTATTTTTTTTATACGAATTTTTATTTTTCGAATTATCAAACAGAATTTATTTTTAAATGAATTTTTCTTAACAGAATTGTTTGGTATCAAATTTTTATTTAGCTGAATTTTTATTTCAAGAATTTTTTCTTATTGAAATTTTTATTTCACAGTTCTTGTTGTCCAAATTTTTATTTAGAACAATTCTATAATTTAACCGAATTTTAATTTAGCATAATTCTCAATCAAGTGAATTTTAAGTGATTCGAATTTTGTAAATTTTAGAATGTTCAATTCATAAAGTTTTCATTTTTCAGAATTTTTTACTTGCACGAATTGTTGACAGAATTTTTAAAACGATGAATCTTTATCCGAAATTGGAAATAACCAAATAAAAAATCAACAGAAAGCGCGATTTTTAAAATTTACTAATAATTTCTGATTTTTAGTCAATTTTTAAAATGGCACCGAAATTATTTCATCGATTTTTTTATTTGTTTATTTGCAATTTCGGACAAATAAAAGATTCTATTAAATAATAATTTGTATAAACAAAAATTCGGACAAATTAAGATTTGTTGAATTGGAAATTCTGATATTTAAAAATTCGAATCTCTTTAAATTCTGTTGAACGAGAATTATGATAAATTAACATTCCGACAAATAAAAATTCGGTACCTAAAAATTTTGTAGAGTAAAAATTTGTTTAAAAAGAAATTCTGTCATATGACAATTCGAAAAATGAAAATTTGTCTAAAAAATAATTATATTATCTAATATAATAGCTGAAAAAAGAAAATTCTAAATAATGATTTTTATGGAATACTGCTCGCGACTCTTCAAATTATAATAATTATAGTTAATACGAAAATATGTAAATCAGAACTACGTCCGAAACCGAAAAGTATGTACTATAAATAAATAATAAAAATAAATAATAATTAGTAAATAAAACAAAAAATTATATATTACAATTATAATATTATTATTAACAAATATTGTTATCAATTAATATTGTTATTAACAAATATTAGTATCAATTAATATTGTTATTAACAAAAATTACTATCAATTAATATTGTTATTAATAAATATTTATAAATTAAACCTGACGGAATTTGTTTAGTACCGAATTAAAAATTATCGAATTTTTAATTATCGAAAAATTTGTAAACAAATAAAAGTTTTGTTAAATAAGAATTTTTTAAAATGGAAATTAAGTTAATTGTGAATCATTAATAAAAAATATTGTCAAATGAATAATTAGATAAATAGAAATTCGATAAAGGAACAATTCTGTTAAATAAAACTTATTTTTTCTGAAAATTTTACTAGACATAAATTCTGCTTAATAAAAATTTGAATATTCGATTCATTAGAAAATCTGCTATACAAAAAACCAGTTAAAAATGAAATTAAATAGAAATTAAATTTAATTGAATTAAATCAGAATTTCGTTAAATAGAAATTCTTCGATCTGGCTCATTATAAAATATACTTTATAAAATTCTGCTAAATAAAAATTCGATATTTTTTAGGCATTAAAAAAATTCCGAAAAGTCTAATTTGAAGAATATTTATAAGTCCCATTTTTTTTTTATTTGAAGAAATTTAAAATTACTGAATTCGAATAATTTCCTCGATCTGAATCAGTGAAAAATCTACTAATCTCTCATTAATAGTGTAATATTTTCAGTTACATGTTTGAATCGATTTCGACACTGAAAAATCAGGAAAATTTCATTTGATTCAGATACAATTAAAATTTAACTTTTGAATATATGAGATTTACTTTTCGCACTGATTCAGATTGAAAATAAAAATTACTAATAGATAAAAAATAAAAATTGAAGAAAAAAAAAAATAAAAATATAAAAAAATAAAACCGCGCAGAATTTAGAGAAAACGGGAAGTTTGAGTAATATACACAGTGTATTATATTGGATGATCTAAGATCTGACGGGGATCATGACGAATGAAAACAAGGAGGGGGTCCTTTATGTTTATTTCATAAACATTATGCTTCCTCATTGTGTGAAGCAAAAAATTCGCTTCCTCGTGAAGGAAGCAATGAATTTGTCCAATTCAATTGATTGATTTAAAAAATTTCGAGTTAAAAATGTTTTAAATTAATTAAATTTTTTGAAAAATAAAGAAAATTTTAATTAATTTTGAGTGTAACATAAACTTTATATATACGAATCGATTCGTTTTAATGCAAGGAATACAATTATTTTATTCATCAACTTGAATTTAAAAAAAACACAAAATTTTTTAGCTAAAATATGAATTTTCGATTTTTCAATTTTTATTAATTCTCAAATTTTAAATCAAATCTATACTTTATATATACCAACCAATTCGTTTCAATGCAGGGAATAAAATTATTTCATATATAAACATGAATTTAAATAAACACATCATTTTTTAGCTAAAATGAGAATTTTTGATTTTTTAACTTTCTTTAATTCTTTAAATTTCAATCAAATCTATACTTTATATATATCAATCGATTCATCTTGACATAAAGAAGACGATTATATTATATATTACCTTAAATTTTTCGATTTAAAAATTTTTTCAATTAAAAAAAAATTTTTGGAAAAAAGACGATAAAATTTTTTTTTTGGGGTATTTTTAAAAATCCTCTCGTCATTTTTGAGAGATTAATGTGTTAAATAAGCCTACCAAATTTTATCCAAATCCATTAAAACCTGTTAAAGATATCGTGTTCACAAAAACGATCCACACACACATACACACACACACACACACACACACACATACATACATCCGGACAATTGATCAGGATCTCATATAACATGTTTCTATATAGAGGAAAATTTGTTTTCACCATTTTTAAAAAGTTTATAAACGAAAGGACTACATAGCTTCCTCCACGAGGAAGCAAAAAGCAATGAAAACTTGATCCTTTCGGGTTGAACGAAAGAGAAGGAACAAGATATATAAAAAAAAAGGGTCTTGAATATTTATATCGAATGCCCCAAGTCTGCTGAGCTCATCTTCCTCAGTTTTAGTATACATATATATAACCTACATTACAAGAAATACTTTGTACTTTCTGTCATGAGAATCTTCTATATATTCTCACAGATCACAAGGTCAACTATTATTTTAGCCTTGATGTGTAAAATTCAAAATACACATCAAAGTATAAGAAATTTACGTACTTTTGATTTAAATACATATTAAATCAGGTTGCGGGTTTCTTTTTCCTTTTTTTTAAATAAATTATAGTTTATTTTTTTTTAACTCACCAGTATAGAAAATCGCACCTCGATCTTTGATTTCTTTTCTTAAATTGAGACTTTTGGTATAAGTATTTTTAAACTGGTTCTTTAATTTGTAGTTTCTTTTCTCTTTTTTCATTTGCGTCCACAATTAATTTCTTTAATAATCCAGTTAATTAATTGAAAATCCTATTTATTACTCCAAATTCTGCGGCATTATGTGATGAGCAACGAATTCACCTGCGAAAAAAAAATATTTTTAGAATAAAAATAATTAGTTAAAAAAATAATTTTTTCCTTGACTATTATTTAAAATATGACCGTCTATGTTAGATTATTATAAAAAATAATAAATATTAAATAATAATTAATTTATTATTAAAATAGTTTGTAATAATAAAAAAATAAATAAAATAATCTTTAGTAAGTTATTGAAAATTATTGAGTAATTCAAGATTTATAGATCATACAGTTTTCTCGCACAATCTAAAATCAAAAAGCAATAAGATTCATTTGTTATTAAATTTACTAAATTAAACATCCGCATCTATAATTCATTGTTTCAAATTATATATGTATATTATAAATTTTGTGCACAAGTAGGTATAATATTGTGCGCGAGATGTGAGGAAATTTGAAAAGAAAAAAAATATTTTCAATTGGAATTTGTAATAATCTGTCAATCATTTTAAGAAATATATATTTATGGGATGCAAACGCTTTGAGATGCGATTTTATATATTACATATAAATTTTGGCATTTTGCCAAATTCACCAAAGGAAAATTCATATATAAAATGATAAACTGGTCATTTCAGTCCAGACTCTGCTGTTATATTTTCAAAAGGAGTGTTCGACCATTTAATATTAAACCACATTTTGGAACAAGAATTTATTCACACCTAATTTTTTTTATAAAAAAATTTCTTTCTTTTGTTTAAATATTAAATTCGGATAGAAAAATAATATACAATAAAAAAATTATTTAAAAAAAATAAATTTTGAAAAATAATAATATAATAATATAATTAAATTTTGAAAATGTTACGGTATTTTGATAATCAATAAAGTTTTGATTAAAATTTCCTTTTGAACAATTACTATGGTTAAAAATTTCATTTCAATGCGATGCGGGAAAATTTGACACATAAGTCGGAATCGGAATTATAAAAACGTGAGGAAAAATTCAAGTTTACAGGGATTGTTATTCTTTACCTGCCCACTTTGTCACCAGGTAAATAAGAATTCTAATTCTCAAATTGCCACCAGCAAGGTAATAATTAATACATGTGAACTAAACACCCTTCCTTTTTCCCATTTCTATTCTATTTCCAATAAATTTTCGAAAGAATATAACCAAAAATTTATAAGTTCTAAATTTATCTAAAATTAATTACAAATTAGAGCATAAATTCCATATTCCATTCATTTAAATTAAAAAAATTTGATTAGTACGAAGAAGCGTTCTCTATCTATTTTTCTACCTGCATGATATTACTCACAAACGTTTCTTAACGATGAAACAAATTTGTTTCCGATGGCTTTTGAGTTAAATAGGAAAAAAAAAAGAAAAAAAAAAAGGTGACTGACAAAATAATGTTGAAGGACATTGTGACTTTTACTGAGCTATTTGGAATTTGAGAAAACTTTCACCTCTTCTGACGCAGTATATAGTCATTAGAAACATGTGGTACCGAGCGCAAACACATGTTCGTCGAATAGGACTCATAAATGCAAAATTTCTATCCTCTTTGCCTCACGGTGGAAAATATAAATTCTACAATAGGTTTTTTTTTTGTATTTTTCTCAAAAGAAGTGCTCTGAGGATTTAAGTTCCGCCACATAGAATATTTTTCCAATTTTAAAAAGTCTCCACAGAAAAAATGAATCTATTAAAAAAAGAAAGAAAATTAGTTTAATTAAAAAAGAATTGAAAAGAAAATGTGAATTTATCTCTGAAGGAATTCTACGTAGGAAAAGAGTTCATAAAGTCACGGTTGTCTCCAAGGTACTAAATTTTACTTATGTACTTTCAGGGTGGTCTAAACGATTGATAATTTTGAAATAAAAATCCAATTAACTTGAAATAAAAATACAGAATATAATTTTTGAGTTGCAAAATTTGAAAAATGACAGAATTATTTATTTGTAATTTACCCGGTAAAATTATAATTTTTAATTTTGGATTTTCAAAATTCGAGTTTTTATTTTTAATTAAAATTTCTAAATTTAATGAATAATAAAACTGGATGTTACTTACGGTATTTATAGTTAAACGATGAATAATTTTTGAATGAAAGAGATACTTGATTTTACAAAAGGGATATTGTACCTTCCTTCCTTCCTTTCTGTCGATTTTTATAAATGGCAACAAGTGCCTCAACAATAGCGCGACCTGCCTCCATTGTACACCTGTCAAAAGTACCTGTTGCTGTCGACAAGCTTTTTCTTCTGAAATATAAACATCAATTTTACACTATTTTCACTTCAAAAGTATTACAAACCACAATTTTCATTCATACATAAAAATAAAACTTATTTTCACATTTAGAAAAAAAAAAATATTTACACTTTATTCGTTTTTTTTTTAATTACGAAATGAAATTCGAAATTCCAAAATATACAATTTTTTTTATTTATAATTGTATTTTTTATTTTTAATATTTTATAAACATTAAAATAAAAGTCTTATGAAAATTATTTCTATCTTATAAAATTTGTGTGAAATAAAATTTTCATAATTTATGAAATAAAATTTTCCGTATCCTTTATTAGTGAATGATTTATTACTTTATTTTTATTTATTCTAAGTTTCGAGTTTAATGTTTCTTAAATCCTCTTAAGAAGTCAAAATGCATGTTTGTGATTGCAGAAAGTATATAAGAATCACGTGAAATAAACAATATTTATAAGTTTCACGTCTGGTCGAGCAAAAAAAAAAAAAAATCGGTAATGTTTAAAGGGGATTTTACAGAGGGATGTGAAATAATATTATGAAAACAAGTAATCCACTTATATAGGTAGCTACAGGGGCTGCTGAACAAATTCAGAAGCGTGAGTAAATTCTCATTTTGTTTTCAGTGCAAATTCTCAATTTCCTATAAGTCGAAAAGTGACTTTTCAGGAATATATTTTCCAAGGACATCAGATATATATCCCCGAATAAAATAATAATAATAATTTACTGTACTTTATATTCCTTATTAATAATTTTAAATATCTTTTTTAATATTTATTCTAGGCATAAAAAATAAATAAAAAAATATTTTCTAAATTTAATTAAATATTTATAATTTTTTTTTTAAAAGTAATTTTTTTTTGAAGTAATATTTTTCAATAAGAAAAAAGGGGTTTTCAGTTAACCACATGGAAAATCAAGGTTGTTGGTTTTTTTTTCCTTTTTTTTTTTTGATAAAGCAAACCCTTTTTTTTGCACATAAGTCCTTCACTTGACAAAAATCCTGAGGGGCAAAAATCCTCACAAGTATTAAGTGGGAAATTTTACGGTCTCATCTGGTCGTTGATGGGGGCAACACGTGCTACCTGTTTATGCTGATGTTTATGGGATACCTATCCGGTAAAACTAACCTTTGCCGAAATACTCACTTCTGGTAAACATATGTTGAACGTCTGTTGAATGCCATATAAAGTGGAAAAAATTTGGAGACCACGTGCCCAAAACTATAAAACTGCATAAGGCATATACCTTTTAATGAGATTCAGGTCACGTTAAAATCTATCAGGAAAGTCTCTCACGGCAATATTCTACACATGTTTTCCAGATTTGACCCGCGCAATATCAATTTATGATATACATTCAATTCAAAGACCAATTAACCTTGACTTTTTCATATATATATAAAAAATTTCTTCCCTCTCTATAAATGTGAATTAGTCACTGACTTTTTAAATTTGATTTCCTTATTGTTAATTACTAAATAAATTTAATTTAATCACTAATTGAAATTAATAAAATTTTTCTTAATAATTTATTTTTATTGAAAAATAATAAATAAAAAAATTATTAAAAATAATAAATAAAAAATTACTAAAATAATAATAAAAAAATTATTAAAAATAATAGTAGGTACTGAAAAATAAATTAAAATAGTTCCGGCGCAATTTTTTGTAAATTTATCAATATTAATTTTTCCTGATAAAAATTATTTTAGGAACATTTAATTCTGATTATAATTCCAAAATGTAAATAAAAAGAAAAATGAAGTTTTTCATAAAATTATATAGAAGAAATAAAATTTTATCGGTAAATAATTGTCTGTATGTAACGAAAAAAAAAAATTAGACTCGACCTTATTTTCATTTTCAATATTGAAATGAGCTTTTAAACAATTATTATTATATGATGACTTAGCTGGTACTAAATTTTTGCCTCTGGAAATAATACAATAAGTGTGGTTGGATTATACCGGTCCAATAAAAATTGGTCCTCTGGAAAATGTTTCTCTCAGCGCGTATCGCATGGTGTGAAAAATCTTTGTCATTTTGCAGGTATAAATATATTGCCACCAGCAAAGTATCCATTCAAAAATGAAAATTTTTGGTTTTCCCCAAAAATTGTCATTAGAATGCCTATTCAAGTATTAAATATACCCGCACCCTAATATACTAAGGGATTAAAGTGATAAACCTTATTTTTAACTATTTTTTCACTATAGTTATATATTAATATATAAATAAAATAATTTTTCAGGCCCTTAACATTTTTTTTTCTTTTTTTTTTTTATTATAGGACGAAAAAGCGAAGAACCATAAAATTTTATATTTCAATTTTAAAAGAATAGTTTTCCAACTTACACGTCTTTGTATTTCAACTTCCGCTGTCACCGATTGTTTATTGTTCCAAGAAATCGCCCTGCGGGACCAACGCATCGTCTTTTTTTTTTGCTCTCTTTCTTTCTCTCTCTCTGTAAATACAAAAGGGCGATATATAGTTGAGCAAAAAACTTCCAACACTGTGGTTTGAGTTTATTTAAATTCCACTGACTTTAAACTATCAGAAATGTATAAGGGTAAAAAAAACCGCTTTCATATTCAGAGAAAAATAACATTTTGACTAAAAGTTCTGAAATATTGATTCAAATGAAAATCAAGACCACCCGTAATGATTTTATTATTGTTTAATAATTATTACTGATGAAATAACCTCTAAATAAAATAAGCGTGAATAAACTTTAAAATAAATTTGTTACAATTTTCATTTGTCAGTATTTCGTTATTTTTTGAATTTAATTTCAGCTGAAATTTTAATTTTTTTCTAATTAATTACATATTTAACAGAATTTCCATTTATTGCATTTAACCGAATTTCTATATTACAAAATTGTTTATCAATTTACTAATTTTTTAATTCATAAAATTTGAATTGTACGGACTTTTTATTTCATTGAATTTTGAGTTTTAAAAAATTATTATTTCATCAAATTTTTATTACATTAGTCATTTAAAATAATTTATAAATTTTTATTTTACAGAAAGAATATTAGAATTATAATAATTACAATAATAAATATAGTTCGAGTAATATTTTAATTTAAAGAAAATTTTATATTCAAAATAAATTAATTTTTTTCCCTACCACTTGTTTGAATCAAATAATTAAAATTTCGATTTTGCCTAAAAAAATTAATGATTTTTTTGATAACGAAATTTAAAATTACAAAAAGAGCCGAAATTTTAATTTATTTGACTTAATAAACATTTCTAATAAGTGATCGAAAAATATTATTTTGGTCCATTCAAACCAAGGCTTTGTTAAAATTTACATTAGTTAGAATTTCATTATTTTGAATAATTAACGTTTAGTCGAATTTTTATTTGTTCAAAAATTTATATTAATTTACAGAATTCTCAAAAATTTGGATTTTTATAAACAGACTTTTTACTTGTCCGAATAAATATTTGTCTTTAAATATTCAATTATTATTATTATTATTTATTTATTGTTTTTAATTATTAATTATTATTTCTTTTACTATTGAATTATTTAATTATTTGTCTAAGAATTCTGTAATATGGAAATTAGTACAAATAAAAATTTTGTCTCGAAAACAATTCTTTCTAATATTCTTTCTGTAAAATAAAAATTCTTTTCTGTCTAAAATTAAAATTTAAGCTAATAATAATTACCTATGTCAAATTCGAATTTCATGAAATAAAAAGTCTGTCAAATTTAAATTCATGAAATGAAAGAAATTAAATTTTAAAAAATTTAATTAAATTTGCGATTTCAATGAAATAAAAATGTAAAATTCGAATTCAATGAAATAAAAAGCCTGTAAAATAAAAATTCGTTTAAGTAACAATTCTATAATACAGAAATTCGGTTAAATGTAATTTCTGTTATATAATAATTCGAAGAAATGGAAATTCGGCTAAAAATAAAATTTAGCCAATAAAATTCTGCCAAATGGAAATTTTAACAAATTAATTTTATATCTTATTCACACATTTCGAAATAAATTAAGAAAAAATAATTAATTTTTGATTATAGATTTATTTAATTAAATTTAAATTTCTGTTTATTTAAATTTATGTCAAAAATAATTGTATATATACTAATTCATTCACGGGTGGTTTGAAATTTCTAAATGAGCCTTTGGATTGGCGCAAATTTATATATATATGAAATTTGGCTTAATTTATTCCGAAGTGAGACATTTAGTTTGCTTAATATTTTGACGATATACTCTTTGGCCAGAACGGAATATATATGTATAGAAAAGGACATAATTTCTTAATGGACGATAATGAGAATGAGACATGTGTTCACCAGACGTCTTCGTAAGGTGCATGATGGGAGTGAATTATAATATTTCTTTTTATTACAGTAGCAATGTCACATCTCTAGAATGCTTATTGTTATTACACTGAATAAAAATTGTAAATAAAAAATCAGTTTTTTTGCTAAACTTTTGTTGAGAAAATTTAGAATAAAAAATCCAATTTAATTATATAATTATTATTTTAATTATGCGAAAAAATTAATAATGAGAAATTATAAAATTATAAAATTAAAAAATGAGAAATTATAACAAAATAATAATTGTAAAAAAAAAAAAATAAAATAGAAAACAATGAAATTAAAATTCTTGAGAAAAACTGAATTTCCGCATATTTCTATAGATGTAAAATAATGAGAGGAAATGGAAAATAAAAAGAAAAATACGTAAAGTTCTTGAAAAAATGTCGGCAACAAAGACCGCAAAAATGGACAATGTCCAGGATGCTAAAAAAGTGGAACTACTATATTACCCAAATATAAAGAAGAGAGGTGCTCTCCTGCTGAGATGAATTATGTGGGGACTATCCTTAATTTTTCAACTCTCAACCATTTGAAGGGGCGTTTTTTTCTCCCTTTAAACAGTTGGTACACCCTACACAACATAAAAAGCGATGCAGGAGAGCAAAAGAACATCCCTTACCCCCTGGATTTAATTTAGAAAAAAAAAATTTTAGTTAATGATTTCTTTACTTTTTTTTTTTTAAATTTTCAAAAAAGAAACAATTTTTTTCATACAAAAATTTTTTTTCGTATATACAAAATATTAATTAAGTCTTAAGTTTCGAAAAAAAATAGTTCAAAAACAGAATTTCGATTTTGATTCTTGGAATTTAAGAATTAATAGAAGGCACGCGTAACTTTTGAACCCAGGAAACGTATATCGTGAAATTTCTCTCTTTTCAATCGTGTCGTCGAAAGATTCATTGCTTTTTTCTTTTAAGAAGATTCAATATAAATGTAAAAAAAAAGCTTTTAAGATTGTACAGAAGCTTTTTTTTTTAAATAAAGCCTATAGGAACAATTTTCTCTACAAAATCGGAAAAAACTCCAAATAATGATTAATATAAATTAATAAAGATTATATAGCATAATTGATATAAATAATTGAAATATTAATTTTAAATTTCAACAAAAAAGAAAGAACAAATTTCAAAATGGAAAAAGCCATTTTTACGGGATGCTTTGAAAGATAGAATATCTCCACGCAAAGAAAAACCTGTCTCTCTATTGGTGCGAAGCAAAATACTTTCACAGGTAGGAACTCCGCCCATATAAAAATGGAAAAAAAACTATGGTATTTTTTCTTCTAATTTTTATAGAAAGAATATCAAAATTGAGCTTCATAATAAATATTAATTAAATTTCCCTCAATGAAAATTAAAAAATGAATTTTGAAAATTGAAAAAATGAAAAATTTGAAATATATTTCTTTTTCTAATTTTTATAAAAAAAAATATCAAGATCAAGAGCTTTATAATATAAAATTATAAATGTTTCTCTCAATAAAAATTAAAAAACGAATTTTGAAAATTGAAATAACAAACCTAAAATATATTGAATATTTTCTCTTTTAATTTTTTAAATATCAAAAACGAGCTTCATATTATAGAATTGTGAATGAAATTTTTCTCAATGAAAATTAGGAGAAAAAAAATGTTGAAAATTAAAAAAATGACAAATCTTCCGAAATATATATATATATGCACATAAGAGAATAAAGCCGCAGCATCCATAGGGTTTTTGTATATGTCTTTTTAACGACAGATTCACACCGTACTTCCGCTTTCCAGTGGTGCGTCTCAAAGTAATTTTTAAGAATATCTTCCTTTTGACACTTGCCGTAAATCACTCTCTCCCTATCATCGAAATTCTGTCACTATTAATCTCTCACTTTTGACTTTTTAAAGTCCATTATCTTTAGTGGAAGACAAATTTTTAATAAAAAGAAGAGAAAAAAAGTGTAAATTTTAATTAAAATTTTGTTTTCAATTTTTTGTTTTCTTTTAGAAATTTTCAAATTATAGCAAAAAAAAACAAATGGAAATTTATATTTTTTTAAATTATGAATAATTTTTATCAAAGAATTAACAAAAAAAAAATCCTTTTTTGTTCAATTTGACAATATTTTGAGAAATATGTATACAATGGTAAAATTGTTTTGAGAAAGATTGAAATAGACTTAATTAGCGATTAGATTAATTTACGTATGGACATATAAGAATAAATTCTAGGAAAATTGAAACCACAACTGTCAAGAGTCGTCAGAGATTAATGGTTGACTGACGGAAAATCGGCGTCTCGCTTTTGCGCATTATATTAATGATTCCCACGCCTATTTTCAAAGTTTTAGTTATACATTTTGAAAATTATTCATAGTTTTAATATTTAAATTAAAAAATTTATTCCAAAAACGCATTTTCCGTTTTGGTCTTTAATTATAGAATTCTTTACTCATATACTGTGATTCGACTACGAAAATAGGTAAAAAAATTTTGTTGAATTCAAAAAATAAATTAATTAATTAATATTAAAATAAATAAATAAGTAAATATTAATTAATATTTACTTGAAGCAAAATAATTTCTATTTGAATCAAATAATTTTTTTTTACTACTAAAAGTGAAAAAAAAAATTTATTTGATTTCCTATTATATTAAATTAATATTTACTTGAAACAAAATAATTTCTAGTTGAATCAAATAAGTTATATATTTGCTATAAACAAATACATATTATATTATATAATAATAAAATGCTTGGTCTGTCCTTCTGTCCTAACTTGAAGTTGGCCTTTTCTGATTTTACGTGTTTTTTTGAATAGTAATCTTATGACGTGTCAAATTTTGACAATATTTTTTCTCATTTTCGCCAAAGTTGTATAATTGTGTTTCCAAATTTCGAAATAAGTTTCTTTAAAATTCCAAATTCGAAAATTCAATTCACGTAGCTGAAGTACACAACGTTTAGCAACGAAATTTTTTTTAAAGTTGTATATTGATTCAAAAATTGTATACAAATACAAAAAATTTATGATGAGAAAAAAGATGCGCCAAGAAATTTCGTACAAGATAGTAATTTGAAAAAAATTTATTTTTAAAAATTAATTTTTAAGGTACCAGGGGCCAACGAATACCTATTAAATATTAATTATAAAAACACAGGCCTCGAATCAACTTAAAGACACAAAAAGTTGTTTTAGTCGAATTAAATTCCAAAAAAAGTGGATTTGTTTTTTATTTTAACAAAAAAATATTTTACAGATTTTTAAATAGAAATTTTTTTTTAATAATAATCCTTTTCGAAGGGTTAAAGTTGAAATTTTTAGAAATAATTAAATTTCAAAAGATATTGTTAATTTTCAAACAATTATTAAATTTTACAGAACTAAAAATAATTTATCAAACAATTTTTGGAAAACATTTTTTAAATTTAATTGAATTTTCAAAGATTTAAAATTGAGATTTTTGAAATTAATTGTAACTTTAAGTGATTTTTAATTAAAATTTTAGATAATTTCACTAAAAAATTATTAGAAAAATTACTTAATTAATTAATTAATTAATTAATTAATGGACAAAATACAATAATTTGAAAATCATTTTTAATTGAAAAATGGTTTCAGATAGTTGAATTTTCAAAGAATATTATTAAAATAGTTAAAAATAATTGAATTTCCTTAGAGTTATAATTGAAATTATTAAATTTCAAAAAAAAAATTTTCGATGGAAAATTTTAGAAATAATTAAATTTTAGATGCTTTTAAATTCAAATTATTGAAAATTCAATTAATTTTGAATTCAAATTTTTGAGAATAATTAAATTTTATTTGATTTTAAATTTGGAAAATAATTGAATTTCAATTCATTTTGAATTGAAAATTTTAGGAAATAATTGAATTTTAATTGAAATTTTGGATAATAATTTAATTGAAGTTCATTTTTGATTGAAAATTTGGATAATTAATTTTAAATAGAAATTTTAGAAAATAATTGAATTTTATTTCATTTTAAATTGAAAACTTGTTAAATAATTAAATTTTAAATTGAAAATTTTTATAATTATTGGATTTTTAATTGATTTTGAATTAAAATTTCGGGTAATAATTGAATTTTAATTTATTTTGAATTGAAATTTTTAAAAAATAATTCAATTTTATTGTGATATTTTTTTTTAAATTATAAACAATTGTTAAATTTCATAAAAATTTTAATTGAAAAATAATTTTGATATAATTGAATTTGTGATGTATTTCATTAAAATTATTAAAAATAATTAATTTAGTGAAGAATCATTTTAGTTCAAAATTTGTTAAATAATTGAATTGAAGAAGATCTGAAGAAGATATCAATTTTATACTAAAAAAATGTATTTTATTTACATTTTTTTTCAAATGTAAAAAAAAATGTCGCATTTTATTAAAATAAGTCGATAAAAGTCATATTTTTGAAAAAAGTCGGAAAAAGTCGTATAATCCGAGGCCTGTAAACATATAATTTTCATTATTATCATTTAATATGTAATAATATTCTAATAAATTAAATTATTATTGATAATATTAATCTTTAATTTCTTTATAACAAAAAATGAAATACTCAATTTGGCGCGCGTTTAATTTTGCTAGTTTGTTAATAAAATAACAAATGAAATTTTGAATCAATTTTTTAGTTTCAAGACCAAGAAAAAGTAATGCGTAATCCTTATAAAAAAAAATGAGTAGTCGAAAATATAACACGTTTATGGAGATAAGATTCCACATGTTCCACATAAAGAAGAGAAAAAAAAATATGAATGACGGGAAAATATAATAATAATTATCACTACCCCTTTTCTTCCGTTCATCGTAAATCGTCACAAAAATAGAGATTCTGTTTTGAATGGCTTAATTTGCCAAAATTGATAATTTATGTATTCTTAAATGTATATATGTATCCAAACTCAAGAAAATTGAAATATTAAAAAATTTCGTTTTTTTTTTAAATAAAACAATATCCGAAAGAAATTATTCTCAATTTTTTTCGGTTATAATGATTGATGAGGCGATCGTCGCGGTGGCGTCGGCGGCATTTTTTAAAATTCTACTTCGTCCATTTTCTTCTTTCGACCCTTCTCTAAAGTTCTAAAGGTCACAAAAAGGGGAGGAGATGTCTCTCCACTAGATGATGGGTCAGGACTTCTTTCACCGCTTGCGCTAAGAAAACGATAATTTAGGACGAGAAACAAAAATAATTGATTTTAAATTTCCTTTCATGTAAACGATTTTATCACACCTAATTAATTATTCAAAAATCGAAAAAATGACCCGAAAAAAAAAGATTTTTCTAACCGGAAGTGTGAAATTTCAATTCTACTGAAATGTAGATTATGAATTAAATTCGATAATTATGTGCATTTCCAAAAAGAAAAAAAACGAAAAATCCTAAAAGAAAGAGTTTTTCGATTAGAGCATATAATAAAATAAAACACGGAATGTCGCAGCTGTCTGCTAAAAATCCGGTTCACATGATTCCTTTTTTTTCAAGTTTTGCTTCCCTCCCCTTTCATCAGTCCTTCTTTTTGCGATCAAATAACTTTACATTTACAAATACGTAAAAAAGGAGCAAGTTTTTTTCTTTTCCCGTAAAGAATAAAATTTTGACTAAAAAATAAAATTTTATTTTGTTTTGTTAAATAATAAATTGTTAGGATATTATTTTAACTAAAAAATAAAATTTTATTTCGTTTTGTTAAATAATAAATTGTTAGGATATTATTTTAACTAAAAAATAGATTAAAATAAAATGCAACGATTTAATCTATAAATAATTAAAATAATCCATCCAAAAATTAAAATTACAAATTATCAAAAATTGAACTTTTATATTTACGAAATACAAAAGAAAAAATGCTAATTTTTTATAGTTTCATTTGCAATACTTTTTTAAAATCCCATATACTGTGAAAGTAAAAATAACGAAAAAAGAACATATGTCAGGAAAAATTTGTACTAATTATGTTTGATGCTTTTTGTCAAAGGGAAAAATTTTTCTTTCTCACTTGCCTTGTCAATCTGTATATACATAAAGACGACGAAATGGTGGTTGGACTATACTACAAAGTAGACTCTGCCTGTCAAGAAAGTAGCTGTCAGTTTCGAGTTCACGACAAGATATGCTGCTGATGCAAGAAAGGGTGAGAAAGATTGGAAGAGCCTTTGACGTCGCGACATCGTCATGCCATCGTTTCTTCCGTTTCCTCCATTCTGAGTATTCGTCGGTCCAACATCAAAATTCATGTCATCTAATTATTATAATAAGAAAAATTAATTCTTCCTTTTTAATGATTTATAAATCCTGTCTCTTTTTTTTTCCTTTCATTATAATTTGACTTCTAAGCTGCTTCTATGAAAATTTTTTTATTAAATTATACAAATTAGGAAATAATAATTTAAGTGTTTAAAAATCAAAACCTACTAAATGAATAATAATAATATAATAGAATAAAAATAATAAATAATAATAATAATAATAATAATAGAATTTAGTTTACAATTTAATAATGGAAAATTAGTTCCTGAAGTAGATATAATTAAGGGAAAACAGATTTTTTAAAAAAAAAGTTATAAAGAGTTATATTACTTTGACATTTGAACCCGAGAAAAATCAGGACGAAATTAAGTTGACACTAAAAAGCGTCGTAAATCGTAAAATGTATAGGAAAAATGTTCCGCTTTTCTGTTTCGAGTCGTGGGAAAAAAAATGTATAATTCGTTAATGGATGCACTTGAAAAATACAAACATGTCAAGAAGGGGGAGTTGGCCATTTTCAAAAAAAAAAAAAACGTAAATCAAACACCAGATGCTAATTCACTATTCAAAATGTAATAAATAAAAATAATGTAACAATAATCATTATGGATATAAAAAACAGTTATTTTAATTAAATTAAATTAATTTAATTAATTTTAAGTAAATTTTAATCAATATTAAAAAAAAAATTAAATTAAGGAATAAAAAAATACATTTAACAATTTTTCTGGTAGATTTTGCATGGTGCAATAAATAAATCTTTATAGGTTAAACCATGGATATTAGGTACAATGGAACGTAATAATAATAATTCAGTATTACTTCAGTACTATACTTTTTGGGGAAAACCGAAATTCAGAAATTGAACAATTTCTGCTGGTGGCAACTACCTGCTTTTGACAAATTTGAAGAATAGAATTTTAAAGACGTATTTCCCCATTTCTGAATTATATCCGATTTTATGATTCACAATATATAAAGGGAAACAATTTCCGATTTCCCCCCCCCCACCCTCGTTCTTATAATAATAAAGTATCAATAATTATAAAGACTCACCGTTTTTTTTTTGCAAAGAAGAAAAGAGCGTGTTTATTTTTTTTTTATTTCTCAGTACTATTTTTCCACTTTTAGTTCATTATTATATATAATTTTTCCATTTGTGACAAATATTATAATTTTTCAAAATATCATAGATTATAGTTCCTTTAGTGAAAAATCCAATAAAATCAAATTGAACGTCATAGAAGAAAAAAGTTAGGTTAGGATAAAAGACGCCTCCATTTGTTTATTATTGTTTTGAAGAAATTCATTTCGATATAAAAAATTCTTGTTTTTTCTCTATTACTTTCCAGTTTATGACAGTAATGAAACTTTCATACGTGTGTAATATATGTAAAATTAATTAAACTAATTATTTTTCCGAGTGCGTGTGCAACAATATAAATTTTCACTGCCTACTTTTAACGTAATAATTTAAAATGTAACTTTATGATGTTGCGACATCTGTCGTTAATAAAAACGAAACATTTTTTAAACATAAATTGTTTTTTACTTCCGGTGTCAGAAAAATAAACAAAAGCAAAACCCGTTATTATTGTAATTGCGTGCGATTATTGCTCTAATTATAATAATTTCGAAGAGAATAAACTCAAGAATAAAGATTATTTACGTGTGTGATGTAAAAAAAATTGTTTTTTGTAAGTTCTGTTGTTTAAAAATCAGTCTTCGTTGTTTACGGAGTTTGGTTTTTTAACAAATTAATTTTTACGCGATTAAATATGCGATAAGGAATTTTGAAGTTATTAATTAAAATTAAATTTCGTTTATTAATAAACAGAAAATAATAAAAAGTTTTAATAAAATTTGCAGATTTGCGGTTTCCATTTGTTTCGGTTTTGGAAACGTAAACAAAAGTTGAGGTTAAAATTAATTAATAAACATATGCAGTTATAATTTCTCAGTGTAATTTAATTGTGAACTGTTCAGGTGTTTTTAGTGTGAAGTGAATTTTTAATTAATTATTTTAAACAATAGTGTTATATAATAATATTGGACAGTTAAACCAATTAATAATGATAAAAATAACTGTCAAATATATATCTTCGAGGATTATGATATAGAATTTACCAAATGTGAGTAAAAAAATTTGTTTATTTAGATAAAAAGTAACAATTATAAAGATACCCTTCTAAAATATAATGAACATTAGATATTTTTTTTTTATATAACAATAATTAATAAAAATTTCCAATTGTTGCGATTTTCATTATCCCTTAGGTATTTCCTTTTTGTCGTTTTATATATTAGTTAATTAAAATGGAATTCCGTAAGGATAGTATTTATGATTTTTCAAACTGAAATACAATAATTTTTTTTTTTTTAAAGAATACAAAACTAGAAATAAAATATAATTTTAAAAAAACATTAATTTTGAATAATAGAAAAATTTTATTTTTAAAAAAACACTTACTCTTCCAACGTTGTAAGTCGTTTTCCAGTTTCCAAAGATTCGAGAGTTTTCATTTCATTGTCTGTTAGTTGAAAATCAAAAATTTCAAAATTCTCCTTTATTCTCGATTTCGTTACTGATTTTGGAATAATAGCAGCACCAATTTGTAACTGGAAATATATATTTGTATTTTATAAAATAGAAAAAATTTGATATCTTCATTTTGTTTGTTTTCAATGTTAAAAATTTTAAAAAAACAATTCTGGAATATAAACTTACAATAAATCGTAAGGCAATTTGTGCTGGTGTTTTATTATATTTTTGTGCAATTTCAATAACTTTTGAATTTTCCAAAAAATTTGGTATTCCTTTGTCTCCATAAATTGCAGTTGTACCGGGTCTTCCAAGTGGACTATATGAAGTTATCGTTATATTATTATTCTTGCAAAATTCTAATAATCTCTTTTGATTAATATTGATGTTAAGCTCCACCTGTATTATTTTAAATATTAAATTAATTTCAAGTATTACAGAATTTTCAAAAATTGGAATTCCTTTTTTTTAAATTACTTGATTATTGACTGGTTTTACAGTTGCCGCTGATAATAATCTTGTTATTTGTTCAGAATTAAAATTACTGACGCCAATACTTTTCGCGAGTCCCAAACGAGAACATTCTTCAATTCCTTTCCATGTTTCAATGTAATCTGTATCGGTTGCTATTATTTTTTCATCAGAATCACGTGGAAGTAATTCATCACCTTCCTATTTAATTAAAATCTATTTTTATATATTCATAACTAAATAGTAAATAAATTTATAAAAATTGAATTAATTTACCTTAAAGGCAATTGGAAAATGCATTAAGTAAAGATCAACGTAATCTAAATCGAGATTTTTTAAAGATTCCCTACAAGCTGGAACCACTTGATTTTCTTTATGAAAAGTATTCCAAAGCTAAAATATTATCAATATAATATGAATTTATCACTGTAAAACATAATACATAAGGACAATTTACTTTTGTGGTAACAAAAATATCTTCTCTTCTAATTGTTCCATCTTGAATTTTCGCTCGAATAGCTTTTCCAATTTCAGTCTCATTTTGATAAAAAAATGCAGTGTCTATGCATCTATATCCTATATCAATGGCGTTTTTAACAGCTTCTTCTACTTCATTCGGTTTAGACTTGCAATGGAATTTATTTTCGTATTATTTGTTTTCACTTCAAAAATTACAATATATAAAATATTTTACCTGAAATGTTCCCAAGCCAATTGCTGGCATTTTTTTTCCATTATTAAATTCTATAAAAGGTATTTTCGAACCCATATTTCAAAATGTTTCACTTTTTTAAAAGAATGCTTGTCTGAATTAAAATACTTTAAGAACTGAAGGTTTTTTATTTTCAAAATTCTAATTTATATTTAAGTCTTATCAATAATGATAATAAAAAAACTTATACTTGTGGTATGGACCCGCGGTTTTCCTGGTTTCCTCTATTGTTTTTAATTACGCATTTTATTCTCGAACAATAAAATATTTATACAAGAGAATAAAGAAAATACGCTTCTTATCGTTCAAACAAATTTATTGTGACTGTGTTAATATTTTTTTATAAAATTCCAAAAACGCTAGAAAGGAATATTGAATGGATAGTATTTGCTATTTTTTGCCCTGAAAAAGAATAATATATTTATATTATATTTATTTTATTGTAAAATTAATGTGAATTCAAATTTATATACTTACTCAAGGTAACCACAAACTCTTTCTTCGGTTCCAATAGATTCGATTACACTCATTTCTTCTTTTGTTAATTCAAAATCAAAAATATCAAAATTCTCTTTTATACGAGATTTAGTCACCGATTTTGGAATAGGAGCAACACCCTCTTGTAACTAAGAATGTAAGAAACAAAAAAAATTGAAAACTAATTTAAAACAAATTAAATAATAAATAAATTAAATTTTTTTTACCAAAAATCTAAAGGCAATTTGCTCAGGTGTTTTGTGATATTTTTTTGAAATCTCAAGAAGTTTTGGATTGTCCAATGAATTTTTAATACCGTGACGATTTCCTGGTCGACCCAATGGCGAATATGCAGTGATTGTTATATTTTTTGTTTTGCAAAATTCAATTAATTTCTTTTGATTAAGATTTATGTTAACTTCAACCTGAAAAAAGATAATTAATTAAAAAGAATATAAATTTAAAAAAAAAATTTCAAATTAAATAGATTAATTACTTGATTGTTAACAGGTTTTATTGTTGAATTTTCCATAAGTCTAGTAATTTGTTCTGAATTAAAATTGGAAACGCCGATACTTCGCGCAAGTCCTAAACGGGAACATTCTTCCATTCCTTTCCAAGTTTCTAAATAATCTACATCAGATAAAATTACATTTCCATCCGCGTCTTTTGGATTTAATTCTTCTCCTTCCTGTTGATACAAATTAACATTTTTATTAATGTTTAACAAATTTAAAAATAATGTTCCAATTTCAATTGATTTAATACAATTGTTGAAGATTTTAATTGAATTGTAGAAAAAAATAATAAAAATTTACTTTATTTAAATTAATAATATAATATTGTTTTCACGCGTGTATTTTTTGCTAGTTATTAATTAAATTTTTTTTTACCTTTTGAGCAATAGGCCAATGGACGAGATATAAATCAACATAATTTAGACCTAAATTTTCTAAAGATTTCTTACAAGCCGGTACAACAAGATTTTCTTTATGAAAAACATTCGCTAGCTGAAAATTTGTATAATAAAATTTAATTAGGTTCATATATTGAATTTTCGAATTTTCTTATATTTAATATTAATAATTAATTTGGGTATAGAAAGTGATTTTAATTTTTACCTTTGTAGTTACAAAAATATCTTCTCTTTTCACTGTTCCGTCTTTTATTTTTTCTCTAATTGCTTCGCCAACTTCTTTTTCATTTTCATAAACAAATGCTGTGTCAATGTGACGATATCCATTTTCAATTGCAAATTTTACAGCTTCTAGAACTTCTCCTTCTTTAGACTGTAATAATTTTAAATTCTGAATTAAATTAATATTCTAATTCAATAATTTTTTTTTTAATTATATAGTAAAGTAAATATATTTTTATCTTACCATGTACGTTCCAAGGCCAAGTATTGGCATTTTATATCCATTGTAAAATTCCAAGAATGGCACATTTGACGAGCTCATTATTTAATTTTTATTTAACTTGATCTGTAAAAAAGCGAGAAATTGTATTTTTACCATTTTTTAAGTTACATAATTTGTTTTTAAATAAGTACTTACTCTGAATTTAAATATATTTTTTAATTTTAAATTCTATCAAACTTTAGAATTGCCCGCATGTGATAATAAACAGTTAAGATAATAAATTGACTAATGGTTGTTTACTCTTGTAAACAGCAGACGTCCTGGTTCAGCGCCACTTCTGTGCGAAAGCAGACGAACTTACAGTGTCTGGTGTCTCAGCTGATAACACAATGATGTAACCAGGCGAAAAATTACAAAATTAACAAGAAATATTTTTGAAATTTACACGAATTCAAAATGAAAACAAAAAAAAAAACTAAAACGAAACAAAAATAAAATTGATAGTAAAATCTATTCTAAAAGAGGATTAAAGTTTCTTAAATTAATTTTTAAGAAACAATAATACAATAAGTATATATGTAAATATTTATTATTTTCTATATTTAGAAAAATATGTAAAAATCTTAAAATTACGTCAATGATAGAAAATTATTTTTTTTAATTTCAAAATTAAACTTTAACAATAGCTTTGCCAAAATTTTTTCCCTGCATCATTCCATTAAATGCTTGAAACATATTTTCAAATCCTTTAGTAATTGTTTCTTTTGGTTTAATTTTACCCTCCTGTAGCCATTTTAAATTTTGATTAGTACTTTCATTATATTGTGAAAACCATCGTGAAATATGTAAACCTTCCATTTTTAATTGTTTATTAATAAAAACACGTTGAACGAGACCAACTTTTGGTAATTTCGTAACATCTTCAAGATCAGGAGAATTATATGATGAAATACATCCACAAACGGCAATACGTCCAAAATTATTCATTTGATACATGACAATATTTGACAATTCACCTCCAACATTATCAAAATAACAATCAATTCCATTTGGTGCAATTTTTTTTAACGCCGCTATAATATCATCAGTTTTATAATTAATTGCATGATCAAAACCAAGTTCATCAACGAGCCATTTACATTTTTCATCAGATCCCGCAATTCCAATAACTTTGAGACCTTTAATTTTTCCAATTTGTCCCACATGAGAACCAACCGCTCCTGCAGCACCACTAACAACTAAAGTTTCGCCAGCTTTTGGTTTGCAAATTTCCAAAAATCCAAAATATGCCGTATTACTGAAATTAAAAAAAATTTTCGATTATTCAAAAAAATACTGAAGGCTTTTTATGACTATTGAATATAAATTTCTAATTAAAATAAGAAATTATTTTTTTGGTATTTAAATTTGATAAAAAAAAGTATTCAAGAATTTTAAGATTATTAAAGATTTGAAAAATTATTCTAATTAGAAAAAATTGTAAGAAACAAAATAAAATTAAAATTAAAACAGATAAAATAAAATTAAAATAAATAAAATTTTTTACCCAGGCATTCCTAAAACTCCCAAATAAAGAGACGGTGAAATATTCTCTGTCTCTGGTATTAAATGTGGTGGTTGACTTAAAAATTTTGTTTTATCATCATCATTTGGATTAATTATCATATGACTCGTCCAACCTAAACGTCCCAAAATTCTTCGACCAACTGGAAAATTTTTATTCTTTGATTCAATTATTCTTGCCACTTGACCTCCAATCATTACACTTCCAATTGGAACTTTTAACGAATAAACTCTCATATACGGGTCCACTGAAAGATATTCAGCTTCCACAAGATATTCTGAAAAAAATATTAATTAAAAAATCAATATAAAAAAAAATGCGGAAATTATTTTGTATTAAATCCATAAAAAATATTCTGAAAAAGAAAAACAAATTTTTTAGATAAGAAAAATTTAATATTTACCTCCATCCTTAATCGATGGTAATTCTTCTTTAACCAATTTTAAATCCGATTCTTTAGGTTCACCATCGAAATGTTTAACTATAAGAAATTTTTGAGCGATAACCATTGTTTTTTTTTGAAAAAAACAAATTAATTAAATCTTTGGATAATAAAAATATGTATAGAAAAAATATTAAACGTCGGGTGACGATCACAAAATGTAGAAGTTGATCTTCATAAGAAAACCGGTGTTCGTCTTAGTGGGGGGAGAGCATAAAATGATAAAAGAGATAGCAGGGGCGGATCTCTGAAATATTTAAAATCTTCGAAAACAAATTTTAAAATTCATACAAAAAAAAAAATCTATTTTTCTAAAAATTTAATTTAGAAATTAAAAACAAATTTAATTAAATATAATTAAAAAAAAATTACAAATGTTTATATTTAAATTATTTATTTACAAAATTGAATATCCTATATTTTATTACAAATACTGATACAAAAAAAGAGATAAAATATCTCATTGTGGAAATTTCTTTTTTTTTTATGAAGAATTAATAACATTCCAATATAATTTCCAAATTGGAAGCATTATTGAAACAATAAAAGAATATAACCAATTTCCATAAATTGTTGAATCAATAATACTAAGTACAAAAGATTGTTTTGTTGCCTTCCAACCTCTATAAAAAATTGTCATTAAACGTTCTTCTCTAAAATTCACATACGTATAACCAGTAACAATAAATGATGCCACAATAAATGGATGTAATAATGGCCATATGATATATAAAATTTTATAAAATCCTTTCATTGAATTTTTATAAATTGGAATAAGTAATGTAAATGGCACAAATATCACTGCAATTAATAATGCTAATGAAAAATTATGAATTTCAACACACATTAAAGCTGTTCCTAATTCAATTGATGTAACAATACAAATAAGTGCTGCATTCTTAAAATTATCCTTTCTCTTTGGCCTTAAAAGGGGAAATAAAATTGTAAACACAAACACTGTGGCTAAACAAAAATAAGTTGAATTTTCCGTATGCCATTTAAAATAATCAGAAATTGACGATATTAATAATCGTGATGAGGACATTAGTAAAAAACCCAAAATATGTGTTCGTAATATTTCCATTGTCACATATCCAATATCAAATTCACTTTTTTTCTTTTTATTCGTTTTCATTTCCTCTTCTTTTAATTCCTTTTTTATTTTTTCCTCTTCAGTTTCTTTCTTTAAATCCGGTGTCAATTCTTGTAAACGTAGCCAAATTGAAAACGCTTTGATAAAAAGTGTAGCGAGCATTAAAACCAAAGGAAGTGTATAAATTCCAATTGAAACATATCGATCGGTCGATGGAAGTAAATAGAAAAAATAAGATTGATGAAAACGTTCAAGTAAATTATTTAAAGATCGTACAATACTTTCAACAACACGACCAACTTTTGAGAAATTTGCCTCTGGACCATTTGTTGTTTTTTCAAATCCCTCTAAAGTGATCGCTTCTATTCCAAAACGATGAAATAAACCATGATTTCCAGTTGGTACACCAGTTGCCTGACTCATTATCATCATTGCCATTGTTTTTCCCCGATATAACCATTTATTATATTTATTCTCTGATTTATAATCAAAACGTTGTTGAACTGATCTTCTTATATCCTCCTTGTGAATCATATTTTGTGCCAAATTAAATAAATCCAAATTTGGTAATTGACCATTTAATCCCTCGACTTTAACATCGATTGATGTAATTTTCATTGCATGCATTTCAAGAACAATTGCCGCTTGTATTGAACCGGCTCTACCTGGTAAATCACCTGCCAATAAAACATCATCCTGACCACTTGTCACACCATGATAAGCATCGAGCCACGCTTGTATACCCAATTGTTCATGTTCAGTTACAAGAAAAATAATATCCTTTGCCCAATATTTTTGTTTACGACAAAATTGAGCGAATGCAAGAAGTAATGCAATTGATGGCGCAGTTGTTGGATGAATACTACTTAATGAACGATAGGGAACATTAATAACAATTGATTCTGTACTAACACTACGCGGTGCACGTACAATACCATAAACATTTTTACCCGTGAATTTTTGCTTACGAAATGGATGATTTAGAGTAAAATTATGTATATATGTATCGAGATGTAATTGACGAAATCTTGCCGACATCCAAGCGACTGGTAATGCATCGGTTCGTTGTTTTTCCATTTCACGCATTAATTCTTGATAAAATATTTTTGAATCATACATTAAATTACTTTCTTTTGTTACTAAACCGGGTAAAAGTGCATTTTCTGAGAAATATGTATTATCACTGAAAGTAGGTGTTGCCAATAGCATTGTCCACACAATTCCACCGAGATACATTAAAAAACAAAGTGATTTCTCCCAACGGAGAATAAATTTTATAAGTTTCATATTTCCTGCACGAGGATCTGTTAATAGACCCATTGTTTATTATTATTTTCACACACACACTTTGGAGATTATAATTTTTTATTTATTGATTAACATAACCCTAAACTCGCATGTCAACAAAAGTCACACCTAACCTAACCTACAAAAACGGAACAAGAGATGACAGATGCGCGCGCAGCAATTGTAACTGCGCAGGCGGGAAAATTTTGAATTTAAAAACAATAAAATTTATAATATAAATTAATTTTTTCCTCAATATTAAAATTATAAAATAATTCTTTATTAAATTATTAAAATATTAATTTTTTCTAATGAAAATTTTGTAATTGATAATATTAAAATAGAAAATCTATATTTTATATTAAAAAAAAAAATTTCGAGCATGAAACGTTAAAATGGAAAAAAATGTATATCGTCAAGGTAAATTAAAATCTATTTTTAAGAATCCAGTTTGACAATTGTTTTTCCAATATTATCACCATTTAAAGTACCAATAAATGCTTGAAATGTATTTTCAAAACCTTGATAAATAGTTTCACGTAATATTAACTTATTTTCTTGTATCCATTTATAATTGTCGACAAAACTTTCATTATAACGATTTTCCCATCGATGAACAAGAAATCCTTCCATTTTCAATTGTTTGCAAACAATAGGAAATTGTATACTTTTTGCCATTGGTGAAATTTGCGGTTCTGAATTATAACATGATATACTTCCACAGACGGAAATTCGTCCAAAATCATTCATTTGAAAAATAACTGCACTGGAAATTTCTCCGCCAACCTTTTTTTTTCGAAAAATTAACTTAATATATTTCTTTTCAATTCGGACAAATTCTAATACGGTATTTAATTAATTACTAAATAATTATTTACTAATTAATTACCAAATAATTACTAAATAATTATTTACTAATTAATTACCAAATAATTACTAAATAATTATTTACTAATTAATTACTAAATTATTAATTAATTAATTATTCAATATTAAAAAAATTGAAAAAATAAAAAATATTTAAAAAATGAAATATTTTTCTGATGCAAATAATAAAAATTCTTACATTGTCAAAGTAGCAATCAATACCATTTGGCGCAGCATTTTTTAAAGCCTCAGATAAGTCTTGTGTTTTATAATTAATCGCATAATCAAAACCAAGTTCATCAACGAGCCATTTACATTTTTCATCAGAACCCGCAATTCCAATGACATTGAGACCTTTAATTTTTCCAATTTGTCCCACATGAGAGCCAACAGCACCGGCAGCACCACTAACAACTAATGTTTCACCAATTTTTGGTTGACAAATTTCCAATAAACCAAAATAAGCAGTTTCACTGTAAAATAAAAATTTAATTATTTAAGAAAAATTCTACAAATTAAATTTCTTTTTTTTTTTTTAAATAAATTCAAAAATTTAATTTACCCTGGCATTCCTAAAATACCAAGACCAATTGATGGTGATAGTTCACCAAAATTTGGTAAAACACGTGGTTTTTCCGATATAAAATCATGTTTTTCCCATTTATTAGGATCAATAATTGTATGCGTTCTCCAACCATACCAACCGCGAATTCTTTCGCCAACGGGAAATTTAGAATTTTTTGAAACTACAATTTTGCCGAGTTGTAAACCAAACATTACATCACCAATTGCTTGAAGATTTGAATATTGTCTCATGCCAGGATCTATTGAAATATATTCCGCCTCAATCATAAATTCTAGAAAAATAAAATTGATTTTTTAATTACAATTATTATTATTAATATTATTATTATTATTATTATTATTATTATTTTTATTATTACTATTACCATTATTATTATTTATCTATTTAATTAATAATAAAAGAGACAATTTATTATTACTTAATTATTTTATTTCGAATTTATTTCAAATTTAATTTCTTATTCTGTTTCTGTCTTATAGAAGAAATTAAAAAAATTTTAAACTACAAAAAATAAAAAGAAAACAAAATTCTCACCACCCATTTTCACTAATGGTAATAATTCTTCAACTAAAGCTAAATCAGAAGATTTTGGCTTTCCCTCAAAATGTTTGACTATAACGAATTTTTTTGATAGAACCATATTGAAAATCTTTTTTTTTATTTATTTATTTAACAGCCTTCAACTTCGTGAATAGTTAAACTTGGATAAAATGGTAAAAATTCGATTACCTTTTTTAACAAAAAAAAAAAAAAAAGTGCTACTAAAGTAATATTCAAATTATTTTTATCTATTCCGAAAATTTAAATAATTTTCTAGATTATTTTTTCTTTTTTTTTTTTTTTTTAATAAAAATGAAAGCATTTTTTTTAAATGAAAAATTTTGAGTTTTAAAAAAAAAAAATTTCTTTTTTTTTCCAATATGTGTATTTAAAGTAAAGTTTCGATGTTATCGAAAGATTGCAATTGAGTTATTATCAAAATAATTATGCGAGTCACGGTTTATAAAAGAGATACCTACATTTTTTTTCTACTGACACTTATCAGTTTATTTTTAAATTATTATTTGTTTCATGTAAAAATTCGAGGATAAATTATAATGGCAATTTTATTTATTTATTGCAAATTGATAAAAACTAAATGTAATAAACATAATGAACTAAATATAAAAAAAAATATATAAAAAATAAATGCAATAAAAAAAGTAAATTAAATTTTGAATATATAAAATTGTATATTATTCATAAAACATTTTAGCAATTTTAACGATATATAAACTTTTTGCTTGGACTGTCGGCGACAAAAATATTTAGCATATAAGAGAATTAATTATCATGTATTATTTCAGGCTTATTAATAAATGTTCGCATATTTTTTTTCTTATTTAACACTTCTTCATATCAGTCTTAAGATGAGAGAGAGAGAGAGAGAATTTTTCCAAGACTGTGTTTCTTATTTATTTTTATATTTTTTAATTAATTAATTAAAATTTTTAATTTTGAGTTTGATGAATGAATTTTGTTTCCTTCTTTATTTCACATTTTTCTAATGTTTGTAATTTTTCATTAATTGCAAATATTAATTTACGTATTTTTGTATAGAAATTTAATTACTTCCGAAACCAAAAATTGGTGAAAATTAATTTAAAAATCCAATATTTAGATTTTGATTCAATAAAATTGAAATAATTAATATTTGAACCTGTATAAATAAAGTTAATATTTATTTATTAATTAAGCTTTAGCCTTTCGGCCCAGAAGTGGACTTGGTTTAATACAAAATTAAAAAAATATTATAAATAAAGTTAATAGTTATTTAATCATTAAAATTAAATTCCGTATTAAAAAAAATCGAAAAAAGTCTTATAATGAAAGTGTATTATTGCAAAATAAAATAGAAAAAAATCGAAATCGAAAAAAAGAAATTAAGTCGCTGTTTCTTTAATTACTTCACGATATAAATTTGTCAATAATAATAATTTAAATAGATTATAAATTTAAAAATGTAAGTATGCATAATTACTATTCAAAAATTATGGAAAAAAATTTCCACTCGGAACAACAGTTTCCAAATTGAATAGAAACAGAGTAGATGTGCGAATTAATAAAAAAAAAAAGTTTCAAAAATTAATTTGAAAAATGGATATTGAAACAATGATTAAAGAATCGAAAATTTCATGTGAAAATTCAAATAATCCGAGTGTAATTATTATTGGAGCAGGAGCAGCAGGTATTGCCGCCGCAGCTAAACTTTATGAAAATAATTTCAAAAATATCAAAATTCTCGAAGCTGAAAATCGAATAGGAGGACGTATTCATACAATTGAATTTGGCAATCAAATGTTAGAATTGGGAGCTCATTGGATTGTTGGCGAACATGGAAATATTGTACATGAATTGGCAATGGAATATGAATTATTCGCCGAAAATTCGGGAATGACTGACGATTTAGATGAAAAAATATTCGATTCATCGGGAAATTTAGTAATATTCAATGAATCAGAATATGAGGAACTCAGTGTAATTTATAATCACGAGGGTAATTTTGAGCATTACGCTAAGAATAATAAAACAGCATCAGTGGGAGATTTTTATAATGATAAAATTGAAAAATTTTTAAAAGCCCATCCAAAATGGAAGCAAAATAAAAAAGGAATAACAAATATTCTTGATTTAATGATGATGGCTTTATATTCAGCTGACTCATGGAATGATGCTTCAGTTATTAGTTATATTGATTATGAAAAATGTCCAGGAACTTATATATTTCATTGGCAGGAACGTGGTTATCATTCGATAATTGATATAATAATGAAACGTTATCCAAAACCAGAAGAAGAATTACCAATTATAAATAACATTATTCTAAATACAAAAGTTTCATTAATTGATTATTCAAATGAAAAAATTATAATAAAGACAACAAATAACGAGATATTCACAGCAGATCATGTTATCGTTACATGTTCCTTGGGTGTATTAAAAAATCAACAACAACTGTTTAAACCCTCATTATCAAAATTGAAACAAAAAGCAATTGATCAAATGGGTTATGGAAGTATTGGAAAAATTTATCTCTTCTACAATGATCCATGGTGGCCACTTGAAACAAATGTCACTGGATTTAGTTTTCTTTGGAAGGACAATGATTTAGAATTATTTGATAAAAATGACAAGAAAAATTGGCTACTGGGATTAGTTGGATTTTATACATTTACATCTAAACCAAATATACTTTCCGGATGGGTAATGGGAAAATATTCACGTGACATGGAAAAACTCACTGATGAGGAAGTGAAAAATCATTGTTGGGAAATTTTACAAAAATTTCTTGGTAAAACTTATAATGTCACTTGTCCAACGTCAATAATTAAATCCAAATGGTATACAAATGAAAATTTCCATGGAACTTATAGCTTTTTGAAAATAAATAGCGATCATAAAATTGCAAATCCTGCAAAATTGGCGGAACCTGTTATTAAAGATGAGAAACCAATAATTTTATTCGCCGGCGAAGCAACAAGTACAAATCATTCGACTACAGTTCATGGTGCAATTGAAACTGGATGGAGAGAAGCTCAAAGAATTATTCAACATTATTCCTGAAAATAAAAAATTATTTCTTAATTAAATTTTGAAAAAATTAAAATACAATATTTTGAATATAATTAATCAAATAAATTATAAATTGAACATATACGTTTCATTAAAATTAAAAACACATATTTTTTTCCATTTTCAATAAATATTTAAAGAACACTTTCTTAAATAAATTTACACTATTAATTTATTTATAATACAATTTAATCGTCAGAATAAGTAAATTTATTAAATATTCGATCATTTAGCAATTAAAATTTTTTAAATTCAATTATTTAGAAAATTAATTTCTAATTTAAAAAAAACAATTCAATTTTAATTGTTTAGCAATCTTTAATTCTTTTAAAAATAATTATCTATTTTATAATTCATTTACTTAATGTTTGTAGCCATTACAATTTTTTTAATTCAATTATTTAAAAAACTAGCAAAATTAAACGCGCGCAAGCGCGCCAAATTGAGTATTTAATTGTTTGTTATAAAGAAATTAAAGATTAATATTATCAATAATAATTTAATTTATTAGAATATTATTACATATTAAATGATAATAATGAAAATTATATGTTTACAGGCCTCGGATTATACGTCTTTTTCCGACTTTTTTCAAAAATACGACTTTTATCGACTTATTTTAATAAAATGCGACATTTATTTTTACATTTGAAAAAAATGTAAATAAAATACATTTTTTTTTAGTATAAAATGTAGATCTTCTTCAGATCTTTTTCAATTCAATTATTTAACAAATTTTGAACTAAAATGATTCTTCACTAAATTAATTATTTTTTAATAATTTTAATGAAATACATCACAAATTCAATTATATCAAAATTATTTTTCAATTAAAATTTTTATGAAATTTAACAATTATTTATAATTTTAAAAAAAATATCACAATAAAATTCAATTATTTTTTAAAAATTTCAATTCAAAATAAACTAAAATTCAATTATTACCCGAAATTTTATTCAAAATCAATTAAAAATCCAATAATTATAAAAAATTTTCAATTTAAAATTTAATTGTAAGGAAGAAAATTTAACAATCAATCCAAGTCAAGTAGTCAGTAAAATAAGAGAAATTATTTTTTACGTTTCGACAGCACTGCTGTCCTCATCAGAAACGAAAAAAAATAAACTATAAAATTGTCATCCTGAAGTTAAGACGTCAAAAGACAAACTTCAAAAGACAAAATTTAATTATTAACCAAGTTTTCAATTTAAAATGAAATAAAATTCAATTATTTTCTAAAATTTCTATTTAAAATTAATTATCCAAATTTCCAATCAAAAATGAATTTAAATTAAATTATTATCCAAAATTTGAATTAAAATTCAATTATTTCCCAAAATTTTCAATTCAAAATAAACTGAAATTCAATTATTTTTCAAATTTAAAATCAAATAAAATTTCATTATTCTTAAAAATTTGAATTCAAAATTAATTGAATTTTCAATAATTTGAATTTAAAAGCATCTAAAATTTAATTATTTCTAAAATTTTCCATCCAAAATTATTTTTTTGAAATTTAATAATTTCAATTACAACTCTAAGGAAATTCAATTATTTTTAACTATTTTAATAATATTCTTTGAAATTTCAACTATCTGAAACCATTTTTCAATTAAAAATGATTTTCAAATTATTGTATTTTGTCCGCATTTTCTAATAAATTTTTAGTGAAATCATCTAAAATTTTAATTACAAAACACTTAAAGTTTCAATTAATTTCAAAAATCTCAATTTTAAATCTTTGAAAATTCAATTAAATTTAAAAAATGTTTTCCAAAAATTGTTTGATAAATTATTTTTAGTTCTGTAAAATTTAATAATTGTTTGAAAATTAACAATATCTTTTGAAATTTAATTATTTCTAAAAATTTCAACTTTAACCCTTTGAAAAGGATTATTATTAAAAAAAAATTTTTTATTTAAAAATTTGTAAAATATTTTTGTTAAAATAAAAAACAAATCCACTTTTTTTGGAATATAAATCGACTAAAACGATTTTTTTGTGTTTTTAAGTTGATTCGAGGCCTGTGTTTTTATAATTAATATTTAATAGGTATTTGTTGGCCCCTGGTTCCTTAAAAATAAATTTTTTTCAAATTAATATCTTGTACGAAATTTCCTGGCGCATCTTTTTTCTCATCATAAATTTTTTGTATTTGTATACAATTTTTGAATCAATATACAACTTAAAAAAAAATTTCGTTGGTAAACGTTGTGTACTTCAGCTTCGTGAATTGAATTTTCGAATTTGGAATTTTAAAGAAACTTATTCCGAAATTTGGAAACACAATTATACAACTTTGGCAAAAATGAGAAAAAGAATTGTCAAAATTTGACACGTCATAAGATTACTATTCAAAAAAATACGTGAAATCAGAAAAGGCCAAATTCAAGTTAGGACAGAAGGACAGACCAAGCATTTTATTATTACATAATTAATTTCTAATTTGAAAAAACAATTCAATTTTAATTATTTGGAAATTTTCATTTCTTTTAAAATTAATGATTTATTTTATAATTCATTTACTTAATGTTTGTAATAACGTACAAGGTAAACCGGAGAATATTAATTTGAGAATACATCATACGTAATTTATGTACGAGATTGTGGAATAGATATTATCAATATTAATTTATTTAACAATTTCAATTAGCTTTACAAATTATGCATATTTACTATTTAAAAATTATGAAAAAATTTTTGCACTCGGAACAACAGTTTCCAAATAAAATAGAAACAGAGCACATGTGCGGATTAGTAAAAAAAAGACAGTTTCGAAAATTAATTTGAAAAATGGAAACAATGATTAAAGAATCGAAAATTTCATGTGAAAATTCAAAAAATCCGAGTGTAATTATTATTGGAGCAGGAGCAGCAGGTATTGCCGCCGCAGCTAAACTTTATGAAAATAATTTCAAAAATATCAAAATTCTCGAAGCTGAAAATCGAATAGGAGGACGTATTCATACAATTGAATTTGGCAATCAAATGTTAGAATTGGGAGCTCATTGGATTGTTGGTGAGCAGGGAAATATTATACATGAAATGGCAATGGAATATGAATTATACGAAGAAGGTTTGGGAATGACAGACGAATTAGATGAAAAAATATTCGATTCATCGGGAAATTTGATAATTTTTAATGAATTAGAATATGAAAAACTTAGTGTAATTTCTGATCACGAGGGTAATTTTGAGCATTACGCTAAGAATAATAAAACAGCATCAGTTGGCGATTTTTATAATGATAAAATTGAAAAATTTTTAGAAGCCCATCCAAAATGGAAATCATATAAAAAAGGAATAACAAATATTCTTGATTTAATAATGATGGGTTTATATTCAGCTGACTCATGGAATGATGCTTCAGTTATTAGTTATATTGAATATGAAAAATGTCCAGGAACTTATGTATTTCATTGGAAGAAACGTGGGTATCAATCGATAATTGATATAATAATGAAACGTTATCCAAAACCAGAAGAAGAATTACCAATTATAAATAATATTATTCTAAATACAAAAGTTTCATTAATTGATTATTCAAATGAAAAAATTATAATAAAGACAACAAATAACGAGATATTCACAGCAGATCATGTTATCGTTACATGTTCTCTGGGTGTATTAAAAAATCAACAACAACTTTTTAAACCCTCATTATCAAAATTGAAACAAAAAGCAATTGAACAAATGGGTTATGGAAATATTGGAAAAATTTATCTCTTCTACAATGATCCATGGTGGCCACTTGAAACAAATGGTATTGGATTTAGTTTTCTTTGGAAGGACAATGATTTAGAATCATTCGATAAAAATGACAAGAAAAATTGGCTACAGGGATTAATTGGATTTTATACATTTAGTTCTAAACCAAATATACTCGCCGGATTGGTTACGGGAAAATATTCACGTGATATGGAAAAACTCACTGATGAGGAAGTAAAAACTCATTGTTTAGAAATTTTACAAAAATTTCTTGGTAAAACTTATAATGTCACTTGTCCAACGTCAATAATTAAATCCAAATGGTATACGAATGAAAATTTCCATGGAACTTTTAGCTTTTTGAAAATAAATAGCGATCATAAAATTGCAAATCCTGCAAAATTGTCGGAACCTGTTATTAAAGATGAGAAACCAATAATTTTATTTGCCGGCGAAGCAACAAGTACAAATCATTTGGCTACAGTTCATGGTGCAATTGAAACTGGATGGAGAGAAGCTCAAAGAATTATTCAACATTATTCCTGAAAATAAAAAATTATTTTTTAATTAAATTTTGAAAAAATTAAAATACAATTTTATTTTCAACATAATTAATCAAATAAATAATAAATAATTGAACATATTATAAGATTCTTTAAAATTAAAAACTTTTTTTTAATTATATGCAAAAATAATTTCACAAAATTGTAAAATTATTAATTGAATACAAGATTAAAAATATGACTGTTATTTTTTCTTCAAATTAAAGTCATTGTTGAAATTTTTTTTCCATTTTCAAAGTATTTAAAGAACATTATCTTAAATAAATTTACACTATTAATTTATTGACAATACAATTCAATCGTCTGAATAAGCAAATTTATTAAATATTCGATCATTTTGCAATTAAAATTATTTTAGTTCAATTATTTAAAAATTCATTTCTAAGTTAAAAGACAATTTAATTTTAATTATTTGAAATAGTTCATTTTTTTAAAAATTAATTATCTATTGTATAATTTATTTACTTTAAGTGTAAATTTTTTTTTTAAATTCAATTATTATTTTCATATTCAATTATTTTTTGAATTAAAATTATATTGATTTATAAATTTTTCGTTTTTTATAGATTATTATTATCTGTCTATTTATCTTTTCGATTATTTTATCTATTTCTCTAAATTTTAACTTCAATTCTCCCCTTTTTTTGAATTTCCTACATAGGAAAATTTTATGTGAAAAAAAAACAGTTTTTGAACACTTTTTTGTTTTAAATAAAATTTTTAACAAATTTTGTGCTTCACGATATTAAAATCGTAGTGCTAAAGTTTTTCGTATTTTAATTTTATATCGAGGAATAAAAATAATTGAATTTACAAAATAATTCAATTTAAAAACAATTGAATTTTAAAAATAATTCAATTTAAAAACAATTGAATTTTAAAAATAATTTAATTTAGAAAATAATTTGGGTATAAATCGATGATTTTTAAAATGTATGTAGGGTTATGAATATTAAAAATAAAACATTTATTTCTTTAAATAAATTTACATAAAAAAAATAAATATAAATTTCCTGATGTTCAATTTATAATTGTGTCATTTATATTCAAAATAAAATTTGTTTACTATTCGTTAATATAAAAGAAATATTTTCTAAATCTACAAAATTAAAAAAAAGCAAACAAAAAAAAAACAAACGTAAACAAATGAATGCAGATAAACGGAATCTCTTAATTGTTATATATATAATTTGATATAAATTTCCAAATATTTAAAATAATGTTAATTGAATAAAAATAAATAAAAATTTAGAAAAATAATTATCTGATTCTATTTTTAAAAATTAAAATATCTGTCGAATCATTTGAGATTTGATAAAAATTTGTTTATCAGTTGTTTTGGTTTTAAATTTTTTTCTTACGATTTCATAGTTTCATGATGTCGAAGCAACAGCTGAAAGTCTGCTATCCCCTCTTATACCTCCATTCGTTTCCTATATCAGCATCGCAGTTTCACATTTGAGCCGTTAACGTTCATACCAAAGTGATAAGCATTTTGTATGTGTAATAAAACTGTTTGTTGTAAATTTCTTCATTCCTTAAAAATAATAAAACATTTGTAATATTACTTTATAAACGAATTTTTCAAAAAATAATACAAAAATGGTTATTAATAAGAAGTTTATAATTGCAAAACATTTCAAAGGTGAACCTAAAGTTTCTGACTTGAAATTAGTTGAAGAGGAATTGCCCGCAATTCAGGATGGAGGTATAAATTATTTAATTAAAATTAATTAATTAATTAATAAGATTGAATCCTCTCATGAAAAAAGATAATATCTATCAATGTTACATTATTATAATAAATAATAAAAAATAAATAATAATAAGATTTGATTAATTAATTGTTAAGTATTTAAAAAAAAAAAAAAAATTTCGCAGAAATTCTCCTCGAAGCAGAATATTTATCAGTTGATCCTTATATGAGAGCCTATTCACCAAATCTTAAAATTGGCAGTATCATGTTAGGTGGTCAAATGGCAAAAATAATTGAATCAAAAGATCCCAAATTTCCTGTTGGTAAACGAGTTAGGGGATATTTTGGTTGGCGAACTCATACAATTATTAATCCATCGAAATTTAAGCCTTCTGAATTTTTAAATGAAGAACCAAAAGTTTTCCCCGATTTTGGAGATTTATCTCCTTCACTTGGTCTCGGAGTACTTGGGATGCCAGGGTAAATAAAAAAAAAATATTTCGCCAAATACAAATATTTTTTTAACTTACTAATTTTTTCTAATAATTTTCAAAAATAGTCTTTTAGAGAATATTAAATTATTTGTAATTATATAAATATTTACATGCTGCAGTGACACGGCATATTTTGGGTTTTTGGAAATTTGCAAACCAAAAGCTGGTGAAACATTAGTTGTTAGTGGAGCTGCCGGTGCTGTTGGTTCTCATGTGGGACAAATTGGAAAAATTAAAGGCCTCAAAGTTATTGGAATCGCTGGATCCGATGAAAAATGTAAATGGCTCGTTAATGAACTTGGCTTTGATAATGCAATTAATTATAAAACTCAGGATATTTCTGTTGCTTTAAAAAAAGCCGCACCCAATGGTGTTGATTGTTACTTTGACAATGTAAGTATATTAATTATAAAATAATTAAGATTTACATATTTTTTTAAAATTCCCAATCACTTTTTTTTAAAGGTTGGTGGTGATATATCATCGGCTGTAATTTATCAAATGAATAATTTTGGACGAATTTCCGTTTGTGGATCAATTTCAACTTACAATGATGATTTAAGTAGTCTTCCCAAGAGTCATAGTATTCAATTGGGAATGGTAATGAGTCAATTGAAAATGGAGGGATTTATCGTTACACGTTGGCTTAATCGTTTAAATGAAAGTTTTGAGGAAAATATGAAATGGATACGTGAAGGAAAATTGAAATATCAAGAAACTGTCACTGAAGGATTTGACAATATGTTCAAAGCATTTGCGGGAATGATGAAGGGTGAAAATACTGGCAAAGCTATTGTTAAAGTGTAATGTAATTAAATTAAGAATCTTCTTTTTTTTATAATTCACAACCAAAGTCATAATATTTTTATAACTTTATTTTTTAGAAAAATAAAAATCTAACCTCAAAATGTCAGTTCCATTTGGAATTTTTTTTTTTTGAATTTGATCGATAATTTTTGTCATATTTCAAATAATACCTTTTTTTGGCAATTTATCCTTACTTTTCGATATGGAAGTATGTAGAAATAAGTATTTTTTTTCATTATTTAATTGTTAATTTTTGAAATAAACACCGGTTACTTGGTTCACCAGAAGAAAAAGCGCCATAGATGGTGCTGATCACGCATGCGCATAATAATAGTGGCATAAAATTTTAATTTATTATTTATTTCTTTTTTATTTACAAATATAATATTTATAATTGTTATTTAATTTTATTACACTTCATTAACTATTTTTGATTTTGATAATATTTCATTTTTTTAATAATGACTAAATGAGTATTTAAATTTACCCGCTCGAAAATTTGGAAATATTTCCAATTTTACCGGAAATTGAAATTCAAGAGGGAAATATTTCATTCCTAGGAATGTCATCATATTATTTGGAATATCTGCGGTGATTTTTGTGTGGGAATTTCTCTATAGTTGATTATTTGGTGTCCTTATGTATATTTATATATTCAATTTCGCATGTGATATTTGCATCTAAGGGTGCTTTATTTAAAAGATGTTTTTAATTTTACATTTGCCACGTGACTGAAAGTGGATATTATCATTTTTTTTTGGAAAGAAAGGAAAAAATAGGAACACGAAGGCAGAAAAAAAAGTTTTGTCATCATCATCATCATTCATTTAGAAGGAGGTTAAATAACACCTGGGATGATGGCAACAGTTAAGGGCTTGGGAAGGAATATTCCTTATTTAAGACAACAATTTGCAGCACTTTTAGGGAATACGAGTACAAGTGTTAAATTTATATGCATAGTTGTTTTATTCTCCTATTGTTTATCATATTCCCAGGAAGCAGTGAAAGCATTAAGTGTTACACCAGGTTATTTGCTGCCACCTGCATTTTGGATATGGACAGCGTTTACATTTTGTTTTCTTGAAATACATTTTTGGGAAGTTTGTGTTGATATTGTTACAGTGGGTTTATGTGGAAAATTGATAGAACCATTATGGGGTGCAATGGAAATGATGACATTTTTTGCTGTTGTGAATTTTGGAGTTGCTGTACTTTCCACTTTGTTTTATTTATTTTTATATATATTAACAGGTGGTACTGATTTACTATTTGACATTCACATTCATGGTCTTACTGGTTATATTGGAGGTAAGTTTTTAATATATATTTTTTTAAAGTAAATTTAGGTTATGTTGACAATATTTGGGAAATTATTTTCTTTAGTGGTAAAATAGAAAAGAGAAATTATTATTATTATTATTATAGGAGTTAGTGTTGCTGTGAAACAAATAATGCCTGATCATATTATAATAAAGACACCAATTGGAAAAATTATGAATAGAAATATTCCCTTAATTGTTTGGATCGTATCTTTATTGATGTGGGTCTTGGGTTTATTGGAAGGAACACATCCCACTATGTTTCTCAGCGGATTATTCATTTCTTGGACGTATTTGAGATTTTATCAAAGACATAATAATGGTACTCGAGGAGACATGGCCGATAATTTTACATTTGCTAGGTAATTTTACATTCTATTTAGTAAATTTCAATAATTTCTTTTTCTTGATTTAAAATTATATTTTCTTTTTATTTTTCCAGCTTCTTCCCAAATGTTCTACAACCACCGATTGCCGTATTTAGTAATACAATACACAGTTTTTTCGTTCGTATTGGTTTATGCAGAAAAGTTGTTCGAAGGTTCGACATGTCAAACGCGCCGCCAGGTTTAGTTATAAATTTACCTGGAATTGATCCGCATGACAGTGAAAGACGAAGGTATTTAAAAATATTTTTTATTAACAACAACAAGAAAATTTTCAATTTTTACTGTAATTTATAAATTTATTCTAATTTTAGACAACTAGCTTTAAAAGCATTGAGCGAAAGATTGAGCAAGGATCATGCCAAACCTTGGCAACAAGAAAGAAGTAAAAAACATTCGCCTCCCGTTCCTCCAGCAGTGACTGTACAAATTCCAGAACCTGTCCCATTGAAACCAATTCCATCACCATTGATTCCACAAATTAATGTGAATATTCACAGTCAACCATCGACGAGTACGTGATCATCCTAAAGGAAAAAGAAAAGAATTTATTTTCAATAAATTTTTAGGTATGTACCGAAGCCCAAAGGAGCTTTTAAAAAGAAATGTTTTTACCAAAAAAAAAAAAAAACTGGTTTAACTATGGCGATATAAGAATTTGAGACTTGTATTTTATTTTTTTAAATATAAAAATACCGCTTATAAAAACAGTTACATTAATCAGAAATCCTCTGATTACCTTTAAAATTTTATTCATAGATTCTTTTAACAAATAAAGCCACAATTTCATTTTCAAACAAAAGAAAAAAGTATTTCTTTTTATTTAATAATAAAATTATAATCAAAGTTTGTAAAATCAAAACTAATCCCTTTGATTTCAATTTCTTTTTTTCAATGTGGCTGTTTTTTTTTTTTTTGTATAAAATTATCTTTTTTTTAAGAAAAAACGCTTTCTAGTTAAAAAGAATAGAATTATCAACAAAAAAAAAAAATACTATATGTGATTTGCGAAAAAAAGCAATCGAAAATCTTTTTTATAGACGAAGAATTATGTGTACATACTGATGTAATTGATCTTATAAGAAATAATTAGCTAAATTAAGATCGATTATTTTATTTGTATAGATATAAGAATATTCATGAGAAATTTACAACTCATTTGCAATTTATAAGATGATAGTGAGAAAAAAGATCATCTTTTGTAAATAATTATTTAATATTCTAATTCTTTTTTTTTTATAAATATATATATATAAAATAGTTTATTTTTAAAACTTTTTCGTCTTCCCGCAGCACGCAAAAATAAATGAGTGATTGTAAAATTTAATTTTTGCTTGACTGAATGATAAAACTATTTTAATTATTATATTTTGAAGAAAATGAATAGCATAATAATAATAATTTTTATTCTAATAGGAATTTAAAATTAAAAAGATTAATAACTGTAATTTAATATAATTATTTTAATTATAATTTATTAGATTGTTAATTATAGTTTTGTTTAATTAGTAATTATTTTTCAATTATTTGTTGCAACAATTTTCTTTTTTATTCTAATTTTTAATATAATGAATGTTTTAATTAAAAAGAATCTCTGTTTACAGCGGATAAAATATTGTAAATTAAAAAAAAAACGTGTTCTATTTTATATAATATACGTAAAAAGCAAATGAGTTGTAAATAAGAAAATTAAGTGAAACTGTAAAGGGAACAAGGCATTTAAAAAAAAAATGAAAAAGCTGTACAGAGACGTGTATAATCGTAAGTAAAGATCAAATTTTTATGTGTTGTATAAAAATCATTCTCTGAACATTTTTGAGTGTTTAATGTGAATTGTCTTGATCTCGTACTTATATAGAAAAAAAAAAAAACATTTTTTGATCGACTTCTAAATGAAAATCGTATTACTTTACTACAGCGTTAAACGGATAATTACACCAATGGTACATAAACATTATAAGAGTTACGAATAAAGTGTATTTAAATTATAACAACAAATTTTGTACATACGTTAACAGTTGTTACGACTTGTATATTAAAATCTATTGTCCATTAACATTTCATTTTTTGTTATTATTTCCCGAAAAAAAGAAAATTCGTTTTTTTTAAATTAATTATTTAAAATTTAATTTTTTATCAAAATATTGAAAGAGTTAAAACTGATTTTTTCCCCAAATTTTGTGAGGCGAATTCTTTCGATTTGTTAGTTTTAAATTTCTATTTTTTTTTACTTTGATAAAGAAAACTCTAATTGCTAAAAAAAATTGTATTTATTATATATAAACCTATGTCGCATTTTTTTAACAGCTTTACAATAAGTGCAATTTTCAAAAAAACACAATTTCACCCCAAATTCGTGCACAGTTCGTGTCATTTTCTCACTAAAAAAAAAAAATCATTTTGTCTACGAAAATTCGATAAATTACAATTTTTTTTTACATTGAAAAATACGCCATATAGCGTTATTTGATTAAACTCGTTAAATATTTTACACTTTTATTCATTTTTAGTTTCTATAATTTAATGAAATTATATCATGAAAATTATAATTTAAAAAAAAATTATAAATTTGCTTAATAAAACGGTGTGTATTTACAATTGATTATTTTTGAGAACTATTAAAATTGGAATTGAATTAATAAATTTCTAAACAAACTGATGTTTATTAATAACTAAATTGAAATGAAAATATTCACTACAAATTCCATTAGAATTTATATTTGTGAAATTTGTAACACCGAATTTCTCCTTCTTTTATTTAGACGAATTTTTCGAAAATTTTTTCATGAATTTCTCACTATATGGAACTTGTTTTGTTTAAAAACAAATTTTAATTAAATTGAATTTTTTTTTAATTGAATTAATAATAGTTTTTTAAAATTTCTTGATTGAATTTAAATAAAAATTCAGTGCAGCACGAAAAAAATTTCGTGTGAAAAATTGAAGTAATTAGAAATTCAATTGAATAAGAATTCAATGTAATATGAAAATGTTTTAATAAAAATTTACCAAAAAAAAAATCAGGACTAATGGATTTTGCAAAGAATATTCAGTCCTTAAATAATGTATAAATTTTTCCAAAAATAAATAGCAACAGGAATCACAGTATATTTTTTCGTAGGTAAAAAAGATGAATTATTTACCGAAAATAGGTGATAGAAAGTTAATAATTAAAACCAATTAACGTGCAAAATAACTAATTTGTATCTATTCAAAGTGTGATTTTTTTCAATGTATTTTTTAACTACATTTTGTCTATTCAAAGAATAGACACATCACAAATTTTTACTCTTAATTTACATATTTTTAATCAATAATTGAAGCATTAATAGTTTAAAATTTGGGCAAATTGAATTTTGGATAAATTGAAATTGAAATCAATCAAAATTATTTTTATAGAATTATTATTTTTTTATAAAACAGATAAAAATCTAATTTTGTATCCTCTGAATTAATACCTTTGGAAGGTTAAAAAAAATGTTCGGAAACTAAAAAATTATTTTTCAATATTCCTTTGCTTAAATCAATGTTTTTTAAAACTGTAAATTCAATTACTTTTGAAATATTACATCTGCAAATTTAATCTAATCATGAAAGAGGTGTAAAAAATTATCAAAATAGGTGAAATAGATGGCAAAAATTTCAATAGGTGAAAAAAGATGAATAGGTGATAATCTGTGATTCCCGATAGTTGCTAATTTGAAGTTTCTATTTGTTCAATATACTGAAAAATCATTTGAGAATGGTTGATGAAATTTAAAAAAAATCTAGGATCCAGGGAAAATCATCTAGACTAGGTTGCTACATTATTTTTTTAAAAAAAATCTATAATGTATAATCCCGTAAACTTTAATATTATTCAAGAATTTATTTAGTAAAATATCTTTTATTTTTGAAGAAAATAATTTTTTTTTAGCATAATTGTGAGTAAATCCAATGGATCAATAACCAATAATAATTTTAATAAAATTATTATAAAAATTATCAAGTTAAAATAAATTAATTTAATATATTTATAGATTAATAAATCCTGACGAGAAAAGCAGTACCGGTTTCGAAACTTTACTGTTTTTTGATATATCTTTCCTATCCTAAAAATTGACAAAATTTTTATAGAAATAATTTATTATTGTTATTATTTTAAAAAGAAACCTATTAAAATTTCAAATTATTTTATTTTATTTTCTTCATAAAATAAAAGATATTTGTGGCGAATTATTATCCAATAAAAATCATTAATTAGAATTTTCATTTTAAAATATTTTATTAGAAATAATTACTTTTTAGACGAATTTTCAATTTTCTAATTAAAATTTGACAGATTTTCTTTTTATTCGAATTTTTATTTAACAAAATTTTCAGCTATCGAATTTTTGTTTGGCAAAATTTTTATTTTACAGTCATTTTCTTCACATGACTTTTTATTTCAAAGAATGTTAATTTAACAGAATTCTCATTCAATTGAATTTTATATGATTCGAATTTTTCAATGACAGAAAATCCAATTCACCAAATTTTAATTTGTCCAAAATTACAAATGGCCTAAATAGTTGTTGATTGTTGTTTCGAACATTTATAATTACAGACAAAAGAAAATTTGTCGTGTTAAAAATTCGGTGAATTAGAATTTCTGTCATTTAAAAATTCAAATTACATAAAATTCGATTGAATGAGAATTCTGTTAAATTAAAATTACCGTAAATAAAAAGTCATCTATATTAAATGACTGTAAAATAAAAATTTTGTAAACACACTAATTTAAAAGTATTCAATTGATACCAAAAATATCTAATTAATATAAAAACTTGTATTAGTTTGATATTTTTAAATTAGTGTGAAACAAAAATTCGGTAGCAAAAAATTTTCTTATGTAAGAATTTGTATAGAAAGAAATTCTGTCAAATGTTAATTAGAAAAATGAAAATTCGTCAAAAAAAAAATTATTTCTAATAAAAAATGAAAATTTTAATTAATGATTTTTATGGAAAATTCATTAATTTTACTAAATAAATTCTTGAATAATATTCAAAGTTACGGAATTGTAGTTTCTTTAAAAAATAATGAAGCAACCTTATCTAGATGATTTTCGCTGGATCCTAGTTTTTTTTCCAATTCCATCAACCACCCTCAGATGATTATCATTCGATTCACCCTATTGCACTTCTCAAGAATCGATTTAAAAAAAAAAAAACACTGCTTTTTTTATCTGTAAAACTGTTGTTGATGTTGAGTCCATTGTGGTTGTGATGGTTGTTGTGGCGGTGGTCCATATTGTGATGGATCTTGAATATAACCAGTTGGACTTGGTCTTATCGATGTTGCCGTTGGCGGTGCATATTGTTGTTGTGTCGATTGAACATATGGACCAGGGGGATGTTGTGGCTGTGAATAATATTGTTGTGTCTGTGATACTGGCGGTGGTACACTATAATTTGCATAATTCACTTGAGCAGGCGGTGGCGGCGGTGGTGGATTATAATAATGATGCGTTTGTTGAGCATGTAACTCATGGGTATTTACAGTTGTATCCTGAATTGGAACGGTTATTAAATTAGTTCTCATTGGAGGATTATTCGGCGGTGGTGCTGTATTTTGTGTATAATTTTGCATTGACATCATTGATTGTGTTCGATGTTGTCGATGTTCCACCGATTGTTGATTCACTAATGAATTTACACGTGGATCATTGCCCATTATTGGTTGCACCATGTGTGATGATTTCATGCGATTATTTTGTTGCAATGTCACTGGCGAGACTTTTGATAATTGAGATTCCATTTCGGATTTTGAATGCGCATATTGTGATTGATCGACCTGCATACCTTGAACTGGTTGAAGTGGTGCTGATATATGACGATGATTTATGTGAGCCTGGGGAAAAATTTTTTAATTAGTTTATTTTTTTTTTTTGATTTATTTTTTTAAATAAATCAAAAATTTATTGAAAATAAAAAAAATTTCAAAAGCAATTACTTGTAAATCCCTTTGACTTAAATACGTTCGTCTGCAACCTGCGTTTCCATATCGAGTACCTCCGTGTGTACACATAAAAACTGTTCCAAGTCCAGTTTGTTCAACCCTTGAAACTTTCTCTAAACATCGAGGACAGACTTTGTCCTCTCTTTTAGCGCAGGATAAACAAAAAACATGTTTGCATGGAATCTGAAACAGTATTTTCATTAATATTCTAATTAACTTTTGATAATAATTATCTAGTAAAATTATAATTATTAAATAAAAATAGACATTGATATTTGTAAAGTTCTTAATGAAATTTGTCTAATTTTAGAAAAACGAGAAAATAAAGAAAGAAAGAAAATTCTATTCTATTCTATAATTATTAAAATAAAAAAATAATTTAGTAAATTACGAAATATACGCACCATTCGTCCATAGATAAGAATTGGTTTTAAACATTTGTCACAACAATGAATCATTGGATTGAGAACTTTTTCACCAATTAAATTAACACGATGATCCCAACGTAAACGAAGCATTGGTTCTGGAGGTCCTCGATTAATTGTTGTGAATGTTGGTGCCTCCAATTGTGAAATATCAGCTTCCAAATCAAATTGTTGCTCCGAAATTGGTTGATGAATTTGAGAGTCATGTATGAGTTGTTGTGGAGGTTGTTGTTGTTGTTGTTGTTGTAGGGGTTGTTGCTGCTTGATTTGCGGCTGCTGCGGTTTCTGTTGTTCTTGTTCAGGTTCATTTGTCTCCATTGGAGTTTCCTCTTGAGTTTGTATAATATCTTCCTCATCACTTTCAATTATCTTTTAAACGTTTTAAACGATTTTAAAATTTATTTCCCATACAATATTTTATATAATTTTAATAAAAGTTATAAATTATAATTAATTTTATTAACTTTTTTACTAAATTTTATTAATTTAATTAATTAAACTAGTACAAACATAATAAAGAGAATAAAAATAGAAATACCTTCACCGCTTTTTTTGATCGTCCTCTGGCTCGCCCGCGAGCTCTTCCTCGGGCTCTACCTCTAGTTCTACCCCTCATTCTTTTACTTCCAATTTCATCCATTATTGAAAAAGAAACAATTTACCAACAACGAAAAATTTATTATTTTTCAAGTAAATCAAAACCTAAATATGTACACATTAACTTTTATAGGTTAGGATTATTGAACTCGGCATCATTCCTATTTAGTTATTTATATATATACAAAAAAAAACTCTAGCACGAATTATAATAATAAATCGTTTATTTAAATCAATGCTACTCTGAATTATCGAGTTACATTTGATAAAAAATTTGATAAATAGATTAAAAACACCAAATGACACAAATGTTGTTTGATTGCGTTCTCACACATTCAAACATTACGGCACTTCTTCTATATATGTGTATGTGTATAATATTTTAAAAAATAATTATTTCAAAAAAATCGTATATTAAAATTTTTTAAATTATTTTTATTGTATAATATTAAATATTTTTCCTAACATTTTATTTATAAAAAATAATTTATTTCTCATTACTAAAATTATGTATATTTTGATATATAGAAAACAATTTCAAAATTAATAAATAATATTTACAGTTATTAGAAAATTTTATTTTTACTATATAATTGTTGTAATTTGTTTTTTAATTTGTTTAATTTGTTTGTTCTTATTTACTTTTTTGAATTTTCCGCCAAATACTATAGTTACGAAATTAGTGAAAGATGGCGCTCCAATTACCGGAAGTTCTACGGGGTTTACAAAACTATTAAAACGGAAATAAGAAAGTTGGCAAAACAAGAAAACGGCAGCCATTACACGACACGCTGGTGAAAACGTAAGCGTCATTCGTTCATCGGGCAAATATAAATCCAGTATTTTCATCCAATTTCAATATTTACATTTGTGGACGACGTATTCATTGAGGGCACAACTTTTTCATATTGTAAGTTTGACTGAGTTGAATAAAAAGTACGGAATTCTTTAATAGATCAATCCAAGCCATTTTTTTGTATTCTCTCTCACTCACAAAAAAAAGTAATGATTTTTTAGCATCATACCTAAATTTACATGAAAACATGATAGTGTTCGCGTTATGAAAAAAAAAATCGTTAGCTCGCGATAATTTTTCGTTCGTGAGGTGTTTTTTTTTGTTGTTTTGAAAACAAAAAGGTGCTTTTTTTTGGAGTTCAATAAAAGGAGGTCAAAAATAAGTCGATAGTGGTCGGAGTCCTTGACGTGTGTTGCGTCGAATTGGAATTTACTACATTACAATTATTTGTCAATCGTACTCTTTGGGATTTGATTCATTAAACGCGAATTTGGTAATTATATGATAAAACAGGATTTTTAATTAATCTCAAAAATTTCCTCTCTAAATAAAATTTATATATTAGTAAATACTTTAATTATTGACTATAAATATTTTTTTAATGTAAGAAATCATAAAAATGTTTTGTTACTTTACTTTCTATAACGGAAAACAACTTTTAGAGTTTTCTAGGTTAGCGCATTTTAATTTGTTTTTAAAGATGTTTTTGAGAAATAACATTTGTCACAATAAAAAAACATTTTTTTTTCAAAATATATAAAATATGTAACCTAAAAAAAAATAAGCACAAATTTTATTTGTTTTCACATTAAACATGAAAATTTCCCTAAAAATATTATAAATAATCATTAATTATGAAACCTTAATATTTTATTGGAATAAATAAATATTTTACGGTTGTTTAACTTAATCAACAATTAAATGAATTATAATTTCTTCGAATAATAAAAAATTTTTATATTTATATCCTTTAATATTTGATTAAATCACAAGTCCTGTTGAATGCAGTTAAATTTTAATATTTGAAAATACATAATTTTTAATAAGAATTAAAAATTTAAATCCCTATTATCTACCTGAACCTGAATTCCATTTAAAAAAAAAGGATGCCAAGGGCTCAAGATCTATCTCCTATATCATCTTCGTGGATGTGGACTGGATTTTTTGGGGAAAAATTCCTTTTTGCTCTTTTATACACAAGTTTATAAATTTCAATTATATTTTCTCTAATCGAAATATGGTTTGTAAGGAATCTTTTTATTGAAAGAACTTGTTTTTCAGTCAACAAAAAAATTTCTCTTAGGTTGACTGAACTGAATTATGAAGTTACACAATATTTTGAATTTGTTTCAAGCAGTTCTGCGAGTTTTTTTTTTTTTTTTAATATTTAAACCAGTTTCTTCAGTAATAGCGAGATTTTTTTCGGATCTTCACAATTTTCTTATCGCGGTTTACATTTTTGACTCCGGATCAGTTGTGGTAAGTATCACCTGTAGGAGACCAGAAAAAAAATTGTTCCAAAAAAGAGACATCGGATTCTAAAATAACGAATTTTTAACAAACTTTTGGGAATTTAAGAATCTTTTTATTTTTTAAATTTAATTCCATTTAAATTAAATTTAAAAAATAATTTTACTCATTGAAAAATGCACTAAAGATGTAAAAAAAATAATTTTTAGTCTATAAAACAAATTATTTTAATACATTTTAGTGTAATCTTTTTTTTTTAAATATCAAAACTTTTTTTTACGTTTTATTTTATTTTATTGTATTTGGTAATGGAGTCGAAACTATTGTCGTCGAAACATTACATACAGTTGTGAAATTTCAGCTTTAATTGGATTATAAGAAGTGTGTAAAAAATCGATAATCCAATTTGAATCACAGTTTATTATTAATAATTAATAATTATTACAAATTAACAGTAAACAAAAATTTAATTTTCTATTTAATATAGAAATTGTTTTGAAAATATTCAGTTTACGAATACTATTTCATACTTTTTTTTTAATAATTAAAATGGGATTTAAAAAAAATAATTTACTGGAGTTCTAATTATTGAGAAACAAGAAAAAAATTCTTTTCGTCTCTTTAAATAGAATACTAGTGTATTTAAGTCCTATTAATTTAAATTTTGATATTTAAATTGAAATGAATTAAAATAAATAAATTTAAATAAATATTTTAATATTTATTAATTATATATTATTTAATAATTGTCATTTACTATTAAGATTCGTTTGTAAATTTAAAACTGTTTTTGAGATTTACGAACTTTAAAAATTATTAAAATTAAAAATTTTTTGAATCGGAGATTCTATTTTAGAAAAAGTGAAAAGAAATTAACTATTTTTATAGAATTAATATTAATGGATTTTTTTTTTAAATTAAATTAATAAAACATTCTATTTTATGGAATTCAGGAATATCAAGTAGAATTAAATTAATCTCTGCATTCTTTAAAACAAAACTTGATTGTTGTCAGGACATCATAAGCAACCCAAAAAAATATAAACCCGACATAAAAAATAAAAATGCATTTTGAACGATTTTTTTCTAAATTAAAAAAATACTTTATTAAAATGTTTTTTTTTTTTTTAATGATTAAAAATTTCTTGCAAGTGTGATACGAAATTCCATTTTTAGGAGCTCTGGAAAACTTCGGAAAATGATATTTTTTCAAGCATATCATTTTTTGCACAAATAAATAATTTACTGCGAGAAAAAAAAAACGATTTATATTTTTGCACTGATTTAATTTTCGAATTGAAAGTAAAATATAAATTTCAAATTAAGGGCCGTTTGATTTAGAAAATTAACAAAGAAAACACTTCAAAAAAAAAGAAAAGAATAAATTTATAATAAAAAAAAAAAGTATTGGGCGTAAAATTTTACCTGATGTAAATTTTTTTATTAAAAGTTAAATAAATTTTCTATTTGATTTATTAAAATTAAATTTAAAATTTACTTTCTTTATTAAAATTTTTAAGTTTCATTTCTTTTTTTCTTACTAACAGTGTATATTTAAAAGTGCTAGAACATCTAAAATTTGAATTTCGCTTCTGTATTATTATTATTTTTACTTGCTTAAAAAAAAAAGAAATTCGAAGGGGATTTTGTTTTTGAGGTACAGCATGGCAAAAATGATATGTGTTACAGGACCTTAAGCGATGATTGTTGGTGCGTATTAAAGAGAAAATGAGCAATGCGCCGTCCATGATGAAGTTTCTAACAATGATGCAGTGAATGTAACTGCGCTTTTATTCTGCTTCTTCATTTTCTTGATTCCTCACTTCACTGAATGGACTATTTGCTGTTTGCTGGGTCGTCTTTATTCTCGTCGACTTACTTAGATTTCATCATCGTCATCATCATTGAAACCAATTTTAGCCGAGTGAACTCTAATTGAAGAAAGAAGAAATTTTTCTGTGAAGGTAATGCTCCAATAGTAACGTAATAAGATTTTAGTTGTTAATTTTTCTATTTTTTTTTTTTTTTTTTGGCGAAACAAAGAGAGTTGTGATTTTTCTGTTGGGGTCAATTTTTAATGTACTTTTTTTTTCTTTTCTTTTTTTTCGACCCTTCTGCGTGAAAAAAAAAAAATTATCGACTCTAAAATGAATTCTTACATAAGAATCATTAATTAAGTTTTTTAGGTAGAAAAAAGAAATATATATTTGGTAAGTAGTTCTTGAATCTTCTGAGAGTTAATTGTTCAAGAACGATAATTTTTTGAATCAATAAAGATTTCCTTTTTATGGTTTATATATTAATGTTATTTAATTTTTCGATCTTAGAATTTATCTTTAAAGGTTTCGTAGATAATATTTTTTTACTTCGATTTTATTCAAGAATTCTTCGATTACAAACAAAACAAAAAAAAAAAAAAGAATGGTGATAAAAACGATTTATTTGGAGATATCCTGATTGTCGAGATCTTCAGTTGTCAACAAGAAAAAAAAAACTTTCGGAGAATGGACGCGAGTTTTATTTTTTTTTAGAGAAAAAAAACATCGTTTTTTCTGCAAACAACTGTAGGTAATTGTTTTCGTTTTAAGATTACAAATCGTATCTTGGGCCAAAAAAAAGATTACAATTTACGGAAAAATAATTGTAAAAAATATTGAAAGAATTGAGGGAAAAATTTTAAGTTTTTTTTTTAATAATCCTAAAAAGTTTAGGAATCATCTATCTCAAGATACGATTTATTACCGAAATCCCTATCAGTTTAATCTTCATTATCACATTTCTTTTAGAATTTTTCTAGATTATTACAATTTAGATGAAATTGCTAAGAAATGTTTCTTCCTTTTTTTTTAAAGAATCTTTTTGAAAAATAAATCTGCATTAATTAAAATATAACACTTTTAAACGGATTATTAATAATAATTTTTTTTCGTTAACATAAATGAAAAACGAGAATTTTTTAGTTGATACATTTTGAAATAATTTTTTAAAAATCATTTAATGAAATTAGAAAAATATAAAAATTATGGAAAAAATATAATTTTTTTTCCTTACAATTACAATCCTATTTTTTATTTTGCGAAAAATAATGTTGATGCCTTGTATTTAGTAATCGAATTTTTTATAACTATACTTCCGGTTTAATAATTTAGACTATGCAAAAAAAAAAGCAAAATGAAAGAAATTGTTTGTTATTGCATAAATTATACTTTAGATTAAATAATTTTAATTATAAATTGAATCATAAAAGCACAACAATAATGATTCAATTTTTGGAAAGAATTTTTTTTTTTTTTAAATGAGGAAAATTAGCGTCCAGCTGCTGTATGTGATCTGCAAGTTGTTGATAAAAAAATTCACCAGAAAACGTCACACAATCGGGAATGTATCGGGAATAACATGAACTTCATTACTTCAATAAGAACTTCATCAGTTCCATGGCTGTTTCTCTCAAAGTCGAAAGCATTTTCCAGAAGGATGGCAATATTTTTTTTTTTTGCAGCTTTTCATATTTGTCGATTTTTTTGTAAATTTTAAATAAGTTGCTTCGTTATTCCATATTTTATTTGTTTTGTTTTGAAAATTGAATCATTTCTCTCGAGAAAAAAAGTTAGTTTTTTTTTTGATAATTTCTCTCTCTCTCTCTCTCTCTCTCTCTCTCTCTCTCTCTCTCTCTTTGCCTTCAGATGAATTTGTCGCACAATATTGTCGGTAATTTTATTCGTTCTTCGACTTGGATTCATTGGCATAAATTCTCTCTCTTCCTCTCGAATTATTAAAATTGATTTACAAAAATTGGAAAAATATAATTAAAATATATTTCCAGATTGAAATGAATTAGGAACGAGGTTGAATAATTATTTTGTTTTGTAATTTTAATTATTTGGTAATTATTTTTAAAAATTAGTTACAAATATTGCTAGCTGAATATTTTAGTCAACGAGTTTTATACCATAATTTTTTTTTTTTAGAAAATACAATCAGAGAATTGAAACAAATTAATAATTATTATAATCTGGTTATTAAAAAAAAAAATTTTTTGAATAGCAAATTTAATTTGCAATTAAATAATTAAAGAAAAATGGAAAATCACAAAAATATGTAAATTTTGTTTCTTTTGAGAAATTTCGGTGTAATTTTATTTAATTAATTCTTAATTGAATTATTAGTATCACATTCGGTTGCGAATTTTTCAATTATCCCACACTTGAAATCGAAATGTTTATAACAATATTATGAGGATTTTTTTTAAATTGCATATAATTTCTATATATGATACAGAAGAATAAATTGAACAATCAACGAATTAAAAAGTATTAACGCATAATAGTGTGAGCATAAAATTGATATAAATGATCAGACCTTGGCACACTTGGTAAATTCAACTTTTATTGCAAAAAAAATAATTCAAGTCTATTGCATTTATCATAAAGTTCATTTTGGATTTTTTAATTTTGAATAAAATGAATAAATTTACAAAAAAAAAACTAACCACTTTTTAAAAAATTTTAATTTAATTTTTTATTTCAATCAAAATGAATTTATTGATATTTAAAATTATCGTGGAAAAATGGAAAAAAAGGATAATTATGGTATTAGAGTTTTTATATAATATGGTAATTAAATAAACGGATTAAATAATAAGAAGGACTTAATAATTAAATCAGTCATTTTTAATGTCCTAAATCACTTGAGGATATAACTCCAATTATTAATATTTATTTATTATTTTTATTATTATTTATTTCATTAGTTTTGACTATTTATTTTGTTGTATTTTTGTGTTTATTTATTTATTTTACAGGCCTCGGATTACACGACTTTTTCGACTTTTACCGACTTTTTTCGACTTATTTTAATAAAATGCGACTTTTTCGACTTTTTTACAAAATTTTAAAACAAAATACGTTTTTTTTAGGATACAATGCAATTCTTCTTTATTTCAATTATTTAACAAATTTTTAACTAAAATTCTTCACTAAATTAATTATTTTTAATAATTTTAATGAAATTCTTCACAAATTCAATTATATTTAACTATTTTTGAATTAAAATTTTTATGAAATTTAATAATTGTTTATAATTTTAAAAAAATTAGCAAATAAAATAACAAAAAATGTTTAATTCAAAATCACTTGAAATTAAATTATTTGCAAAAATTTTAATTATTTTTAATAATTTTTTATAATATTCTTCGAAAATTCAATTATCTGAAAGCATTTTGCAATGAAAAAAATTTGAAAGTTCAATTGTTGTGTGTAATTTCTAATAAATTCTTCAGTTATTTTCAAAAATTTCAATAGAAATTCAATTATTTTCAAAATTTTAAATTTTAAATCAACTAAAATTCAATTATTTTCCAACGTTTCAATTCAAAATCAATTAAAATTTAATTATTTTCCAATATTTCGATTGAAATTACATTATTTTCAAAATTTTCAATTAAAATCAACTAAAATTCATTTACTTTCAAAAATTTCAATTCAAAATCAACTAAAATTCAATTATTTTCCAAAATTTCAATTCAAAATCAATTGAAATTTAATTATTTTCAAAAATTTCAATTTAAAAGCTTCTAAAATTTAATTATTTCTAAAAATTTCCATCTAAAATTTTTTGAAATTTAATAATTTCAATTATAACTCTCGTGAAATCAAATTATTTTTAATGATTTTTGTAATATTCTTCGAAAATTCAACTATCTGAAACCATTTTTCACTTAAAAAGTTTTCAAATTATTGTATTTTTGTCTGCAATTTCTAATAAATTTTTTAGTAACAGAAATCATGAATCTATAAAATTATTTGATAAATTATTTTTAGTTTTGTAAAATTTAATTATTGTCTGAAAATTAACCAAATCTTTTGAAATTCAATCATTTCTAAAAATTTCAACTTTAATTCTTCCAAAATTATTATTATTTAAAAAAAATTTTTTTAATAAAAAATCTGTAAAACTTGATTAAGTTTTTGCCTGAAATTATTTTGATCATAAAAACTAAAAAACTATGACAAAATTTGTAATTCGAATAAATTGCTAAAATCAGACTTCAAGAAATTATAAAAATGTTACTTCAAGAATTTTTTTTGGAAATTTGTTCTACTTAAATAAAATTTTGAAAATTTGTCTTACAATTAGTTCAATTGTGAAATATTGGAAATAAATTTTCTTAATAATATTTTTATAGAATTATTCTCATTACAGAATTAATAAAATGAATTTAATTAACATTAGTTATTTAAAGTAAAATATTCATTAACCAATTCAATTTTATTAAAATAAAAAAAATCGACTTTTTCGACTTTTTTTTTGGAATATAAATCGACTAAAACGACTTTTTTTGTGCCTTAAAGTCGATCCGAAGCCTGTATTTATTTTATTTTTTAAATATTTTTTGACTATTTTAATTTCATTATATTTTTGACTATTTTAATTATTATTTTGTTATATTTTTTTTGTTAGCATTTAGGTAGTATTTATTTATTTTTTTATTGTACAATTTTCACAAGTTTTTTGGACAATATTTTTATTCCACTATTAAGTTTTATTTTATTATAAATCTAAATTTTAATAATTTATTAATTATTTTTTTTGTATTTTTGAGATAATTTATTATTTTGTTATATTTTTATAGTAGTAGGTATTTATTTATTCATTGTACATTTTTTTACAAGTTTTTTTTAACAATATTTTTGGTCCATAAAGTTTTATTTTATTATAAATCTAAATTTATTTAATTTATAAATTTTAAACTTTTTTTAATTAACAAAAATGTCCCCGAAATTCTAATTACTTAAATGAGCGAATATTTTTAAATTCAAATTTTAATGTCGTTGAAGTTCTGAACGTTCAAATACAACGAAATAATTATTTTTGTCTTTAAATTTTTTTAAAATGTACTACGGAAATGAAAAATAAAAAAGTACATTAATTTAAAAAAAATTTTAATTTATGTCTGAATATAGAAAGCAATATTTTTTATAATAAAATTTGAAGTTAAAAATGTATTAAATAAATTTTCCGTTCATTTGAACGATCAGAATTTTAGGCAAATAAATTTTATTCTAAAAAATACTTCTTTACTTATATAAAAAAAAGTACTTAATTGTTTATAAATTACTCTTTATTTTCAACTATATAATAGAGATTCGGAGAAAAAAAATTTTCAGTTCATATGAACCTGGAAAATCTATTAAAATTAAATTTTTATATAATTTTAGTTTTTTTATTTTAATTCAATGAGTTAGATTTAATTTTTTTAGAAATTGATTATTAGTTAAATTTTATATATCGTATTTACTTTTCTACAATTTTAATGCATTGAATTCTATATATATGTTTTTTTTAAAAATAATTTCGAAGTTTTTGGTATCTAACAACTTTCGAAAAAAAAATTCTATAAACAATTTAAATGTACTTTATATGTTTGAGATTTTCAAATCGCAGATAAATACACATTTAGTTGAATATTCTTAAGAATTATGTTCCCAATTCAATAATTTTCAAATATAAAAGTAAAACCCATGTCGATAAATTATTTATATAAAAACAAAAATTCTCTATTCCCTTGATATTCACTTCAACGAAGCGTTGGTTCTATTAAAACAAATCTTATTATTTATTAAAATTATATATCTTAATTATAATAATAATAATAATAATAAATTTATTTATTTTTTAATTAATTTATAATAAATTAATTTTTTAATTAATGTATAATAAATTTTTTTTAATATATAATATATAATAAATTAATTTATTATTAAATTATAATTAAAATTTATAATTTGATTATTTAATTATTTTTTAAAAATTAATCTTCAAAAGAGTCCAACAGAAATAATTCAACTTTTGTTTCCAAAAGTATGAGATGTTATCATGGTCGTAATTTTGTGTCCGTCTCTTAAATTCCAGATAATTCAATTAACACAAAAAAAAAAAAATAAACAAAATGAGTGTCATAATAAGACTACAAAATTTGGCGTGGTCCGCGAATGCCCTGGACATCCGTCAATTTTTCCACGGACTCAGCATACCTGAAGGTGGTGTACACATCGTTGGTGGTGAACTTGGAGATGCTTTCATAGCATTTAGGTGAGATATTTATTCCTCGTGTGAATTCATAAAAAAAAAAATTATTCTTATTCTACAAAATGCAACGTTGAATCAATTTTTCTTCTTTTCTTAAATTTAAAATGTCTAATAGAAAATATTTTTAAATTACTTGATATTTATTTGAATTATATTAAACTTTGTTAAATTGTTCATTTTTTAAAAATATAAAAACTTTTGAAGATCTAATTTTTGGGAATTTTCTCCCTTAATACAGTACCGATGAAGATGCGCGTCAAGCAATGTTGAAGGACGGTGGTAAAATAAAAGAAATGAAGATAAAACTACTATTGAGTTCACGTACCGAAATGCAAAAGGTGATTGAAGAGGCGCGACAACAGAGTCTATCGTTGCAAACATTTATGCAAGCGGCACCAGTTCCAGTTGTTCCAACACAATCAGTTCCAACAAAACAAACATCGCCAAATGACAATCGAAAGGAAAAAGAACATGAAAATGAAACCACATCATCGTCATCAACGACATTAAATAAAGATCGTAAGGAAAGAAATCGTTCACGTTCACGTGATCATTCACGATCAAGAGAAAGAGATCGCGGCGGTGGTCGTAACAATGATAGAAGCGATCGTCGTGATCGTGATCGTGATCGCGATAGAGGACGCGATCGTGGTGGTCGACGATGGGAAAGAAGTAGATCACGTGATCGTGATCGCGATCGTCGTGATAGACGTCGTCGTCGTGATCGTTCCAAATCACGTGATCGTACACGTTCAAAAGATCGTGATATAAAACGAAGAAGCGATGGACGTAAAGATATAAATGACGATGAGAATACAAATGATATTGTTTGCGTTGGTCAATTTGCAAAAGAAAAATCAAATGTAAATAAAAAATCAACATTACCTGAAAATGGAGTCTGGGAAGTACCGCCACGTACACAGCAAATTGGTGTAATAGCACCAAATATTCTTGGCGCTGGTATTGCCGCTCTACCATCACAAGACGATCGTCCATCACCATTTGGAAATCAAGTTCTTAATCAACAATTCTCACTCAATGGATTAAATGGCGTTGGTAGTCTCATGTCGGCGCGTTTACCAAATTTAGGCATTAATCAATTGTCAAGTTTGGGTAATAATTCATTAACTGGAAATGGAAATTCTCTTGGTTCATTAAATCGTTCATCACGCGAACCATGGGCCGATAATACAAGAATGGATTCAATTCGTTTTCCCAATCGTTCAGGATTATTTGGTTCCGATAATTTATTCAATAATTCCAATTTTCGTTCCACTAATAGACCGACAAATTCATTTATGAATAAAGTTCAAGAATTAGATAGTCGACGAAATCCCCATGCTTTTCAAGCGTCTATTTTTAAAAATACTTTCGATAAATCCAATGATCGACAATTAAATCGTAATTCAAATTCACGTTTTGGACAAAATGATAATTCATCATCGACAACTGACAGTGGAAATTGTGTCGAAGTAAGAAATATGCCATTGAGTGCAACTTACAGTGATGTACGTCATGGTTTTTCGGGTCTTTTTATCAGAAAAGATGGACTCAAATTAATTAATGATAATCATGGTAATCGTGTTGGTATTGCTTATATTAAATTTGTCAAACAAGAAGCAAAAGAGCAGGCTCTTAAATCACCGAAATATGTACGTGGTTCTGAGGTGGAAGTATTACATCTTGAAGAATCGATATTTGATAAGACATTGGATTCATATCCATCGTGTGATAGAGATAATAGATCTGATTTTTCATCATCTGCTGACAATGATTTTACATCGTTGAAAGAGGGAAAAAATTCATCGTCATCATCATCGGGAAATGATGAGAATAGCGGTGAAACGGATAATACAAAATTAGTGGATAATGTGGCAAAATCGTCATATATTGTTTTAACTGAATTGCCATCCTATGCCAAAGAAATGGATATTGCAAATCTTTTTCAAGATATTAAAATAAATGATGTTTTTATTAAAACAATGGAGAATTCAGGAAGTACAAAATATTTGGGTTATTTGCATTTTGATAAAATTGAAGATGCAGAAGCGGCACTTAGTAAGACATTGAAAATTGGACCAAAGCAAATTACAGCTTCGTCAATATCGGAAACTCTATTTGAAAGTGAAAAACGAGAATACGAAGAGGAAAATGGAATACCATCGGAATCTGATTGTATTATTATGCGAGGATTGCCTTATCAATCCAATGATCGTGATATTTTGGATTTTTTCTCCGATATTGGAATTGTACCACACAGGTGAGAATTTCTTCTTTTGAAGAGTTAATTTTTCTTTTTTTTTTTTTAAAAAAAAGGTAATTTAATTTATACTTTCCAGTGATCACAGTTGATTATTATCTACTCACAGGGACCGAAGTCGGATTTTCTAAAAAAAAAAATCGATTTTGTAGTCGCAAAAAGAAAATATAATTATAATTAATTCGTTATAATTAACAAGCATAGTACAAATATAATTTTTTTACATTATAATAAAAAAGTTTTTGTTCTCAAAAGTGAAAATTGCAAATTTTTAATATTCGATTATTATTAGGAAATATTTAATTATTTTATTTATTATTTGGAGATAATTTCATTTCAATTATATTATTGATTAATTATTTAATTGAAGAATGAATGAAGATATTTTCAATAATTTGATTTAATATTTAAATATAATTTCAATCAGTTTATTGAAAAATTCAAGATAATTTCAATTATTTTATTACAAAGATTTGAAATATAAATTCAATTCTGCTTTTTTATTCTTAAATACTCAAAAAATAAATAGGGTTTTGTTCTTGAAAAATTAAAATCACAAATTATTTATATAATAAAATTGAGAATTTAGTTTTGAATATTTTTTGAATAGGTTTTGAAAATTTAATTTCAATTTTGACTTATTTTTGTAATTTAATATTTAAAGATAGTTTCATTATTATTTTATTCAATATTTCAAAATAATTTCAATAATTTTGTTGATTGTGTGAAAATAATTAAAATTATTTTATGCATGATTAAATTTAAAGATAATTTCAATTATAAACATAAATTTTAATTATTCGATTAAGTAAGTGGAGGTATTTTTAATTATTTGATTTAATATTTAAATATAATTTCAATTTTAATAATTTTATTGAAAAATTGAATATAATTTCAATTCTGTTTATTATTCAATAATTTTATCAATTTTTTGGTGATATTCAATAATTTTATTGATTATTTGAAGTTATTCAATTATTTTAAATTGTTTATTTGAAGATATATTCAATTATTATTTTGATCAATTAGAGATAGTCAATTGTTTTATTTAATAATTGTAGATATTTTGAATTGATTAAATATTTGAAGACAATTTCAGTTTTTTGATTGAATAAATGAAAATGTTTTTAATTATTTTATTATGAAAATTCAAGATAATTTTAATTATTTAGTTCACGATAAAATTTTAAGATAACTTCAATTATTTTATTAATTAATAATTAAAGATAATTTTAACAATTTGATTCAGTATTTTAAGATATTTTTAATTATTAAAATTTGTCATTTAGATATAATTTCAATTATTTTCTTTATTATTTTTAAAAATATTCAATTATTTGACAGAATAAGTGAATAAAATTTCAATTATTTGATAAAAAATTTAAAGATAAATTTATTTATTTAAATAATTTTTTATTTTATTCATTATTTGAAGATAATTTCAATTAATTAATAGAATAATTGAATAAAATTTTAATTGCGTTATTGAAGATATTTTTAAATTATTTGATTTAAAATTTGAAGATAATTTACCTATTTAATAAAATATTTAAGAGATTTTCAATTATTATTTAGTTCAGGATCAAATTTGAATATAATCTCAATTATTTTATTAAATAATAATTGAAGACAGTTTAAACAATTTTATTCAGTATTTTAAAAAAAATTCAATTATTTAAATTTGTCATTTAGAGATAATTTCAATTATTTAATTAAATAATTAAATAAAAATTATATATTTTTAAAAGTGATTAATTTGATAGTTTATTTTCAAATTATTCTTTTCAAACAAAAATTAATGATTTTAAACCTTAAGAATTATTGTAATTGAAAGAAAAATTTCAAATTTGATTCAAAAAATTATAATTATAAATAATTTTTTTTACAAATAAATTTATAATAAATTATAAATTGACCTTTTAAGATAATTTTAATTATTTTATTATTTCAATTATTTGACGATAATTTCAAAAGAATCTCCTTTTTTTTATTGAGTAATTGAAGATAATTTTAAATATTTGATTTCAGTGTTTATAGATAATTTAAATTAATTAATAATGAATAATTGAAAAAAGTTTCGATTTTTTCATAAGGAATTAATTTAAAAATTTATTTTCTTGTGTGAGATTTTTACAAAAAATAAAATTTACGAATTCAAATCTTGAGAATTATTCTAATACAAAAATTCTTCTGAATATTTGTCTCAACAATATTTTCATTAATTCTTCATAGAAATCTTTGTAATATTTAAAATAGAAAATTCTTGTTATTCTATCTTCAAAATTTTTTTTTTAATTCTGAATTAATTTCCATAAATAAAATAAGAATTTCTATTTACTTATTTATATTTATTTTTATTTTTATATTAATAAAATTTATTAAATATAATTTTTTTTTAAACAATGTGATCACTGTAAAAACAAATAATATTAAAAATAAATAAAAGATAAAAATAAATTTTTCCCTTTTCAGGATACACATGATGTTAAATCAATCGGGAAAACCAGCTGGCGAATGTTTTTGTGAATTTGACTCGTCAGATGAGGCAATGCGTGCAATTGGTAAAAATGGTTTACCATTGGGTAAAAATGTTCCCACAATAATGTTGGTACCACGAACAAAAATGTTGGAAACTTTAGGCCTAGGTGACAGTCAATCGGCACAAATACCAATGCCACATCATTATCAAATGCAACAGCATCATCATCACAATCATCATCATCATCCAATGCACGATATGAGGCCACGTTTTCCTGGACCAATGCATTATCCACGTTTTGGTTTTGGTCCAAGGGGACCACCACCTGGAATGATGGGTATACCAAGACATTTGATGCCACCTCGACATCCTGGACAAATGGATCATGTTGATCATGTATTTGGTAAGCCTGGTTGTGTTATTTCACTTGAAAATGTTCCATTTAAAGCGAGTATCGATGAGATTATTGAATTTTTTTGCGATTTTGAAATTAAACGCGAACAAATTATTCGTCGTTATAATGAACAGGGAATGCCAACGGGCGATGCGCGTATTTGTTTTCAATCACCAATTGAAGCGCAACGCGCATTAAGAGAATTAAAATTAAGTAAAATGCGCGATCGTACGATATATATGAAAATTGCATGAGAAAATCTCTCGGTGGAAGAAAATGATGATAATGATAATAATGATAAGATTCTTCCACAGGTGAAAGATAAATAATGCGGGCATAATAAGAAAAAAGACTTTGAATTTATTTCTTCTTCATTGTATCAGTGTAAACGAAAGAATGGACCTTGATTTATTTTATTTTTTTCGAACAAATTGTTCGACTATTATTGTGAGAACAAAAACAAAAATTCTTTTAGAATTTTAAGAGGAAAATTTTTTTTTGTCGGTTGTACTAAATGACTTATTTAATTTTCTATTTAAAAAGTTGTATATAAATAATTAAGTCTAACTGCAATCGTAAGGGAAAAAAAAAATTCTATTAATTTCTAAAAATCGTTGGTTTTTGAATTATAAAATTAAATTTACTTTCAAAGGTAATTATACGATGTAATATTGTATTCTTAAAGTCAAACTTCCAACGATAGTGTAAATATTTAACGAATGTGTGATATATTTTTTTTTCTTCTTCTTTTAATCCACATTTTTGATGTTGCTTTAAATAGTTATGCACAAGTTTAGTTCGTTTTATTATTTTTTTTTTCACTTAGTATTGGTTTAATTTTTGTTTAATTTTATTTAAATATTGAAGCATTTATTTAAAACAATTTAAAAATTAAAATGAAGGCACATCGAATAAAGTGGATTGTGAAAAAGAGAATGAAAAATAAAAAAAAAAAGAAAGGATTGAGAAAAAAAGAAATGAATGCTTGAAGATTGAGTGCAGTGAATATATTTTAGAATTATTATTGTACAAATTATAAGCGATTATTGTCACGAAAAAACAAATAAACACTCGAATTTATATGAAAAAAAAAATATAGAATCATTTCATTTCATATCTTACAAAAAATAGTTTGTCAACTTTTTTCCTTTCTGATCGGAGCTACAATATTTCTTTTAAAATATCAATAAATTTGTATTTAAAAACTAAAAAATCGAATTCTTTCTTTTTTTTAAAGATCTTGATTTTTAAAGTTAATTTCTAATTTTCGCGAAGTAAAATATAATTTTTTTTTAAAATGATGTATCAATTATAATTTTTTGCTTGCTCCAGTTGGGGTTTAGCGACTAAATTCTGAATTTAATATTGACTCATGGGTTATTTCTGGTGGACTTAAAATATACAAACATGTATAAACGTCCATCAAATCTTTTGTAGAGCATGTAAATATCAATTTAATCCCTAGAAGTAAAGGATTTATTATTCTGAGAAATGGTTATGAATTTTTTGTTACATTTCTATTCACTGCAAAAAAAAAAAAAAAAATAATATGTATTTTTAATTATTATTTCAATTCTTTTATTTATTAAATATTTTAAATTATTTATTATTAAAGATAAAATTCTTTTTTTTTTTTGAAAATACACAAATTTTTAAGTAAACAATTTTGTGGGATAAAAAAACAAAATGGACGATTATTTTTCTTGAGTTGGTCCAATAAATTATTCTTTTTTTGGTTTTTTAAAAAAATATTTTTCCTACCATATGTTACTTTTTCAAGTAAGCAAATGTGATATGTAACAGCACTGAATTATTCAGGGTCGTTCTCTTAAATCACGTCAGATTTTTTTTTTTTTACAAGACCCAAAAAAGGAATAGTACGATAATATTTTATGTAAGATCGTGAGAAAGTATTTCAAACTAAAAAAAAAGAAAATATTTCCATTTTTAGGAAATTCAGACTATTTTCTATATTGGTAACTTTTAAATTTGGAACTTTAAGTTATTTATAAAAAAAATTAAAGAAAATGGTACAAAAAATTTTATTTGATATTCAATGAATAATTTTTTCCATTTTACAGACAATTTCAATTCATTTCGTATTTATTTATGTTTTAATTTTTAGATGAAATATAAATAAATTCTTTTTTTTCTATTTTTTTTTTAATTTACAAGTTTAGAATAATTTACTAAAAACTTAATTTAGATTTTGAAATTTACTTGAATTTTCGAGGTTTTGAATTTTTTTTTCCTATTTTGAATCCAGTTGTTTAATCACATTTGAAAATAATTTCAATGACTATTAATTATTTGAATATCATTTAAATTATTTTATTAAGTAATTATTTGGTTGAGTAACTAAAAATGTTTTCAATTATTCGATTTGAAATTTAATTTAATTTCAATTACTTTTACTTGATTGAAGAATTAAAAAGTTTTAATAATTTGAAAAATTGAAAATATTTTCAATTTAAAGTAATTAAAATTATTTTACTAAATAATTCAATATTTCAATGTAATAGTTTAGTTTTAATAATTTGATTTAATGTTTGAATATAATTTCAATTTAAATTATTAAAAAAATTGAAGTTCAATTTTCAAGATAATTTTATTTATTTTATTAATTATTTGCAGATATTAAATAACTTTAAAAAAAAAATGAAAAATGGTACAAAATTTTTATTTCAATATTAATAAATAATTTTTTTTTACATTTTACAGATAATTTTAATTAACTTTTATTTAAATTAGAAGCTTACTTGAATTCTAAAGAAGAATTTTTTTTCCTGCAATTTTTTGGCAATTGGTAATTACTTTAATAAAAAAAAAATTTATTAATTGAAAAATTATCGATGTAGAAGATAATTGAAAAGCTACTTCCAAAACACTTCTGTACAATCAAAATTTCTTCGTCTCTTAAGTAGTCTTCTCTGCACTTATCCCACATCTGGATCCCTCCTCCAAGAAGCTATTTATTCCTTCAAGTGTATGTATACGAAGACTCTCTTACAATTTCTGGTATCACACATGTACATACGAGATTTAAGTTCCCTATAAGCTGCCGCGCCGTATAGAAGCAAGTTTCAACGAAAGGGAAGGTTTCTCGTCTCAAAACGAAAACAAGATTCAAGCCGCTCAGTTGTATTTTATCAGTCGGCGAATTCACGTGTGTATCTTTTAATAGAAAAAAAAAAAAATTCTCTTCATTCCAGCAAACGATCGAGAAATACTGATGAATATTAATAAATAGACGCGACAATTCTTCAATGTCAGTTAAAAATTACATCTCAACAAGGATCACAAATAAAAAGAGTGTGTGGGATTATTGCCAAGATTTATCGAGCTAATCAGTATTTTAAAATGAGAGTTTAAAACTTTTACTCGTGAGCTTTTGCAAATCTTCAAAAAAAAAAAAAAAGAAATTTAGAAATATACAAAATCTTATTTTCAGTTTGAAAGTTAATTTTTCTTCACTATGACGGGAAAATATTTCCTATTGATGATAATAATTCTATGGAGCGGAATTCCTGGATTTTTATTTCAGGATTTTAGACGATTTTTGGATAATTCGAACCAATTGTGTCCTCGTGAATGTAGCTGTTCATTTTCAACTGTCAGATGTACTTTTCGAAAATTGACATATATTCCTCGAGTTTCAGGTAGCACTACTGTCCTGTAAGTAAAAGAAAATTTAAAAATTATTTTTCTCTTCAATAAAATTCGAAATTAAAAATCACGTTTTTTAAAAATATAAAACATTTTTTTATTAATTGCAAAAAAAAAATTTATTATAATAAAAAGGGGGAATTGACTCTTCATTTAGTTCAATGTCCTTATAATAAATTGAAATCGAATCTTAATTTTTTTTTCTGTCAGCAATTCATTCGTTGAATTCTTCAAACGCGACTTGAGATTTATAATTATGAAACGTGCCTTAAACAAACTTTGAAATGAAGAGTGTTAAAACGTGCGAAATTATTCACATCCGGAGGGTCATTTTTTTTTCTTTTTTTAAACAAACCTTGAATTTCTATTTCAGGAAAATTAAACAAAAACTATTTCTCCGAATCAATATTTTCGATAATTTTTTTAAATAAAAAATTTTTTTATTTGTATATTTAAAAATTAATAATATATACAATTTTTCTTTTTTAGAGATCTGAGATTCAACGAAATAGTCAACATTGCGTTGGGAAATTTTGAAAATTTAAAAAATCTCCATACTCTACTATTGAATGACAATTTATTGAGATATTTACAAAAAGATGCATTCTATGGATTAGAAAATTTGAAAATATTATATTTATTTAAAAATCAAATTGAAAACATTGAGCCTGGTGTATTTGATAATTTACCAAAATTAGAGCATCTCTATCTTCATTACAATTACTTAACGGAGATAAGAAAAGGCACATTTAACAATTTGCCAGCGTTGCAAAAAATTTCCCTTCAAAATAATGATATTCGTCGAATAGAATTTGATGCATTTCATAATATTGGATCTAATTCACGTTTACAAATAGACAGTAAAGCATTGGAATGTACCTGTAATTTAATATGGTTAATTGAACATATTAAAAAAAGGCCTTCAAATGAAATAAATGCCGTATGTGATTCTCCCGCTGATATGAAAGGAAAACGTCTCGATGCAATGTCATATGATGATTTTCATTGTTGTGAGTATTATTTTTTTTTTTCACCATTTTTTCTTGCAAAAGGTGAATTTAATATTTCCGGGAAAATCAAAAAATTTGTATATGGATTTTCAAAAAAAATTATTAGATTTTTTTCTCAAATTTTAAATCATTTAATTGATATTATCTTTAAATATTAAATCGAATATAGATTACCTATATTCAATTATTATATAATAATAAAATGCTTGGTCTGTCCTTCTGTCCTAACTTGAAGTTGGCCTTTTCTGATTTCACGTGTTTTTTTGAATAGTAATCTTATGACGTGTCAAATTTTGACAATTCTTTTTCTCATTTTTGCCAAAGTTGTATAATTGTGTTTCCAAATTTCGGAATAAATTTTTTTAAAATTCCAAATTCGAAAATTCAATTCACGAAGCTGAAGTACACAACGTTTACCAACGAAATTTTTTTTAAAGTTGTATATTGATTCAAAAATTGTATACAAATACAAAAAATTTATGATGAGAAAAAAGAAGCGCCAGGAAATTTCGTACAAGATAGTAATTTGAAAAAAATTTATTTTTAAAAATTAATTTTTAAGGTACCAGGCGCCAACGAATACCTATTAAATATTAATTATAAAAACACAGGCCTCGAATCAACTTAAAGACACAAAAAAGTCGTTTTAGTCGATTTATATTCCAAAAAAAGTGGATTTGTTTTTTATTTTAACAAAAATATTTTACAGATTTTTAAATAAAAATTTTTAATTAATAATAATCCTTTTCGAAGGGTTAAAGTTGAAATTTTTAGAAATAATTAAATTTCAAAAAATATTGTTAATTTTCAAACAATTATTAAATTTTACAGAAATAAAAATAATTTATCAAACAATTTTTGGAAAACATTTTTTAAATTTAATTGAATTTTCAAAGATTTAAAATTGAGATTTTTGAAATTAATTGAAACTTTAAGTGATTTATAATTAAAATTTTAGATGATTTCACTAAAAATTTAATAGAAAATGCGGACAAAATACAATAATTTGAAAATCATTTTTAATTGAAAAATGGTTTCAGATAGTTGAAATTTCAAAGAATATTATTAAAATAGTTAAAAATAATTGAATTTCCTTAGAGTTATAATTGAAATTATTAAACTTCAAAAAAAAAATTTTCGATGGAAAATTTTAGAAATAATTAAATTTTAGATGCTTTTAAATTTAAATTATTGAAAATTCAATTAATTTTTAATTCAAATTTTTGAGAATAATGAAATTTTATTTAATATTAAATTTGGAAAATAATTGAATTTCAATTCATTTTGAATTGAAAATTTTGGGAAATAATTGAATTTTAATTGAAATTTTGGATAATAATTTAATTTAAGTTCATTTTTAATTGAAAATTTGGATAATTAATTTTGAATAGAAATTTTAGAAAATAATTGAATTTTATTTCATTTTAAATTGAAAACTTGGTAAATAATTAAATTTTAAATTGAAAATTTTTGATAATTATTGGATTTTTAATTGATTTTGAATTAAAATTTCGGGTAATAATTGAATTTTAGTTTATTTTGAATTGAAATTTTTAAAAAATAATTCAATTTTATTGTGATATATTTTTTTTAAATTATAAACAATTGTTAAATTTCATAAAAATTTTAATTGAAAAATAATTTTGATAAATTGAATTTGTGATGTATTTCATTAAAATTATTAAAAATAATTAATTTAGTGAAGAATCATTTTAGTTAAAAATTTGTTAAATAATTGAATTGAAGAAGATCTGAAGAAGATCTGCATTTTATACTAAAAAAATGTATTTTTATACATTTTTTTCAAATGTAAAAAAAAAATGTCGCATTTTATTAAAAGAAGTCGATAAAAGTCGTATTTTTGAAAAAAGTCGGAAAAAGTCGTATATTCCGAGGCCTGTAAACATATAATTTTCATTATTATCATTTAATATGTTATAATATTCTAATAAATTAAATTATTATTGATAATATTAATCTTTAATTTCTTTATAACAAACAATTAAATACTTAATTTGGCGCGTTTGCGCGCGTTTAATTTTGCTAGTTTTTCTATAAAATATTTGAAAATCTTCTATTATTTACTTTAAAAAAATTTTAATTATCTTTGAAAATATTCAATTAAATTTCACGTATTATTAAATAAAAGAAGTGTTTAGATTAAAATTTAAAAAAAAAGAAAAGAGAGTAAAATACAAGAAATAAAACAAACATAGCGAAGAATGAAATCTCATATATTACTTAAAAAAGAGAATACAAAATATTGATGATTACATAATAATATAAAATATCGCTCATTAAATTTGAAGAATTGAAAAAGTTCATATAAGAAAAACATTTTTTATAACAATAATCAACTTACTAGATAAGCGTAGACATTTAAACTATTTAATTTTATTAACATCGTCTAGACTCCTGAGTTGAATTATGGGACTATCATTTTCCTGACGACAATGGACTATCCCTTTTGACCGCCATACACTTTTTATTTTGTTCTCTCGCATTAGACTACAGGCAGTTGTAAAGATCTTGCGGTTTAATGGTGAAAATGCACTGTGTATATAAATAGGAAACTTTTCTTCCGAACCCCATCCAATGTCGATAGTAGAAAAATATTTGTATTTCTTTCTTTGTTCAATTAATTCGTTTTTTAAATCCGCACGAGATAATTTCACAAATAGAATAGATTTAAAAGCTGTCGAAGTTCTGCTATATGCTTTATTAAAGCGACTAATAGTCAAAATATCATTTTTATTAATTTCTACTCCTAGATTATGACATATATCAATAAAAATTTTATAAACATCTTCGTTTAATTTTTCAGGAATCCCACATATTTCCAAGGAAGTACAAAGTGATGTTTGTTTTTCCTTATTAAAATCAATTTCAAAAGAATTCATCTTCGATTTTAACTCTTTCATTTCTTTTTTGATATTTTTTAAGGACTTAGATTGTGAATCCACAAATGGTTCTAATAAATTTAAGCGTCTAGAATTTTCATAAATTTCATTTTTCACAGATGCCATGACAACGTTAAGATCGGAGTTTAATTTACTTTGTTCAGATTCAATCTCTTTTCCATCTACCATTTGACTCTCGAATTCTGTCATTTGATTCTTGATATCAGAGATAGCTGTTGGTAAAGGAGTTTAATAAAATATTAAATCAAATATAATCGAAATTTTATTCAATTTTTCTATAAAATATTTGAAAAAATTTTCAATTATTGAATTTAAAAAATTGAAATTATTTTCAAAAATATTGAATTAAATTTCATATATCATTAAATATTTAATTACATAGGTAAATTATCTTCAAATAATTTAAAAATTTCTTTAATAACGCAATTAAAATTTTATTCAGTTATTCTAATTAATTAATTGAAATTTTATTGACTTATTCTATCCAGGTAATTGAATATCTTTAAAAATAATGAAAAAAGAAATAATTGAAATTATCTCTAAATGACAAATTTTAATAATTAAAATTATCTTAAAATACTGAATCAAATTGTTAAAATTATTTTCAATTATTAATATTTTTTAATAAAATAATTGAAAATATTTTCATTTATTCAATCAGAAAACTGAAATTGTCTTCAAATATTTAATTAATTAAAAATTCCTACAATTATTAAATCAAATAATTGAATATCTCTAATATTGATTATTAAAATAATTGAATAACTTCAGATAAAAAATAAAATAATTGAATAACTTCAAATAATCGATAAAATTATTGAATATTTAAGAATAATAAATATAATTGAAATTATTTTCAAATTTTTTAATAAAATAATAAAAAATTATCTTCAATTTTTCAAAAAAAAATTTGAAATTTTTTTAAAATATAAAATGTTAATAAATATATGTTCGTATAATCATATAATTGAAATTATCTCCAAATATTCAATAAAATAATTAAATATTTCCTAATAATTAATAAAATATAAAATAATTTAAATTATTTTCAAATATTAAATAAAATAATTGAAACTATCTTCAAATATTAAATTAAAAAAAAAATGAGTCTTAATCTAAATTAAAGTTTCAAAAAATATTTAAAACTAAATTTAAAATTTTTTATATTAAAATTTGTGATTTTAATTTTTTGAGAACAAAAAACCTTTTTATTATTTATGTAAAAAAAATTATAATTTGTACTATGCTTGTAAATTATAATGAATAATTGTAATTATAATTATATTTTTTTATTGCGACTACAAAATCGATTTTTTTTAAAGTGGAAAATATTGAATTAAATTTCACGTATCATTAAATATTTAATTAAATATGTAAATTATTTTCAAAAAATGAATAAAATTAATTAAATAAATGAATTTATCAATTTTTTATCAAATTATTGAAATTGTATTCACTTATTCTATCAGATAATTGAATATCTTGAAAATAATGAAGAAAATAATTGAATATCTTCAAAGAATGAATAAAATAATTGAAATTATCTTCAAATGTAGTTAATTATTAATTTAGTAAAAAACATTTTTTTTATTATAACTAAATTTTGTCATAAAAAAGAGGAAAATCACGAGAATTGAATTAAATATTATTTTCAGCGAAACCAAAAATCATGAAAGAGCCAGAAGACACGACAGTCGGTGTGGGTGAAACAATTATTTTTCACTGTAAAGTCTCAGGTGATCCGGCACCGGATGTAAAATGGATGCGAGACTCAACAGAAGTTGCAATTGACGGTGAACGCTATCAAATACAAGATGATGGTACATTGACAATTTTCGATGCCAATGAAAATGACAATGGAAATTACGAATGTATTGCACACAATGACATGGGATTTACAAATTCACGTAGAGCAAGAGCTCTAATAACAGCGTCTGAATTTCTTCGATTCATTGAAATTCCAATTTCACAAACAGTTGAAGCTGGTGTCGATGTTACATTCACCTGTAGAGTCGAGGGTGAACCATCACCACATGTTGAATGGTGGAAAAATGGACGATTAATTTTAGCGGGTGGTCGTTTTCAATTTGATGATAGTGGATCAATATTAAAAATCGAAGCAGTCAAACAAAGTGATTCGGCACGTTATATTTGTCGTGGAAAAAATATTGATGGTCTCGCAGAGACAAGTGCCGATTTAACAGTTCTTCAGGAGGATTTTCGACCACCGGAAATGACATATCAACCACAGGATATGGAAGTGGAGAATGGTGCTTCAATTGAAATTCCCTGTCGAGCTCGAGGTAATCCCAAACCAACGATTCAATGGAAAAAAGATGGAATTGCTCTCGATTCGAATAGAAATATTCCACTTGATCGAAATCGTTTTCGATTGTCCAAAGGTGGAAGTCTTTATTTATACAATATCACCGTTCAGGATGCTGGAAGGTATTATTTAATTTTATATTTGTATTTTTAATTAAATAATTAATATTTATATAATAATACTAATAATAATAATTAAAAAAAATAATAATGATAATAAATAGTAATAATAATTAAATTAATTATACGTTAATTTTATTTAGATATGAATGTTCAGCGATTAATGAACATGGACGTGCGACTGGACAGGCGCTTTTACAAATTCGTAAAACAGAAACGAGTGATGCAATTGTTTTGCGAGCATTTCAAGAAGCAAGAAGTGAAATTGATCGTGCTATTAATAATACTTTGCAATCATTATTTAATGGTGATTCGAAACATTATAAAGATCTTTTTCGATTATCGAGATTTCCTCCCGCCGAGGGAAGAGCAGCAGCTCGACCTGCTGAATTATTTGAGAGAACATTGCAAAATATTCGTCGTCTTGTGAAAAGTGGAACTACTGCCAATGTTACTGATCAATTTATCTATGAGGAAATTCTCACACGCGAACAGGTAGAAAATTTTATTTTGAATTGTTTAAATTTCTATATTTCCAAATTTTTATTATTTCAGGGATCACAATTTTTTCTCTATTTTTCTCATCTACTTTTCTAGTTTTCACCATTTTTATTTTATTTTATTTTTTTTTTGTTAATTCAATTCAATTAATTTAGATGTTCCATTTAATTTAAAAATTATTAAAATTTCAATCAATACAAGTTTGACTAGGGAAAATAAAAAAAATTATTTGAATTCTAATTTTAATTCATTTTAAATTAATTAACTAATTTAAATTATATTAAATTTTTAAACAATTACAATTTTTCTAATTTAAAAATTCAAACTTTTTTAAATTAGAAAAATTGTAATGGTTTAAAAATTTAATATAATTTAAATTAGTTAATTAATTTAAAATGAATTAAAATTAGAATTCAAATAATTTTTTTTATTTTCCCTAGTCAAACTTGTATTGATTGAAATTTTAATAATTTTTAAATTAAATGGAACATCTAAATTAATCAACATTTAACGTACGATCTAAATAACAATTTATTTTTAATCAACTTTAAATTCAAACGATGAAAACTAATATTTATGAAAATTTACAATTGATTTTAATTTCTTTAAATTTTTTTTCAAAATTTTAATACCTAAATCCTAATATTTTACGGTTAAATAATTTTTATTAGTAGAAATTTTAAGATTCTAAATTTTTACATTTTTATCACATTTTTAAATTGAACTTTAATTTTCAATACATATTCAAAATGAAATCAATTAAAATTTTAGTAAAATAAAATTTTAATTAATTCAAATTGAAGTACATTTAAATAGTTCTGATTTTTAATGGTAATTTTTTTTAATTTCAATATATTTATTTATATACTTATCTTATCTACTTCTTAGTTATCTAAATAAATATTGTAAATTGAAATTACTCTAAATTTTAATTGACACCGAAATTATAACAATTTTTATGACATCAAATTTCTATTTAGCAGAATTTCAAAAAGTAAATTTTATATTGAATCAAAATTTGTAAAAAATATTTGTTGAAAAAATAATAAAATAAAGGGAGAAAATAAGTTAATTTAGGTGTTTTAGATATTTTTCTTAATCTAAATGGAGAAAAAGGGGGAAAAGGTTAAAAAAAAAAAATAGGATTTAGGTAAAAAAAAGAGACGAAGTGAAATTTCTGAAATTTTAATTCATTTATAATTTTAATCAATCTCAAATTTATTCAATCGTTTTAAATCCCAATTTTTTAAATTTTAATCAATTTAAATTTCTCTAATGATTCAAATTTTAATAAATTCTGATTTGTATAGGTAACAATTGATATTAAAGAAAATTTTAATCGTTTATAAATTGAATTTATATAAATTTTAAAATTGACACCGAAATATAAGAATTTTTGTTATATCAAATTTCTATTTAGAAGAATTTTAAAAAGTAAAATACTGAATCAAATTTTGTAAAATTTAATATTTATTGGAAAATTAATAAAATAAAGGGAGAAAATACGTTAATTCAGGTGTTTTAGATATTTTTCTTAATCTAAATGCAGAAAAAGGGGGAAAATGTTAAAAAAATAGGATTTAGGTAAAAAAAAGAGACGAAGTGAAATTTCTGAAATTTTAATTCATTTATAATTTTAATCAATCTCAAATTTATTCAATCGTTTTAAATCCCAATTTTTTAAATTTTAATCATTTTAAATTTCTCTAATTATTCAAATTTTAATAAATTCTGATTTGTATAGGTAACAATTTATATTAAAGAAAATTTTAATCGTTTATAAATTGAATTTATATAAATTTTAAAATTGACACCGAAATATAAGAATTTTTGTGATATCAAATTTCTATTTAGAAGAATTTTAAAAAGTAAAATACTGAATCAAATTTTGTAAAATTTAATATTTATTGAAAAATTAATAAAATAAAGGGAGAAAATACGTTAATTTAGGTGTTTTAGATAATTTTCTTAATTTAAATAGAGAAAAAGGGGAAAATGGTTAGAAAAAATTGGATTTAGATATAAAAATAGACAAAGAATCCTGAAATTTTAATTTACTTATAATTATAATTAATTTCAAATTCAATCGTTCTAGTTTTTAATCTTTCAGAATTTTAATCAATTAAAATTTTAATAAATCTTAATAATTTCCATAGATAATAATTTATATTATTATCTATTTGTAAATAAATAAATAAATATTCAGGAAAATTTTAATCTATAAATTTAATTTGTTTAAATAAATAAAATTTTCAACACGATTGATTCTAATTTTAACTAATCTTACACCCAGAGAAATGATTTATTTGAACCAAATAAAATATATTTGAATTAAATAAACGTATATTTGTCTCAGAGCCTACTAACTTATTTATTTGACGTAAATAAAAATTTTATTTGTCAGAAATAAATTTTTTTTTGGCTCAAATAAATTTTTTATTTCAATGAAATGAAATATATTTGCAACAAATAAATGAGTTAGTAGGCTCGGAGACAAATATACCATTTTTCTGAGTGTAATATAAAAATGATCTAAGCTTTACGAAAATAAAAATTAGAATTTTTATTGAAAAATCAATTGATAGAAATTTTGATACTTTTCTAAATTGAAGGAAATTGTAAATTTTCAATATAATTCGTTTGACACTCGAATTAAAAAAATTTCTAATAGAATAAAAATCATTTATCATTTATTTATTTATCATTTAATAGGGTTTAATTTTTTTTCAACAATTATTTTTTTTTGTCAACTTTTTATCACCTATTTTCGGAAAATAACTCCCATTTTAAATAAACAAAAAAAAAACCCCAGTTACTATTATCCCTGAAATAATTATTAAATTTTTCTTTATTTTCCAGATCGTAGAAATTGAAAGACTCTCTGGATGCACTGGCCATCGACGAAAGGACAATTGTAATAATTTATGTTTTCATAAACGTTATCGTACAATTGATGGTAGATGTAATAATTTCGATAATCCAACATGGGGCTCATCCTACACGGGTTTTCGACGAATTTTAAAGCCAATTTATGAAAATGGTTTTTCCACACCCGTTGGTTGGGACAAGACAAAACTCTACAATGGTCATCGTAAACCAGCGGCACGTTTAGTTTCCACATCATTGATATCAACACACAATATCACTTCGGATAATTCAATAACACATATGGTGATGCAATGGGGACAATTTTTAGATCATGATCTCGATCATGCACTACCGGCAGTTTCAAGTGAAACATGGGATGGTATTGATTGTAAAAAATCGTGTGACAATGCACCGCCATGTTTTCCCATGGAGGTACCACAAAATGATCCTCGTGTTACTAATCGAAGGTGTATTGATTTTTTTAGAACAAGCGCCGTTTGTGGTTCAGGTGAAACAAGTATTTTATGGGGTAAATTAACACCAAGAGAACAATTAAATCAATTGACGAGTTATTTAGATGCATCGCAAGTTTATGGTTACGACGATGATGTAGCAAGAGATTTAAGAGATTTCACCAGTGATCGTGGATTATTGCGTGAAGGTGCAATATTTCCCAATAGAAAAGCATTGCTTCCTTATGCATCAAATGGTCAATTTGTTGATTGTCGACGTGATCCTTTGGAAAGTTCAATAAATTGTTTTTTGACTGGTGATTTTCGTGCCAATGAACAAGTGGGATTATTGGCGATGCATACAATTTGGATGCGTGAACATAATCGTATTGCACGAAGACTTTTTGAAATAAATCCACATTGGAGGGGTGAGAAAATTTATCAGGAAACGAGAAAAATTGTTGGCGCTGAAATGCAACGAATTACATTTAATAATTGGTTGCCAACAATACTTGGTGATTATTTGCCATTATATCGTGGTTATAATTCAAAATTAGATGCAACGATATCGAATGTTTTTGCAACGGCTGCACTTCGATTTGGTCATTCATTAATACAGCCACGTTTGGAAAGATTGAATGATAATTTCTCCTCAATTCCACAGGGTCCATTGGAGCTTAGAGATGCATTTTTTTCACCATGGCGATTAGTTGAGGAAGGTGGTGTTGATCCATTAATTCGTGGTATGTTTGCAACAGCAGCTAAACTAAAATTACCAGAGCAAAATCTTAATATTGAATTAACTGAACAATTATTTAGAGTTGCACACGCTGTTGCTCTTGATCTTGCCGCTATGAATATTCAACGTTCACGTGATCATGCATTACCTGGTTATAATGATTGGCGAAAATATTGTAATATGACAAATGTTGAAACATTTGATGATTTGAAAAATGAAATTACAAATGAAAGAGTACGTGAAAAATTACATGAACTCTATGGACATCCGGGAAATATTGATATTTGGGTTGGTGGTATTTTGGAGGATCAATTACCAAATGCAAAAGTTGGACCACTTTTTAAATGTCTTCTTACTGAACAATTTCAAAGAATGAGAGACGGTGATAGATTTTGGTATGAGAATCCAACGACATTTAAAAATGATCAACTTGAACAGATAAAATTGACAAATTTTGCAAGAATATTGTGTGATAATGGTGATAATATAACGAGAATACAAAAAGATATTTTTCATTTGCCAAATGATGAAAATCCACTTTTATCTTGTGATGATATACCATCATTAGATTTACGTATGTGGAATGAATGTTGTGAAGATTGTCAAGATCAGGAGAATATTATTTCACGATCTAGAAGAAGTACAATGATAAGATATTCGAATAGAGAGAATTTAATGAAAAAATTTAATTTCAATGAGAATTTAAATCGTGAGGAAAAAATGGAATTTATCCATCATTTAATGACAGAAAATGATGAGAAAAATGAATTATTAAAAAAATTGACAAATGAAATGACGGATAAAATGGTTGAAATTAAATCATTACTCGAGGAAATTGAAGAAGAATATTATAAATAAATTTTCATGTTTGGATTTTATGATAGGAAATATTTTTTAATTATAGGTTTGTAAAGAAAATGTACTACTTTTCGATTTATGAAATTGCTTTTAAATTGTACCAGAAGCATTTAATTAAATTGTATTTCTATTGTGCCATGTTAAATATATTTTTTACTTTAAATATAAGTTTTATTATTTTTTGTATTGAGAAAAAAGAATTCCTTAATGCAATTAATATTTATTGCAATTATTAAGTAAATGTTTTTATTTTAATAATTATTTTTTTTTATATTGATTCAGAAACTAAAAATAAAATTACCTGAAACTAATTTTAATTAAAAAAAAAAGAGAAAATTTAAGAACCTATGAATTTGGTATGTTGACCTCGAGCGACGATGGCACCTCCTTCTTTCATTTTGAGCTCAGCCTCAAGATACGCAAGAGTTTTTCCTGACCTTATAGTTCTGGCGTCTATTATTAAATTATCTCCAGGAAAAGCTGCTTTCATAAACCTTAACAAAATAATATTACTGCATTTTTAATTTTATATTTTTACAATTTTTGTTATTTTAAATAATAATATAAAATAATAATAGTAAAATATTTTATACTGCAATATTAAAAACAAGAATTTAATAAATTCATTTAAAAATTAATATTTTACAATGTATGAAATATTATTTTTATTTACTTACGAGACGTTTAAATTTACTGAAACACCGGGATTTCCACTTCCTTGTGATACTAAAGCATAAGTTGTTATACAATCAATTAATGTTGAAGTAAATCCACCATGAAGTGATCCTCCTAAATTTGTATGTTCCTCATCGACTGTAAATTCTGCTTTACAATTTCCACCTTCGGCAGATATTAATTTCACCTGAAAATATATTCTAATGTTATTACAAGAAAGGTGATTGCTATTTTTATAATTCATTTTTTAAATATAATAAATAAATAATAATATTAATATCAAATAATATTCCTAAAATATAAAATGTTTTCTTATTATTTTGCTCTGAATTTTCGTCATGTTACGTAAGTGCGTTTATTATTTATTTGCACTTTTGTGTTATATAAAGAAAAACTATTTCATATTTATTCTAGAAATTATTCTAAAAATAGTAATTATACTCACATTTTTTAAACATCTTCCAAAAGTAGCTGAACTTTTTGTATTTTCGAAAAATATTTTTGCAAATTCAACAATTCGAGGAGTACCCATTGTGTTTTCTTTTTGGAAATTTTAATTATATTATTAATTTCTCAATTTTTTAAATCAAGTAAATAAATAAATATTATTTTAAAACTGAATTCTTTAAAGCGTGCACGCATTGATTAAATCATTAGTCATGTATTGAATATTTCAAGCTAATTTTGAAATTAAGAATTCATGCATTTTAAATTGAAATCTTTAAATAGCAAACAAATTTTGTCAAAAGTTTTTACGTTAAATGAATAAGAACAGTTTTTTAAATTGTAAATTTACACTAATAGAACAAATCTTAAATAAGACTAAAAATAATAAATATAACACCGACAAAATTATGCAATTATTTCAAAGAAAACATAATTTCCAAACTTTTTCTCTGTTATTAATATATTCCAAAGTTAAATTTCGGAAATTAAGAATAATTATAAATATAATTTATATAGTTTAATATTATTTAATAACTTTGTTGTGAAAAGTGAAAACTCTTTGAGGTTATGTTTTAATGTTTACGTTACGTAATTAATATGTAAGTCGGCATTTTTAAGTATAAGGTTGCACAACCTGCAATCAGCTGACAGTATTTAATTGTCAATCATAAGTGTTTTTATGTTTAAAATAATTCTAATTAATCTAAAATGTTAATTAAAACTTTGTCGAAGCAATATAAATTTCTTACTCGAAATTCAAGATTAAAAAATCCTTTAATCAATATTGATAGATTAGAAAATATCGAAATTCTATTTTGTTGCAATGTCAACAATTTTTCTAACTTATTTCCTTAACATAGTAAAGAAGAATATTTATTTTTTAACAGATAGGAAAAATCAATAAAATTTTATCAATTTGTATTTACCCGCAATTTTCCACGAACTGCGCATAGTTTTTGCGACCATTTGTCAATTGCAGACGACACGTTTTTTATTTACAGATAGTATTTGCAAATGTTGTGCGGGTAAAGTCTAACAAGTACCAATAACAGTGATGTAAAATAATTTTTTACATATAATTGCAAAAAATCTAGATTGTAATTTGCATAAAGTACAATAATGATTTATTATTATAAAATTAATTTAAAATTTACAAGTGATTTCATTGAAAGAAAATAGATTTAAAGGACACATATATGCTGCGTAATGTATGAAATATTTTTTAATGATTTCCTTTCTAAGTTATGTAAAAAAAAAATTATCAATTACGATTTTTTAAATTAAAACTTTTTCTTTATTAACAAAAATTTATTTTATATGACAATAGTGTAATCGTGATTATTTGAATAATGTAAATATATTAAAAAGAAAATTTATGACAGTGATAAAAAATATTGCTGGTGTAAAAAAAAAGAAAAACTAAATGTGATTTATTATCGACAAAGGATGAACGAGTCACGTTTTTCTTTAAATTTCGTAAGTATTTATTTTAATTCAAAGTTATTTTTCAAATAAGAAAAATATTTAATTTTTCAGTGCAAAGAGTTATCGGCAACAGGATTTATATTTATCATTTTAATTAAAATTTTGGATGTTATCATCTAAGAGGTTATCTAATGAAATTTTTATTTGCACATTATTTTGCCTTCTATTCTAGTTCTCAGGTTCGTAGCTAAATTTAAATTACATTAAGAGAATAATAATAAAATATTTAATACCTATTTTTATTAAATTATTTTACTGTGTTTTCCTTATATTTTAAATAATTTCGATTGAACTTTTTTATTTTAAATTTTTAAGTTCTTATTTCTAATCTAAATGAATTTCAGAGAATTCACATGTGAGAGGAGGAGAAATTTTTCAAAATTGCACAAATTACGAAAAACGGTGTTTTCTTAGAAGAAGAGTCCTATCACCATGTAGGGGATTGTTGATTAAAAAAAAAAAAAAAAAAAAAAATGGTGACTCATGTATTACCTTTATCACTGACGAAACGACGCTTTTTTATTATTATTTTTATCATCTCAGTACCATGGATTTTAAGTATCATGTCATCGCCAAATATGCAAGACGAAATGTTATTACAAACAAATATTGCAGAATTACAAACAAAATTGGAACATTTACATTCTAAATATATTATAAGTCAAGAAGAAATTCAATTATTGAGCCATCAATTGGCATTAATAACGGAAAATAATTATATTTTACCGGATTTTCAATTTTATATGAATAATACAATGCCAAATATGACGAGTATTAAATTGCCATCGATTTATAATTTTTTGCCACATTTTTTAAATGATCCAAATAGTTTGAGACCGGCATTTGTACAAAGTAAAGGACGATCTGGTGTAAGCATGATTCTTGGAGTTCCAACTGTTAAACGAGAGGTACAAAGTTATTTGTTAACAACCCTGAAGAACTTGATAGATCGCATGACTCCAGACGAATCCGCCGATACACTTATTGTAGTTTTAGTCGCTGAGGTAGGTTTTTTTAATGGCTTTTTAAAAAAAAATTTTTTCTTTTTTCACGCTACATTCTTTGAAAGATAGTAAATTTTCATTTTATATTCGTTTAGATTAGATTCGCAGTAAATTTTATTCTTTGAAATGTTAATGATTAGGATTTATTTTTAGCCTGACGCTGATTTTGTATCTTACATCGCGAAACAAATTGAAGTCCAGTGAGTAATATTTTTATAATAATTTTTCATTTTTATTTATTACTATTTAAAAAATTATTTTTTTTAAATTTTAGATTTCCCGAGGAACATGAAGCTGGTTTAATAGACGTAATAGCACCGTCTTCAGCTTATTATCCCGATTTCACGAAATTACGTGACAATCTCGGTGACAATCATCAGCGAGTGATTTGGAGATCGAAGCAAAATTTAGATTTTGCATTTCTCATGCTCTACGCTCAACGAAGGGGAATATTTTATGTGCAATTGGAAGATGATATTTTAGCGAAGAAAAATTTTATTTCAACAATGAAATCATTTGCATTACAAAAAGTTAGCGCTAAGGAAAATTGGTTTGTGTTGGATTTTTGCCAATTAGGATTCATTGGTGAATAATTTAATTTACTTTCAATAAAATTAATTTAATAAGTATTTTCCATTGCAAAAATTTTTTTTCAGTTTTTAAATTTAATTTTTTGTAAAATAGAAAATATTTTCCCCCTTTTTAGGAAAATTATTTAAATGTTCGGAATTACCCTGGCTGGTACAGTTTTTTCTTATGTTTTATAATGATAAACCTGTTGATTGGCTTTTGGATCATTTAATATCGACTAAAGTCTGTGGCCTTGACATGGATGTTGTAAGTATTTTATAATAATTAGTTACGTTCGTTTTTAATTAGTTTATTGTATATAATTAAATTAATATTAAATTAATATTAAATTAATATTATTTTTAATATTAATTAATATTCAATTAACGTTTGATTTAATATTTGTCAGAAACGTTGTAAAACGGCCAAAGCCAAATTATGGATCCATCACAAACCTTCGTTATTCCAACATGTTGGAACTCATTCGTCTTTAAAGGGCAAAGTTCAGAAATTAAAGGTATTTTTCATTAAAAAAATATATAATTGAAAATATGATTAAATTTTCTTAGTAATTAAAAAATATAATTTTTTTCAGGATAAACTATTTGGAAAGGTAACTCTATTCTACTCACATATAAATCCAGAAGCAATTGTCGAAACACAAATAAAACCTTACAAAAAGTTTACATTACAAAAAGCTTACAAAGGCGAAACATTTTTTTGGGGACTTTTACCACAACCTGGAGATCATTTAAAATTCAAGTTTATTTCTCCTATTTTTATAAAAAAGTAATTAATTTTTATTTCTATTTATTTATTTTTTATCTTAGAAAAAATTTAATCGTTAATTGTTTTATTTTAGATATTTATTTAGAAGTGGAAACGCTGAACATCCTTTAGATAAATTTTACAATACGACTGTTGAGATTCTTCCCAAGTCAATGATTACTCTAAATAGAAATTACAATAATGTGACAGAAGATGGATATATTATAATAGGAAAGTTTAATACTCTTGGAATTGCTAGTGGTTCGGTTGATAGAAATTTAGGAAAAATTTCAGCAATGCGTTTAACCGTTCATAGTGAAAGTGAAAATTGGGTGATTCTTTCTGAAGTAAGTTTTTTTTTTTTAAATAATTACTTTCTTTACAATTTCTTTTTTTCTCTTCTTTTTAAAGAAATGAATTAATTAATTATTAATTATTATTAATTTAATTAAAATTTAATAAATAGATTGAAATCGAGGAAGATCCAAGCTGACACACTACAAAGAATTGTATAAAGAATTGCTTTAAATTTAAGTTTCTATATACGTAAAACAATTTTGAATCCACTCAATGGTTGATGGACCCTCATGATGTTATTGATGTGCCTTTTATTTTTGTTGTAAAACAAATTTTCATCTCTGGAATCCACGATGTGATGTGATAAATATATAGATCTGTAATTTATTTTAATTTTACGATACTCTATTGCTCCACATTGTTTTAAAGAATTTTATTGTAATTATTATTATTATTATTATTATTATTATTATTATTATTATTATTATTATATTATATAATATAAAGATAAAGATAATATATGTAAAAGCCGACGACAAATGTACAAACCATACACAATAATTTTTAACGTCTATTTACCACTGTTTTTCAATTATGAGACAATTTTTTATCAATCAATTTTCATTAATTCCGTGAGATTATATAATTGTCAATGTATAAACACAAAAATTATATCTATATTGATAAACATGGTATTTATTAAATTTGGTATGTGAGACTTAATTTTTATTTGCTGTCTACTTTTGAAAAATATACATTTTATGAAAGTAATTGAGATTTTTTTTATTTCTATATTTTAAATTAAAAAAATTTTCGCGCCTCAGTTGAAGCATGCGCACAATGTAAAAGTAGCACGTGATCCAAAAAAACGTGGTAATTTAAAGGTTATGTTGCTATTTTGTCGTCTCTCCGTCACATTTTTTCAGAAAAAAATAATTTGTTATGAAAAATATAATATTTAGTGATAATAATTGTATTAAATAATATTTAAAATGAAAAATAAACCCGTACGACATAAGGAAACTAATACTTTTAAGGTAAGAGTGTATTTTTAATATATTTTAATCATAACCTAAAAAATTTAATTTTCATTTCTTTTAATTTAAATTAAAATACAAATTTAAATTACTTAATTGAAATTAAATTAAATTAAGTTTTTAAATTTGAAATACTTTTTGTAATTGATTGATATATTATTAAATATCTGTATTAATGTAATGTTAATTTAATAATTAATTTGACTAAAGAATAGAGGACGAAGTTAAAAATTATTTTATTAGCAATTTTAAAAAACCGAATTAATGGTCTTAAATTTTTAAATTATATCAATATTCTTATTTACATTTTGTTGATTAGTTTAAACCGTTTTCGGAAAGGGTAACACAAATCGATGTTGACGTATTTCATCGAGTCTCACATCGTTATGAAGATGACACCGAGGAAGAAACACATTTTTATCAAGCATTGCAAAAATGGAATGTTCTTAATTTATCGGAAATTTATGGCAATCTCAAAAAAGAATGTCGAAATATAATTACTTTACCTCAATTGCTGAATAGTCAGCAACATGTAATTGACACGCTTTTGAAATATTTAAAATTGAAAGACCCTCTTTGCTTACAAACTGTTTTAGAGTAAGTATTAATAATTTATTTAATTATTCATTATTTATATTCAATGCTCATTAAATTAAATTAAATATTCATTAACATTTGAAATAATTACAGATTAATCGTTGCAGTTGCAAGAGATTTACAAAAAGAATTTTATCCACATTTTCCCGAATTTTTAACAGCTATTATCGATATTTTATGGACAAAAGATGCCGATCAACTTGAATATACTTTCACAACACTTGCTTATTTATTCAAATTTTTGTGGCGTTATTTAATACGTAATGTGGACAAAATTTTTAATTTACTATTACCTCTTTTGTCGGAATCGCGACCATTTTATATAAATAATTTTGCCGCCGAAAGTTTTTCATTCGTCGTTCGTAAAGTTAAGGATAAGGAGAATTTTTTGAAATTAGTTTTAAATACTCTTGAAGAAACATCAAATGGCATTCAAGGTTGTGGGAGATTATTATTCGAAGTCATTGCTGGTATTTCTGGTCAATTTCATTCATGTGCCGAGGAATTATTGTCCCTTTATTTTGAATCACTTCAAAATGAAGAGCTAAATCAACAACTTTTGTTTCAAGTTTTAATGGAAATTATCAACAATATTCTACAAACGATTAATTATAAAAAATCCGATGTTCTATGGATGGTTATTCTAAAAGTGACGGACAAATTTATAGAGCAGCAATCACATTTTCAAAAAATATCACAAAGAGAAAATCCATTGATTATGATTCTTCGACTTATGTTCAATTTAATTGATCAAAAAGGTGGAAAATTTGTGATAGATCCCATGAATCTTGGACGAAAATTTGTGGAGATAATTACTGTTTTTGAAAATAATCCCGCAATTTTGGAAGAGGTTCTTAAAAATTCAACATCTTTGCTACGAGCCACGAGTGTTAATATCAGTCAAGAAACTGGAAGTTATTTGGTATTGAAAATTTTATCAATTCAATATACGGAATTGTTGCTTAACACGATTGAACAATTAATTTCTTTTTCATCATTTGAAACTTTGATACTACCACGTTTGATGAAAATGAACATTGAAATGGAATTTAAGAGTAAATATTTACGTCTATTGGCAAAAATTATCAAAATTAAAACTCCTCCAATCGATGGAATTCAGGGATGGAAAAAATTCCCTTTGAACATTAATGAAAAATCCTTGGACATTAATTATATTCGGGAAAAAATGAAAAGTTTAGAAAACAACGAACCATCGAATGAGGGAATACAAATTTTGCTAATTCTTCCTCATCTGTGTCCACTTAATTCAGAAATTGAATCCGATTTGTCCGAAATTATTTCAATACTCTACGATAAACTTTACAGTGAAAATAACTTAAATTTAGAATTTGTAAACAAATTTTCATTTTTATTTCTCCTGGCATTGGATTCGTTGATTCATATAAAAAATCCAGATTTCATTTACGAATTCCTCACTAAAATAAATTTATTTCAATTGTGCGAAAAATACAAAAATCAACCATCGATTTTAAATTCTTTGGATCTTGTTCTAACTTATGTATCTGAATCACAGTCAAAGGAAAAATTTATCAACGAAACAACTTTTGACAATTTACACAAATTTTTAACAGAAAATTTAAGATCAGAAAATCCTCGTTTAAGATCAACAGTGTCACATATTTTTTCTCTATTCTCAAAAAATGACAATAAAAATGTTTTTGAACTTATTTATTTAGCTGAAAATGAACCAGCTACAGTTCATAAATATAGAGAGAAATTATTACACCTTCAGGCTTTAAATTTCGATGGACAAGCATTAAATTCACTTGATCCTATTTATTACGATATACCATTAAATTATTTAATTGGCAATTTTTATTTAAATTTCTCTCTCATCTGGGAACCATGTGGAAAAATTTTATCCTCTTATGCCAATAAACAATGTCCACAATTTTGGACAATTTTTCTTTCTCAATTAAAAATGGAAAATAAAAATTCACATTCTTATAATTTAACAATAAATTGCGACATAATTTCATCGCTGGAGAGGAAAATTTGTGTAAGTGATGAAAAAATTGATTACGACAATTATAAACTTCAATTGTGGAAATCGATGTCAAATTTTGCCGATTATTGTGAGACGAAAAATCGCGATTTAACTGTGATGTTTATTGATTTTGTTGATAGGTTTGTTTTCAAGTCGAACAGCGATGATGGAAAGTCGTGTAATATTGAAAAAAGAGAGGAAGAAGCAAAAGAAGAAGAAGAAGATGAAGATCAAGAAGAAGAGGAAGATACAAAAGAAGAGGAAAATACAAAAGAAGAGCAAAATACAAAAGAAGAAGAAGAAAAAGAGAAAGATGAAAATAATGAAGAAGACGAAAATACGGAAACAAAAACAGAAAATAAAATTGAAAATTTGCACATGAAAATGAAAATAAAACTTCTTTTGGCACAAATGGAAATTTTCACAAAAGTCGTGAATCCAAAATCATTTTACCGCGAGACGGAGATGAGTAAAATTTATCTCGATTTACTCTCGTCAAAAAATGCAGAAATTCAAAAAGCGGCTTTAAATTGTCTCTTTGCGTATAAGCACAAATATCTCCTTCCTTATAAAGAACATTTAAGTAATTTTGTCGACGAGAAACAATTAAAAAATGAATTAACCCATTTTAAAATCACCAAAGACGAAAGTATGATTGACAATAATCATCGTGATGATTTATTTCCAATACTCATGCGAATTATATATGCAAAAATGACAACACGCGTTGGAATGAGAACAGGTGGTAAATCCGGTGGACTTCATAGGCGAAAAATGATTCTTCGTTTTCTTGCTGGCGCCGAGGAGAAAGAAATGTTCACATTTGTTCAAATGGCATTTAAACCATTTCTCAATCAACTTTTATCATCTGTGGAAAAAACGGATAATTTACAAAAATTTATCAATGAAATTATTGAAAATATTGATCTCACAAATGTTATACCACCAAAACGTTTACAAAGTGCCGTGAATCTTCTTGCAATTTTAATTGAACAATTCGGTGGTAAAATGATGAACAAACTATTACCACATCTTTTGAGAATTCTTTTGACAATTCTCGCTCAAGTCACGGGAATTATAAATAAATCGAAAAATGTTCATTCAGGATTTTTGTCATCTATCAGAAATGTTAGAACAAATTCTATTAATATTCTAGCAAGATTTTTTGTTCATTTTGAAAATTATCAATGGACAACATCGGAAATTGATGCATTATTCACAGTCGGTGTATTTCCATGGTTGGAAAAATTGCCAATTGAGGGAATTCACAGTCCAACGCCATTATTAAAAATGTTTTTAGCTTGGAGTCAAAATTCACGTTATTTTTCACTATTAATAAAACATAAAGAGAATGATGAAAAATTTATGCCATTAAATTTTATTATAAAATTACTTTTAGGGCCAAAAATACATTTATCAGTTGCTAATACAATTTTGGAAATGATTGAAAAAATGTTAACATTGCAGGATCATGAAAAAAATCAAATGGAAATTGATGATGATGATAATGATGAAAGAGTTGAATCATTAAATTCCGTGGCTTCAAATATTTTGCAAATAAATTACGATTCCTTACCAAAAGGAATAAATTATGGATCAGCAATTATTTTACCGCATGTTACATGTATTTTGGAATTTATGCGAATAAAATTGGAGAAAAGTAAAAAATTCAATAAAGGAGTAAGAAAAACAGATTTGACGATTTTGTCAAGAATTTCTGAATTTGTGACAAATAGCGAGACGAGTGATACTTTACTATCATTATTGGTACCGATTTTAATTAAAAAATCATCACTCGACGAATCTGAGGACGTTTTACTTGATCTTTTAACAATTATCATAAATTTAAGTAAACAAGTTGAAAAACCCGAGCAACATATACGATTAATTTTACCATTAATTGGTTCAATTTCATCGGTAGCGGCGAGAAAAAATCTAATCAATTTGTTTAATATAATTGCCAATAATTCAACAGAAAATAAAGATGAAATGCTTCGTGAATTTGATTTACTCACTTCACTCAATGCCTGGGACAATAAATGGGTTGATCAACCGGATTTTGAAAAAAGATTAGAAACATTCTCGACAATTAAAAATCTCATTGAAAAAAATTCCCTTTCCCTTGAATTTGGCGTTGCTGTAATTTACAATTGTTTCTTTTTTCTTAAAACCGACAATGATTTAGCAATTCGTTATAGTTGTGCCGAATGTTTAAAATTAATAAGCAAACAATTGGCCCAAAATCACAAGGATAATTCAATAAATCGACGATATTTGATTGAGGACACAATTCTTGGGATTGTACGTAAAAATATACGTACTAAAAATGAAAAACTTCGTTTGGATTTAATTTCATTTTTAGGTTACATGGCAATGGAATGTTCGGATGTTGATCCAATTTTAAGGGATTTATCACAATTAACAAATAAACTTGATCCGGAAGTTGATTTTTTTGAAAATCTTCAACATTTACAATTACATCGTAAAGTTCGTGCACTTTTGAAATTTTGCACTGTATCAAAAACATTGAAAAAAGCACCAAATCCAAAAACATTGACACAATTTATTTTACCACTTGCTGCATCATATTTGTGTAATGAGGATTTTTTAAATAAAAATTCAATAGTCGATGCCGCTATCGAAGTTGTTGGTACAGTTTGTAGATTATTGCCCTGGCATCAATATGAAATTATTCTAAAATTCTATCTTGATAAAATGCGACATTCGCATGATTTTCAAAAACAGATTATAAAAATTATCGTTGTTATTTTAGATGCTTTTCATTATGATCTTTCCAAGTATAAAGTAAATTCAAATGAAATTATTCCAATAAATACGGATAATGAGGAGAAAAAAGAAAATTTGGATATTGATAATGAGGAAGAAAATTTGGATGAAGCGCTACAAAAATCTGAAACAATTGAAACAGAAGAAACTGAGCCAGAAGAATCGGCAGAGATATTTTTTATTGAAAAAGAAACAGTTCTATCGAGTTACATGGCAAGGAGGCTTATTTTCAATATTTCAAAAATCTTTCTCCCACAGTTGAATCGTGCAATTGTTGCAAGAACACAACATGAAAATAGTCATAAAATAAATCGAAAACGCACTGGCTACGATCGTGAAGAAGAAGAATTAATGCGAGTTCCCGTTGCACTTGCATTTGTTAAACTTTTACAAAAATTACCCGAATCAATGCTCGATTCAAATTTACCTGGAATATTTATGAAAATTTGTACATTTTTAAAATCACGTCTCGAATCAATTCGAAGAACAACGAGAGAAGTTTTACAAAAAATTATGATCACTTTAGGTCCATCATATTTACATTATCTTTTACGTGAAATGAATACATTATTAACAAAAGGTTTTCAAATTCATGTTCTTGTATTTACAATACAAACGGTTTTAGTCTCATTGAAACCCTATTTAAAACCCGAGTATGCAAATAAAAATCTCACGAGTATTCTCTCAGTTTGTAAAATTGATCTCTTTGGATTGACAGCCGATGAAAAGGAAGTTGCGGGAATTATTAAAAATGTCTCCGAGGCAAAATCAACAAAAAGTTATGATATTTTTCACATTATGGCGGAATTTATCAGCGAAACATGTTTAATTGACATTATTGTGCCATTGAAGGAAGTTTTATTAAAATCACATTCACATAAAAAATTATACAAAGTCAGTGAATGTTTAAGACAAATTTGTCTTGGTTTGGCTGATAATAAATTTATTGATATCAAATCAATGACAATATTTCTTTATGGAATTGCATCCGAGAGTATTCCTGATCTTTTACCAAAAAAAGTGGAAAATAATACGCCAAGTGAGAAAGAAATAAAAGCACGTGTATTTAAGAGACCGGATATATTTTTAATTGCACCGGCGCCAAAAAGACGAATGTGCGAGAAAATAATGGCAAAAACAACAGAAAATGCAAATGCACATTATTTAGTTGAATTTGGTTTACGTTTAATGCATATTTTTTTGAAAAGAGATAAATTCACTGGTGTTGATTTCAAGCCACTTTTAAATCCATTTGTTTATATTTTGAACGACAGTCTAAAATCGCAACACGTTAAGGTAATTTTGAGAATTTTAAATATTTTAAATATTTTAAATAATTTTTAATTTATTGTATTTCGATCAAAATCGTGAACTATTTTTTAAAAATTCTAATATTTTTAATATTTTTTTTTTTTTAGAAATAATCGTAAATGTTCTACTTTTTAACAATGATTTTCAAAAATTTTACGAGCTTACTTTGGAAAATTAATTTTCTAGTATTTTCGATTTTCAATTTCAATATTTTTAAATGAGGAGCAAATTTTCAAAACCTGATAAATCCATATTTTCTTATTTCGAGAAATTGAAAAAAATGACAGTTACTTTTAAAATATAAAATTTGTAATAGTTTAATTCTATAATAATGTTTTTATATTCAAGACGTTCTGTTTTTAATTAAACTTTATTATAATTTAATGATTTACAGGTATTGGTAATTTTTTCTAATATAAAACATAAAAATTATAACTCATCTTGATTATGTCCAAAAGTTTTTGAATTGAAAATTCGTTGTTAACAAATTTTTTTTCTTAAATTTAACAGCGACAGGAATATTTGTGAGGTCCTTAAAATATTCAATTTATGTTTATCTCCATTTTTTTGAAAAATGGATTTATGAGATTTTGAAAACTTACTCCTCAAATATTAAAAAAAAATATTTCTTTTGTTGATAATTGTTTATAATTATTTACAATTCAAATTTCTTTTGATTACATTATTATTATTATTATTATTATTATTATTATTATTATTATTATTTATTTTTATTTATTTTATTATAATATTTTATTATTAGTATTATTATTTTATTTTTTTTCATTCATTTTCAGAAAAAAATTTTAAAAAAAGCAAAATTTTACATTTGACACAACTTTAAAATTATTTTACATAATTATAATTAAATAATTACAACTTATAATTAAAAGAAATTCGAACTTTAAATAATTATGAACAAGTATTAAAAAATAAATAATTTTTTTTTTTAAATAAATATTAAATTTGTTTTAGTTTTTTTTAATTAAATTTGTAATTTTTTCAAAATGACATTTTTATGGTTAAATTTACGAACTAAACTCGTAGAATTTTAGAAAATTATTGTCAAATTTGTATTATTAGAACATTTAAAATTTTTTCTACAAAAATATTATAATTAATTAATAATATATAATATAATAATTAATTAATATTATAATAATTTTGGATTCTAAATGACAGAAAAAAAATTACAACTTTCAATAATATTAATTTCGATAGGCTGAAATTTCACTGGTTCTCTTAAAAATATTAGAATTTAAAAAAAAATAGTCTTCAATGGCTTTAGTCGAAATACAGTAGTTTTTTTTAATTTTAAAATAAAAAATTGATTTTAATTTATTTAAATAAAAATTGACTTTAATTTTATTTACAGATTTGCACATTGAGTTTACAGTGTCTTAATTGGATATTAAAAATGGATCTTCCAGCGGTTCACGAATTAATATCAGAAATTTGCTCCTCAATATTCAGTATTCTTCACAAATTTGCAGTAGCCGATTTAAGTAAAGGAGATAATTATGATTTAGTAATGTCAGCCTTTAAATGCGCTTCAGTGATTGTTCGCGATGTAAAACATTTTACAATAAATGAAGATCAATTAAAATTACTAATACTCTATGCAGAGCAAGATCTTCACGATAGTGAAAAACAAGCAACGGCCTATGGACTTTTACGTGCGATTATAAATCGTAAATTAATTGTACCCGAGATGCATGAAGTAATGAAAAAAGTAGCAATACTCATTGTCACATCAGAATTGGATCACGTTAAACAACAATCGCGACAAATTTTCTATTCATATTTAGTTGATTATCCATTGGGTAGAAAAGTTCAGGAACATGTGGAATTTTTTGTAACTCAATTAAATTATGAATTACAACCAGGACGTATGAGTGTATTGGAAATGTTACACAGTATTGTAAAGGGTTTTCCAATTAAGGTACTAATTAAGCATGCTGTTTATTTATTTGTCGCTATTGGTATTCGAATTATTAATGACGATGATCCAATGTGTAAGAAATTGTGCGCAAAATGTATACAAGATATGTTGGAGAGAATGCCGAATAATAAACGAAATGAACTTTTTGATATTGTCACAGTATCGTTGAAGGATAAAAAAATGACACACAGAAGTTTGGGTGTACAACTTTGTGGTTTATTTGTACTTGTCGAGAAGGAGAAATTTGAAAGAAGATTAAATGATTTGTTACCACTTTTATTGAAACAATTTTATAAAAGTGATATCGATGAAACGAAACCGGGACGTTTTGTAAAAATTCATAAAATTGAAGATATTTCTGGAGATGTTGGTAAAGATATCAAAGATCTAGAGAGATTACGTGATCATCATTTAATTCGCATTTTTCATTTATTGGTAAAATTATCCTCCAATTGTACCGCTTTTCTCAAGGATAAGAAATTTAACGATCATATTCATTCCTTTGCAGGTATTTCAAAAAATTATTCTCTTACAAAATTTTATAATAATAATAATAATAATAATAATAATAATTTAAAAATAATATTCCTTTTTTTCAGATCAGAGTCAAGCGCAATTGGCACATCCGCATTTGTGGGTACGATTGGGAGCGAGTCAATTTCTTGAATTTATTCTCGCCGCGACTGATATTGAGAAAGTGGAAAAACTTTTGCTGAATCCTGACGATAGTGAATCGGGTTATATTTATTCGGATCCGGTGAATACAATAAAAAGTTTAACACTCGATTTGATTGCACAATTATATCCCGATATGAATGTGGAGGAATTATCGGATCAAGTGGTCAAAAATTTGATTTTTATTGCAAGACTCTTGAAATCTGTGACCACAATTCGAAATAAAAATGAAAATGAAACAGAAACGGAAACTGATAAAACAAATCCGTTATCGCTTCTTTGGTTGGTGAAGAAAATGAGAAGATCTGTTAATATGGAAGTGACACAATCGCCAAAATCAACTTGCGTTGTATGTAAAAACTAAATTAATTTTTATTAATTTTTATATTTCAATATTGAAACCAAAAAAAAAAAATATTTTTCTTTCAGAGACATTCAGTTTTCAAATGGATTGCTGGAATTGTGAGTACAATTCCAATGGATATTTTGAGACCACTTTTATTTAATTTGCTATCGCCACTGGTGCGAGAAATGGCAACAACTGAAGAGTCAAATGCTCCTTTACGTCAATTGGCGAAAGAAGTTTCCGTCATGATAAAAAAGAGATTGGACAGCGAGGAATATATTCAATTATTGAGTAAAGTTCAACAAAAAATTGATACCAGGAAAACGGAGCGAAAAAAAATACGTAAACAACAGGTAATTTCCTGTTAAAGTTATTTTCTATTTCAAATTTTTCGTTTAATTTTTAAATCACCATTTTTAATTTTTCTATTAGCAATTAATATTTTAATTTTCTTTCTTTTAATGTTTTTAATTTAAATGTTAGACGTATCGAATAAAATAATAATTGTAATTAAATCTAACAATTTTTATTTTTATTTTTATTTAACGATTTTTACAATCTCAGGTAATAACGGATCCTGAATTGGCGGCAAAAAGAAAAATTTCCAAACAACAAAAGAAAAAAGTCGCAAGAAAAAGGAAAATTGAATGTCTCAAGGGAAAGAAAATTTCGCGAAAGAAACCACGTAGGGAAATTGATCTTGAGATGGGATAAATTTTTTACTTAGAAAACAAAATGTATTTTTATTTATTCTACGGAATTTTTGTACATAATAAGTAAGTAATAAAGTTTTATTATTAAAATTATTGAAAAATCAATTATTTTCACAAAATAATAATAATAATTATACTAAATTTTTTATTTTTATCTCTGATTTATTAATTTTGAGTTCTAATTTAACTTTTAAAAAGACTTTCTTCATAATTGAATTTTAAATTTACATGACAATGACAAACAATATAATTAACAATTAACATAAAAGTGTAGGTTTTCGTTCCTCTCAATTGTCGTTGATTGGTGAGTTAATGACTACTAGAAAACGACTAGAGAACCAATTGCTTGCCTGACAAGAATAGTTCAGTTTAATTAAAAAAAGATCGTGAAAAGATGACAGTGCTGTGTCTATTAAATCTTTCTATATATCTCTCTTAAATATTTTAATTTAATTTTAATTACTTTAATTTTTCAATGACAATTCTTTTCAGTTTCGATAATTAAAATTTTCAATTAAGTTGAACATTCGAGAAAAATAATAATCGTTCGGTGCGTTTTAAATAATATACTATTTAGTGATGTTTCCATTCTGAATATGTAACTTTTAATTTAGAATAGTAAAGAATTTATTGAATATTCTTGTTTACCTTCATATCTTAAGGGGTTTAATTTGTTATCTGACCGTTGATAGACTGTGAAATATATACGTTACTGAACCGATAATGAATCTACAAATGAATCCACCTTCGTAACTAAATAAAAGAATTACGAACACACAAGTCACTACCACTTTCTACATCAACGCTCAATTCAATGGTGTCACATTTCTCATCTGTTGTTATAATTTAATTCAAATTCTCCTCATCTTGACACTTGAATGGAAAATTACATCTTTTTTTTTTCATAATAGGAAATTTAAGTCATCACTAGGATTTTTAATATTAATTAATTAATTAATTTTTAATTTATTTTATTAGAAATATTTATGCACTAAAAAAAAATATGATTAGTGCTGTTTTATTAGTGATTGTTTCTGTCCTTTTGGTCATTACATTTAAATGGAGCAAACAAACGAAGAAGAGTCCCCCAGGTATGACAAATTTATTTTTTTTATTAATTTCAATAATTATTTTAAATTATTTGATTTTTGATTTCACATGTAAATATTCTTCTTATATTTTTGAAAATTTTAGCTCAATTCAGTAAACAATATAATCTTCGAAGAAGATTTACACGTGACTTTAGAATTTATTTACTTATTTTTTGTAGAGAAACAATATTAAAATATTTTTTATATTAAAAATTTTTTTAAATTAAACAAATTTTTTAAAATAGATATAGTTACATTTATTTATGAAGCGAATACAAATTTTGAATTTTAATAATGTTCAATTATTGATAAAATATAATTTTTGTTTTTTATTCAGGTCCATTTGCCTGGCCGTTTGTTGGGAATCTTCATCTTCTTCGTCAAGTGTCACGTGATTTTGGAGGTCAACATTTAGCCTTTTTAGAATTGTCACGCCGCTATAATAGTGATTTAATATCATTAAAACTTGGTAAAAATAAAATAACAGTTGTTTCGGGTGATAAAGGAATTCAAGCTGTGCTCAAAAATGAAGAATATGATGGAAGACCGTGGGATGAATTTATCAAACTTCGAAATTTAGGTGTTCGAAAAGGTATATTCAACAATTTATTATATTTTTATTTTTTTTTATTTTATTTTATTTTCTTTAACTGGAAATTTAATAATTTAGCATTATAATTAATTGAAGTGGATAAAATCGAAACCGCGAAAAGTCTTTTTTATTTTATTAGCAATCTGGTTAAAATTAGGGCTTTCTGTTTATGTGAATAGTTTTTTAAGGACATAACCCTCATGTAAAATAGGCAATTCGCCTTTAATTACATTATGTAAAATAAAAAAATAATAAATAAATTATAATCAATTGATACCTAAATATTTTCATTGATTAAAATTGAATTAGAACTAAAAAAATGGAACTAGAAAAATTCGATAAATAAAAAAAATGTTTTATTTATTTATTATCAAAATTAAGTGTGAAAATAAATTTAGTATGTAAACAGTATAGACTTTGAACCCAGATAATTAAATATTATTTTTTTAAGACAAAAACAAAAAATTCCACTTTCGCATAAACTGAAAAAAATTGCATCAATATCTAAATTGCTTCTTTATTGAGAAAGTTTTTTTAATCGTAACAATTTTTATCAATGTTGCACGTGTTTTCTTATTGTTTATAGAATACAATACAAAAAATGTTATTTAATACAAATTATCAGGTAATTAATTATCAAATATTTATCCTCATTAAATAATTATTATTCAAGTTCAAATAAATATTTATTCGATAATAATCAAGGAAAAATTTACTTAATCTTTTTCCTGTATTATTATTTTTTTTAGATTTTTAATTATCAAATATTTATCTTTATTAAATAATTATTATTCAATTTTCAATAAATATTTATTCGATAATAATTAAGGAAAAATTGATTTATATTCTTTTCCTTATATTATTTTTTAGGTTTCTATTAATAAATAATTAAAATAGATTTTTAAAAAAAATTAAATATAATTTTATTTATTAAAAATAATTTTTTGTTTTTTTAAATTAAGAATTTATGTAATTTTTAAATTTTTCAGGAATAACAATGTCGGACGGTCCGGAATGGAAGGAAATTCGCGGTTGGTTTGTTCGTAAATTTCGTGAGCTTGGATTTGGTCGAAGTCAAATGTTTTATTTAATTAAAAATGAACTCGAGGAGATTTTAGAAAATTTACATGAAGGTGGTGTTCGATATTTAAAAACAGTGACAATGAATGCAGTTATAAATGTTTTATGGCAATTAACAGCTGGAAAACGTTTCAGCGATGAAAAAAAGTATAAATTTTATTATAATAATAATAATTAAACGCGTAGAACAAAAAAAAAACAAAAATTTTTGAATTTCGATTATTTCAGACTGAAATATTTTATTAATCTAATGGATAGAAGAGCAAAAGCCTTTAGCATGGGCGGAGGAGTTCTTTCAAGTATTCCTTGGATTCGATATATTGCTCCAGAGGCCTCAGGTTACAATCTTCTTATGACTCTGAATCAAGAGCTGAGAAGTTTCTTTATGGTTCGTAAACGCAAATTTTTTTTTCTAAACTTACTTAATTACAAAAAAATATAAAAAATATTAAAATAATAAATATAAATTAATAATTTATTTAAAAAAATTAATAAATAAAGAATATTAAAATAATAATTATATAAATTAATAATGATTTATAATTTTAACGCTATGTTTGTTATAATTAAAAATTAAAATATGAAAAAGATTCCAATAAAAATAAATTTTTTTAGGAGACAATTGAAGAGCATAAAAAAAATTATGTGGCCGGAAAAGAAAATGATTTAATAGACATGTTTCTTCAAGAAATGTATTTTGGAAGAGGTCCTTCTTGTGGTTTCACCGGTGAGAGATTCATTTTTTATTTTATAATTATATAAATAATTTATATATTTATTTTATAATTTTTATTTTTATTTTGATTTTATTTTAAGTTTATACAACTTTTGTACTTTTAATTTAAAATATTTTAATTTAAGAAAAATATTTTTTAAAACTTGTTCATAAAAATTTAGATAAAATTTTTTTTAAATATTTCGTTCTCTTATTTTTTCTCAGATGAACAGTTGATTTTAATTCTAATGGATATCTTCATTGCTGGGACATTAACTACAACTACAACTTTAGATTTTATTTTTCTTAATGTTCTCATCCATCAAGATGTCCAACGAAAGCTTCATGAAGAAATTGACTTGGTCGTTGGCCGACAAAGATTGCCGGATATAAATGATAGACAAAGGTATTTTCTTTTATAATTCAAAAAAATTTTCTATTTATATTATTTTAATTAATAAATATAAATCTTTTATTTATTTAAAATAAACATTTTTAAAATAATTTTTAAATAAAAATTTTTAAAATAAATTTTTTAAATAAAAATTTTATGTAATAGATTGCCATATTTAGAAGCAGTTTGCACAGAATCTCAACGATTATGTTTGGTTACTCCAACAATTGGTCCACGTCGAGTACTTCGAGATACAGAATTACTCGGTTATCATATTCCCAAAAATACAACTATCTTAATTAATGTCTACAGTTCGAATACAAGTAAAGATCGATATAAAGATCCCACTTCTTTCATTCCGGAAAGATTTATCGAAAATGGATCATATCAGTCCGATGAAAATTTGATTCTATTTGGACAAGGTAATTAAATTGTTAATTAATTTTAATTTTTTTTTCAATTTTTTTAAACGAAATTTTCTTTTTTCAGGAAAAAGAAGATGCCCCGGTGAAATTTTAGCAAAATCAGCAATTTTTTTATTAACGTCTGGTATGCTACAAAATTTTGAACTTCATCCAGCGCCTGGAAAAGAATTCCCATCATTAAACATTGTTCCTGGTTTAACGATATCACCGAAACCTTATGAAGTTTTACTTAAACCGCGAAAAACAATTTGATGAACATTAATAAAAAAATTATGTTCACAATAATTGAATAATTGCCATCGGGCAAATATTCCTTCTTGCCTGGAATATCTAATTATTGAAAAATTCAGTATTTATTACTTATTAATTTTATCAATAATTAGTTAAATATTTACAAATATTATTCTTGGACATATTGCCCCGGAATTTGTAATTATTATATAAAAAAAATTCAATACCTTCCGTATGAATCTCTTAATTTTTAAAATTATTAATTAAATTGAAAAAGGGAATATTTTTTGAAAAAATAGAAGAAAAAACGAACACATTTTCAAATATGTTGCAATTGAATATAATTCGAAAATAATAAATTTATGAATTTTAGCTATTTACTTTTTCTTAAAGAAAACAATTTCCCTAGTGAAAACAAAATAATAATTAACATTGTTGTCTTAAATTTCCCCAACGCGGGGATCTTTTTTTTTTTCTCACAATAAAAGTGAATTTATCCATTGTTCTTAATGTCAAAGTGAATGCGTGGAATTATGGCAAAATGTTCTTATCTACTTGATGAAACATCAACTTTAAGTTTTAAATAATCATTGAACTTTCCCTTAGATTCGACATTTTTTCCTTTTAGTTTCCAAGCAATAAAATTCAATCATGAGTCCCACATGAAATCAACATTATTTTTTTCGTGTTTCATAATAAATTTTTTTATAATAAAAATACAAAAAAAAAATAATTGTAAAATAAAAAGAATTATTTTATGTCTCCTTGAGAATAAATTCACAGGACTTTTTACTACAATATATAAATCAAAGGAAATTTATCACCTCATCAAAATCAGTTGAAACAAGTTCAAAAGCTGTTCGAACATTTTTTTTTTTCAAGTATATACTCTAAGTGCAATATTGAATTATTGCGATAATTATCGTCGATTTATGTAAAAATAAATTTAAAGAGAAATATATAAAATACAACAATGGGAAAGTTGATAAATTACTTTACAATTTTTTTTTTCGGAATTTGAAATATTTAAATGTTAAACAAATTAGTAAACTATTGAAGAAGATGAAAAGAGAAACAATTTTTTTTTAAGTATTCTCCCCTGGAGAAAAGAAATTAATCCGATAAAGGGAATGAAAAAAAAAAAGTTTTAACAATGAAACAGTACAATGTAGCTAATTAGTGGCTTAACGATGCTCAGAATCTTGTTTGTAATTCAAGTGTCTGCTCTTTCACTTCGCTATATTTATAAATGGCTCCTTTCATACCGAGATAAAGAGAGAGAAAAAAATCTCTTGTTTCTAGAACAATATAAAATTAAATTTGCGCAAAATTTGAATAAATTATTCGATTGAAACAAACGTTACATAATTACCACAATTGTTAACTATCAATTTCATGCTAAATAATTTCTTTAACATAAAACATATGCACAATGAGATATTATTACAATATTAATTATTCTTTCCGCATTTATTTTACATAAATGAATTATTACGCAGGGGAAATAATTCCGGTTTTTTTTTAAATTCTGTTTTGTAAATAAAAATAGCAGTAAATTTTAATTTAGTCTTCCAAAATGGAAATAGAATTTTCAACTATCATTATTATCATATTTTTGTAAAACGAAACATTTTTTAATTTCCTAATTTTTCGTAGGTGTCAAAAATTAATAATAATAATAATAATAAATTACTAAATTAAATTTCAAATAATATTTAATTTCTATTCATATTCAATTAAACGAAAAAAAGGAATAAATTTATATTTTATCTCATGTCAATCTATATAAATAAAAGATATATTTTTTTTTTCTTAAATTTCGATTATAATGTTAACATTAAATGGACAGAATTTGAGAATAAATATATAAGTATATATATTTAAAGTCGAACATATGTACGATGTTTATCTTTTCATTCTTTTGGATCGTAAATATAAAAAGATGGTCCCCCTCATTTCTTTCACTTTCTCGTAAAGTGTTGTTCGACAACTCGGGCAAGTCAAACTTGGACTTGTATGACTCTCTCTTTTTTTTATTTATTCTTTTTTTTTTTTTGAGGGAAGATCTGTTTTTTTTATTATTCTCATATGTATATAAAGATGTCAAAGAAAAAAAAAACAACATTTCTGGTACTTATCTTTTTTTTTTGCAAAAAAAAATTTCTTCACTCGGGCAATGACGATGAATTTGGGTCGGACCTGAGGGAGAGTGTGAGATAATACGGTTTCGGAGAGATTGTAAATCCGTCATAACCATTTGAATTTGGTATACCATGTTCCAAAGGAATTTCGAAATTAAAGTAGTGTATTACGTAAGTGAAGAACAGAAAGAGAGACGAACGAGCTAGAGTTTCTCCCAGACAACGTCTTTTGCCTGAAAAAGCAAAAAAAAATTATTTTATTTAATAATTTAAAAATATTTATAATTTTTCGAAAAATTAGTTTCTTTTTTAATTGAAATAATAATTAGAATTTTGAAAGCATAAAAACGAAAAATTATTATTTTATTTTAATAATTTGCAAATATTTATAATTTTTCGAAAAATTAATTTCTTTTAATTAAAGTAATTAGAATTTTAAAAGAAATTTTTTTTTTTTTTACCTAATCCGAAGGGCATAGACGCATTATTTTGCCGATATTGGCCATTTTCATCCAAAAATCGTTGGGGACGAAATTCTTCTGGACATTCCCAATACCTTTTATCGCGATTAACACTGTAGAAATTAAGAAGAACAACTGTGTCCTGAAAAATTTATCGATTAGTAAAAAAATTTTTGATATACATTTTCATTTGAAAATAAGTAAATAAATAATTCAAATCTTTCAATAATAATTTAAAAAAAATTAAAAACTGTTAAATAATTTTGATTTGAAAGAAATTATAATTGAGTGAGAATTACTCTCTATCACAAAGGCATGTAAACTGCAAGAAAGTGTCAATTAAAACACTTTTTAAATTACAACCAGGAAATAAAAATGAAAAATCATGAGGGAAATGAAGAAGTAATAAAATACGCTTATTATATACATGACAACGAACAAATTATTAACATATTAATAATTAAGAAATAAAAATATAAAAATATATGGTCACAAATAAAATAAATAATATACAAAATTTAGATAATTAAAAATATAAAAATATATGGTCAGAAATAAAATAAATAATATACAAAATTTAAATAATTAAGAAATAAAAATATAAAAAAGAAAATATAAAAATTAAAAATATATACAAAATATAAAACACAAAGACAGAATAAAACAGAAGAATAGGAAACAAAGAATACCGAAAATAATTTGCGTGAAAAAAAAAAAACAAAGCAAATTCCTTTTCAGCTTTCATATCCCGAATTCTTGTATATAATACGTCTTCGGTAAGAGCCGACAATTGAAAGCGACGATAATTGTCATTTTATTCTTTATATTTATTAAGATGCAGGTTTCGAGAGTCATGTATTAAATAAGGAAAAGAAGAAAAAAAAAAAAAAACTTGGTGGCGGCTTTCACACACAGGAACGTAAATTGAAAAGACATAACGTAAATATAAATTTATATATAACTGTCTGATATTCTGACCTGTGGAATTCGGTAGCCATTTAATGAGACATCCTTCATTGTCCTGTGAGGAACACCCAAAGGAGCTAAGATCAAATATCTTTGCACCTGCAAAAAAAAAAAAAAAAAAACTGTTACGCTCTCTGCTTCTTAAATTTCACATATATATTTATACCGTTTACTCTCAACTCAATCAGAAATTTCACCGTGCGTGAAAGACAATTATATTCTTGGAAATTAAATTCCCAAGTCTGGATTTTTTTTTTTTTTTATATAAGAAATTTAAAAAGAAAAATAATTTTTTTTAAAAATGTTTTCTTTCAACAATGGAGGAAAATAAGCAAAAAATCCATATAGATTAATTGCGTGAAAAAAAAATGATCTTGTGAGCAATTTTGTTTAATTACTGTAATTTTTTTAGTAATTAGTACCTCGGCAAGAAAGGCATCAACTCGTGGTAACAAAGGACGATCGGACAAACGAGGCGCACGATTTCTTCCAACAATTTCATCTAGATCGTCTTGGAGAATTTTCATCCATTCTGGATGCTGGGGCAAAAATGAAAACACCATTGCCAATGTGTCTGTTGTTGTTTTTGATCCAGCCAAAAAAAGATCGAGACAGAGGATCAATAAATCTTCCCCTAAAAACAAAAAAATGGAAATTATTAATAATTAGTTAAAATTAATTGACAATTATAATGAAAAATAAAAATAATTTTTAAACAATGAAAAAAAAAAATAATAAAAAAAATTAAAATAATAATAATAGAAATAATAATAAAAAAATAATAATCCTAAAATATTGATAAAAATCAGTATAGGATAATATTTAGTTTTAATTAATTATAGTATAAATATCCAAATTTTTTTTTCTATCGTACTATTAAATATCGAATCGTGCTGCTGATCAGAATCCTTTTGACTTCTTATCTGCAAGAGAAATGCATCAATAAGATCCTTGGGCACATCACTCATGAGATCTTTTTCATGTGAATCAATTTCATATCCAATGAATTCCCACAATTTTTTTATATTCGTGCTCAGTTCCTTATATCCTGAAAGTTCTGGAATTACGAAACGAAGAAACGGCATGTGGGACACAATTCCACCCAATGTGTCAGTCAATCTGCAAATTCGATATTTATATGCAATTATTTTCCATTTATTCACTATTTTCGAAAAAATATTTTCCATTTAATTGAATTAATTTAATTTACTATTAATTTTAATAAAATAATTTTCTGATTTTTTTATTTTTATTCCTATTTTCTCAACAAAAAAAAAAATAAAAATAAGTAAATAATAATAATAAAGAAAAAAAAAAATTCCGAGATAGAATAATGAGTTTTCTCATACCTGAATGATTTATGTACAACTTCTAAAATATTATGCAGTTTCTGATCCTGGTAATCGAATCGATGTCCAGCGAACATTGTCCAAAGAGAATTGAGAACAGCAATGTCAAAGGCACGATGCATTGCCACCGGACCATTTGTCATTCGATGCTTAAGATTTTCCACAAGATTTTGAGCTTCGAATATTAAATAGCTTTCCATTGTCATCTGTCCCAGGCCAAATGTTTTCAAATGTTTCATCGTGAATCTTCTATGCTGCGACCATGTACTGCCATCAGTGAACAAAACTCCTAAGTCCAATTTTTCATTTTTATATTTTATAATTTTTATTTTTCATATTTCTATTTTATATTTTATATTTTATATTTCAATTTTTATATTTCTATTTTCTATTTCAATTTTTATATTTCTATTTCAATTTTTATATTTCTATTTCAATTTTTATATTTCTATTTTCTATTTTCTATTTTCTATTTTTATATTTATATTTTAAATTTTATATTTTAAATTCTATATTTTATATTCTATATTTTACATTTTTATATATTTTTTACAATTTTTTTTTACAATTTAAAATATTTAATAAAATATTACAATTTTTTTTCAAAAAAAAAAAAAAAGAAGCAATTATAATAATTTTTTGAGGAAAAAAAAATATTTTCAGAAAAATATTCCTTATAATATATTGTAATTATATTTAATATTATTTTTAGTTTACCTTTTCTCTCGCCACATGCGCGAAGTCTATAAAAAAAGCCATCGGGTCGTCCATTGAAGTCTTCTTGAAGCAGCACTTTCTTAACAAGATCATGAGTCGATATAATAACAAATTTCTGTTTTCCGAACTTCATTCCAAGAACAGGTCCATAATGATTCGCGAGCTCTTGAAATGCTAAATGATTGTATCCAGTTTTTTGACGAATTTCCCGAAATTTTAGAAAACATCCCAACAAAGGCAGCCATTTTGGTCCTAATAATTTTTTTATAAAATCAATTATTATTTCACCAAACACAAAATTTATAATTAAAAAAAAAATAAAAACAAATAAAAAAAATAGAAAAATACAAATAATAAAACAAAAATAATATAATATAATAATAATAGTACAATAATAATAATAAATTATTATTCTAATATTAATAATAGCTTTCATGCAATCGTGTGTAATACTTTTTCTTTTTCGTTGCGCTTAACAATTTTTAATATTCTTATAATGAATAATTTATTATACTCAGATCTGGAGCATTTAAATTTGATTATCAATTATTTTTTTTTTTTACAATTCGAAGCACGATTTTTTTTTCATTTTTTTTTTTTTTTAATATTAAATACACACCAGGTGGAAAGTTGTTAGGTTTCACGCAATCATAGACGCAACACAAACCGAAAAATATTAGAAGAAACGAAATAACTGTTATGATCATCTTCAGATGATGCACTGATGCTGAGCATATGTCGTCGTTTACTTTATATAGAGCGGAACAAAAATGATTTACATTTTCCTTTTTTTTTTCCAAAAGATTTTTATCGTCGTGTCACCCATGGCCTTCGACAAAAATATCTTTTTGTGTTAGGACACGTCTTTTTCTCCACTGAACCATTTTCAGTTTATAATATTTATATATGTTTTTCGAATCTCTCTCTCTCTCTCTCTCTCTCTCTCTCTTTCTCTCTTTCTGTTGATTTCACATATATTATTAAATAAACCTGCGTCAAAAAAAAAAAATATTTTTGCATTTTTCTTTTTGATTCTATAAATTTTAAACGAAAAATTTTTCCTAATACGAAAAAAGAGATTTGTATTTTTAATATTTGAAAAAAAGTATTTTTGAAAAAAAAAATTTTTTTAGAGGAGAAAATTTTTTTTACAGAACAATTTGTGTATTAAATATTAAAATATTCTTCGAAGCCAATTATTTAACAGTTACACTTATAAAATAGCAATTATTCGCTTTCATTCCCGTTCTTGATAATTACGACGATTAAATACATTATTATATAATGAAAATCTCTCTCTCTCTCTCTCTCTTTCTTTCTCTTTATCTCGAACGAAAATAACAAATTTTTATTAAATTTTTTCGTATTGACATTTTTTAAACAAATTTTTTTTTTAATTTTTCGATGCAAATATTATTTTTGAAAAAAATTGATTTTAGGAATCGTTTTTTTTTTATTATTAAAATCTCGTACGATAAATGTTACGGATGTTCCCTATGGAAAGTGAAAATATTTCACACGTGACACTTCCTGGGTACGAGTTTACTTCACGATGAGCATCTTTGCGTTCATAAAATCTTCAAGTTGGTTTTCTCCGAAGCAATTATGCTCAGAAATTCAATGCACATGAACGAAGCCTTCAATTAACATCAATATATATATATATATATATATATATATATATATATATATATATATATATATATAGGAAAAAAAAGTCATTCTGATATCGCAAAAAAATAAATATAAAAAGTGCGTGAGAAAGTAAATTCCCATATTATTAGTAAAATAATGCTATATCAAAATTATTATTGAACTTTATTATAATAAACTATCATCAATTATTTGTTTTACCTTTTCCCTAGCTATTATTAGATTATAAAATATTTTCAAAGCGGAGAAAAAAAAATTTTTTTTCCACTTTTGTTTTTTATTAGTTTTACACTCGTATATAATAAGTATACTTAAGGAAATGCTATTTTGCCACATATGTAATGCGGAAACAACTCTTTCTCTTCAAGTATTTTTTTTTCAAACAGGACAGGAAGTTGACATGAACAAAATAATAATAAAACTATTTTCACTGTAATTATTTTTTTTATTTTTTGAGGAAATTTCAATTGACAAAATCGAAATTTCAATCGATGCAAATTTAATCAAGAAAAAGTCAACTTGAAAAAAATTGGAAAAACAAAAAAAAACGAAAATTGGAAAAATTCACAAAAAAAATACTCCGATTAATAAAATTATCAAATTAATTAATCGATACAAAATTGGAAAAAGAGAAAAAAAAACAAAAATTTGAGTAGGAGCCAATCGAGAAAATTCAACTCGAAAAAATAGAAGAAAAAAAACGAAAATTGGAAAAATCAAAAAAAAAATACTCCGATTAATGAAATTATCAAATTAATTAATCGATACAAAATTGGAAAAAGAGAAAAAAAAACAAAAATTTGAGTAGGAGCCAATCGAGAAAATTCAACTTGAAAAAATCAGAAAAAAACGAAAATTGGAAAAATCCAAAAAAAATACTCCGATTAATGAAATTATCAAATTAATTTAATTAATTGATACAAAGGGAAAAATGAAAATTTGAAAAAATTTAAATCCTACAAAATTCCACTCCAAAAATTCTTTGCACAAAAAATCTCTAAATAAAAAAAAAACTCCATTTGAAAAAATACAAATCGAAAAAAAAAATTTGCAATTTTTTTCTCTCTCAAATAATATAAAAGTGAAATTTTATATAAATTTATTCGGGAATAATGATGAGATATTTAAAAAAAAATTGACGTTAATGAAGGTAATGATGATGGTAAATGAAGATAATGATGCTCTTGATGATAATGATGATGATTGAAGATATAATATGTAAGACGTCACGTATTTATATGAAATTGTCCAGTCACGTCTGGAAAATCAAGTGTAACGTCCATTATATATATTTTGTATGTACTTATTATATTTAAAAAGGCTCATTTGCGGCCAGAAGCAATCTTTGATTATTAATTCGCAAATGTTCTATTCCATACAGTTTATATTTAGTGTGGGTGCCACGTGAATACTTTCACCATGGTCAAGCTTCAGCATATCATTTCCTTTATGCTATAAGGAAATCTTGACTTTCTCCCCAGGTTCCCAAGTCACGTGTTGTGCGACTTTTTTTTTTTTTTCTTTTTTTCAAACCCTCGTCTCGTTGCATCACGAGTAATTGCTAATTAACTGCGATATAGAGATTCAACGAGCAACACGAACAAGGAACACTTATTTAAAAATAAAACCCAAAAAAAAAAAAAAAAAAAAAATTTAAAACAGACAAAACCAAAAAAATAAAAGAAACTAATAACTTCAAAATTAAAAAATAATTATTATTTGAAAAAAAAGGAGCACGAAAGAATTTCAATGAAAAGAAAAAGGAAATACCAAAAAAGAGAGGAAAAAATAAAAAATTCAGAATTAACAAAATATGAATTATCTTTATTCGTAACGGAATTCATTATAACAATAGAAAGACAACAACAACGTGTGTATAAAAAATACAAATTCGATCAAATAAAGCAATTAACGTTCAACGCAAAAAAATTTTTTCCAAAGGACACAATTAGATCCCGTGAAAGTAAAAATAAAAATAATAATAATAATAAATCATTCAGTCAAGTAAAGAGTGCTCAAATAAGTAATCTTACTTCATACGTCTTAAGAGGCCTTAACAATTAATATGTACAGTGGCTTATGTTACAACAAATTATTTTCTTCACAAAAAAAAATTTTTTTTGTACAAGATTTTCTCACAAGGGACTAAAATACTTTCTATTCTCTCTCTCTCTAGGGTTTCGAGAAATCCTGAAAATTTGCAATCTCGACAACTTTTTCATTTGTTGGTAAAGGCGGTGGTTTCAAATCTTGTGTAATTGAAAGCAATTGCCCTTGTCCCTGAACTTGAGCCGATCTATCCCATCGAATTTGATTCTCGTTTGTCGTCACTTGGGGAATTTGAATTGTTTTTTGTTTCTCAATTGCCTGCAATGTTGACGGCACCAATTGTGTATCTTGACTCTGCGTGTCTTTACGATCCTCCCAACCTGACGATTTATGATGATGATGATCCTCATTCGGGAACCATTCCGATATCCAAACTGGTTTCCAAATCTTCTTCCAATCTGGCACCCAAATTTCCTTCCAAGCCGGAACCTGAATCTCCTTCCACGCCTCTTTCCACGTTAATTTTTTATCCGGAATCCACTCCAATTTTTTCTCCGTCTTCCAAACTTGCTTCCACGCCTCCTTCCACTCGAGTTTCTTATCCGACACCCAAATTTGCTTCTTCCCTGGCTTCCAAATTTGCTTCCAATCCTCCTTCCAAATTAATTTCTTATCATCAACCCAAATTTGTTTCTTCCCCGGCTTCCAAATTTGCTTCCACTCTTCCTTCCACTCCAATTTCTTATCCGGAATCCAAACCTGCTTCTTCGCTGTCTTCCAATATTTCTTCCACAATGGTTTCCAAATCAATTTCTTCTTCCAAAGATCATGACTCGTGTACATCCAACCATGATGATCGGTTCCCAATTTATGTGGACCGGGTATGCCAACCTTAACCCATTCGGGTATCCAAATCTTTTTCCATGCCGGTACTTGTATTTCCTTCCAAGCCGAGACTTTTATCTCCTTCCAAATTGGCTTGTAAACCTTTTTCCAATCAGGCACTTGAATCTCCTTCCAAGCAGGCACCTTAATTGGTATCCAAACTGGTTTCCATATTTTCTTCCAGGCAGGGACTTTTATTTCCTTCCACGCCGGTACCTGAATTTCCTTCCAAACTGGTTTCCATATTTTCTTTGAGGCTGGTACCTGTATTTCCTTCCAAACAGCTTTCTTCGTTGGCTCCCAAACTGGTTTCCAAATTTTTTTCCACGCCGGTTTCCATATTTGCTTTTGCACTGGTTTCCAAATTTTTTTCCAACCTGGTTTCCAAATTAGTTTCTTCTTCCAGTAGCCGGAGTCGTGATCACCACCACCACCGCCTCCTCCTCCGCCTCCACCTCCGTAACCTCCGCCTCCTCCTAAATCGCCTCCATGACCACCTCCGTGTCCACCTCCATCGCCGCCTCCACCACCGTAACCTCCGAAGTCACCTCCGCCTCCTCCATGGCCTCCGAAATCGCCGCCTCCACCTCCGCCGTGACCACCGAGATCGTATCCACCTCCTCCTCCTCCACCTCCGTGACCACCAAAATCGCCTCCTCCTCCTCCTCCGTAACCACCACCGCCGCCTCCACCTCCGTGACCTCCTAAATCGCCACCTCCGCCTCCGTAACCACCGCCTCCACCTCCGTGACCTCCTAAATCGCCACCTCCGCCACCGTAACCACCGCCTCCACCTCCGTGACCTCCTAAATCACCACCCCCGCCAAAATCTCCGCCTCCATGTCCACTTGAGTCTCCTCCGAGTCCACTTGGTCCTCCATCCCATCGTTTTTGTGCCACGGTACCATATCTGGAGAAAACAAATTTTTTAATTAATTATTATTAAAAAATAATTAAAACATCATGTTAAATGATTTAGTAATTATTTATTTCTTGAAAAATATACGGGCATAGCCAATTATATAAATTATATAAAATAAATATAATTATATAATAAAATAATTATTAAATTATTATTAATTTTTTTTTCTATTCAAAATAGATTTTATTAATTAATAACTAAAATATTAATCACAACTGCGAATTTCAATAGGGTCAAAAAATGATTATTTATTAATAATTATTAATTAAATTAATTAATAAACAGGTAATAATCAGAAATTTATAAATAAATAATATTAATTGAAAATTAATAACTAATATTATTGATTAGTAATTATTTATTAATATTCATAATATTAATATTATATTAAACAACTAATTAATCATTTTTATTTGCTACTAATTAATAATTTCTATTAACTACTTATTATAATTACTATTAATTACTAAATCATAATTAGGTTTTTTGCTAAAAATTGTTATCAATATGATTAATTAAAATTTCACTAAAATTTAATTTTAATTTTTTATTAATAATTATCAAAAAAATTGAATTAATCATTAGCTAAATTTTACAACAATATTTATTTCAATAGATGAAAAATCAGTCACTGAATGCAATTAGTCCAAAATATATTTTTTAATTAGAATTTAGAGTTAAACAAAAAAATTGTTTATTAATATTTATAATATTTATTAATTACTATTTAATAATTTCAATTTGCTACTAATTAATAATAATTATTAACTACCTACTAATTAATAATAATAATTATTATTATTAAATTATTATCAATTATTATTATTAATTACTAATTCATAATTTCTATTAACTACTAATTAATAATTTCTCAAATTAGTAGAAACTTTCACTAACTTTTAGTAAAATATTACTTTTTGAGTAAGATTTTTTAAAATTAAAATTTAGTGAAAAATGAATAAAGATTAGAATTTTTTTTACTAATTTTAAGTAAAATATTACTTTTTGATTCTCTCTAAATCTGAATTAGTAAAAATTGTAACTAATTTGAATTAGTGAATTGCTTTTGAATTAGTGAAATTTTACTAATTATTAGTAACTTTTACTAACAATTAGTAAAATTTAACTAATTCTAAAGCAAAAAGTGAGTCACTTATTCAAATTAGTAAACATTTTTACTAATTCAGATTTAGAGAGTAGTTAATTATTGCATAACTAATAAATAAATTAATAATAGAAAAATAATATAATAATAAATAAATTATAAATAAATTAATAATGAAAAAATTAATAATAAATAAATTATAAATAAATTATAAATTAATTAATATTAAATAAATTAATAAGAAATAAATAAAAAAAGAATTTGTTTCTAATTAACTGCTTAAGTTTTAATAATTAAATTAATAATTGAATAATTAATTAATAAAAAAAAAATTGCAACAATTTTTTTTTATTAAATCATAACAAAAACAAACTCACTGAATTTGTTGCTGTGCTTGTGTTTGTAGCTGTGTTTGGTCCAGTGCCTTACTCGCCACAAGGACGGCTTGCAGTAGCACCACTACCACAACCTGCGAACAGTTGCGATGATTAATAAAGAGATTTAAAAAAAAAAAAGAAATGAATGAAATAATTAAATGACATTGACGCGAAAATAACATTTTTTTGTAACGGAATTTTATATACATATATATATATATATATATATATATTTATTTATGTTCGCGCGCCACTTTTTCAAGATCAAGATCTCTGCTCTTTTTTTAAAGAAATCACTTTCATCGCTCGCTATAGATATCTCTCACGATATATCGCGTTTAAAAACGTGACATTTCAAATTCCTCAATGGAAAAGAATTATTTTCAACTATATATATATATAACTATTTTTTTCGCGAATGCAAATTTTTTTTGTCGAATTTTACGTTAACAATACTATTTTATTTTTGTATTATTTTCATTTGTTAATAATTTTTTTATTGTTTTTTTTATTATATATTTATTAATTTTTTTTTGAAGAATTTTATTTACCAACAATCTTGTGACTAATTTTTTTCAACTTTCATTAAAATATTGAATTAATAATTAGTTGTAAATTAATTGTTAATTAGTTAAAAATTAACTAATAATTAGTTGAAAATTTACTAATTATTGCAATAAAAATTACAATGAAAAAAAATTTACTTGATTCAAATAATCGGTTACTTGACTTGTATCAAATAAATATTTACTTGTATTAAATAAATATTTACTTGTATCAAATAAATATTCACTTGTATCAAATAATTATTTACTTGTATCAAATAATTATTTACTTGTATCAAATAATTATTTACTTGTATCAAATAATTTTTATTTAAATTAAGTAAACTGTATTTGCTTCATATAAAGAAAATATTGGTTCAAATACAGTTTATTTAATTCAATTATTTGGTTTCAAAAATTATTTGATTCAAGTAAATATTTGATAATAGTCAAGTAAGCGACTATTTAAATCAAATAAATTTTTTTTTTCACTGTAACTAATTATTATTTAAAAATTAATTAATTAATTATTTAAAAGTGACTAATAATTAGATAAAATTTCACTAATTATTAATTACAATTTTGCTAATAATTTATTAGCTAAAAAAAATAATAATAAATCAGAAAAATTTTACTATTAGCTAAAAATGTTTATCAAAATAATTAATTAAAATTCCACCAATAATTATTGAGAGTTTAAAAAAAATTTTCAAATAAATTTAAATTATTTTAAATATTACTAAATTTTACTAAAAAAAAATCAGCTAAAAAATGTTACTAATATTTAATTAAAATTGGAAAAATAGTTCATTAAAATTTGATTATCAATAATAAATTAAAATTTTACTAATGTTTAACTAAAATTTTACAAATAATTAATTAAAATTTTATAAATAATTAATTAAAATTTTACTAATTAATTACAAATTTTACTAATATTTAATTAAAATTTTATTACTTAGTCAAATATTTAATTAATGATTAGCTTTTACCACAATTTATTTGAAAAGATGAAAAATCAGTCACTGATTGAAATTAGTCCAAAATAAATTCACTAATTAGAATTTAGAGTTTGAAAAAAAAAGAATAAAATAGAAGAAATCCATCGGCACTTAAAAAAATTATTTAAATATTTACGCGCGTGATAAATTAAAAATTAAAAAAAAATTTTCAAAAAAAAATTTGTTTTCCGGTAATTTTTTTTTTTTTTTTTTTTTTCTCAACTAACCGCGCATCTCGGGCGAAATTTCATAATTGTCGCAGTGCCGCCCGGTCGGGCCCGCGTACTCTGGGTTCCCTAGGCGCAGGAAAACGTAGCTTACTTCGTCCAATCAGTGGAACATCGTTGTTATATAGGCGCGTATCCTCCCCCTGGTGCAATGTCCGGATGAAAGAAATACAACGCCAGGTGGTGGTAGGAGCTGAAAAAGATCGGTGGTGGAAATTGAATGCATGAAAGAAGCGGTATGGAAGTGTAATACCTTCTCAGGAAAGTCCAGGACATGCCTTTTTGATACACATACATACAATTTAAACATTTCTTTCACACCTGTATAAATATATACAGAAAATGCCATGTCTCTTTATAGGAATCTTTAGTTTTTTTTTCTTTTAATTTTGCTTGTAAACAATTTATTTTTTCAGATATTAAAATAAAAAAAAAAATCTAAACTTCTATTTATTTATAATATTATTATTTAATAATTATTATTATGATAATTAAAACAATAATAAAAATAACATTAAATTAAAAATTGTTTAGTAAAAAATTATTGTTACAATAATAATAATAATAATAATAAAAATTTTAATAATAGTCAATTCAAACAAAAATTGATTAAATCAAAAAAATATTTGATTGATTCAAATATATATTTAACTGATTCAAATAAATATTTGTTTGATTCAAATAAATATTTTGATTGATACAAATAAATATTTTGATTGATTCAAATAAATACACTCAGAGAAATGGTATATTTGTCTCCGAGCCTACTAACTCATTTATTTGTTGCAAATATATTTTATTTCATTGAAATAAAAAATTTATTTGAGACAAAGAAAAATTTATTTGTGACAAATAAAACTTTTATTTACGCCAAATAAATAAGTTAGTAGGCTCTGAGACAAATATACGTTTATTTAACTCAAATATATTTTATTTGGTTCAAATAAATCATTTCTCTGCGTGTATTTTCTTGATTGAAATAAATATTTCCTTGATTCAAATAAATATTTTGATTGATTCAAATAAAAAATTGATTTTATCTAAATAAACGTTTGGTTTATTTTATAATAATTTTTTTCGAATGAAGAAAAAATTTCATTCTGCCAAATAAACATTCTTTTATTTATTCAGCCAAAAATTTGGTTAACTGTATAAAGTAATAAATCCTTTCTAAAATTTGTACATAATATTTCGTTCACTAATTAGTAGAAATTTACACTAATTTTTTTTTAAATATTACTATTTGATTTAGTAATATTTTTTTTTTACTTAAAATTTTATAGTGGAAAATGACTAAAAAAAATTAATGAAAATTTTTATTAACGTAATTAAGTTGAATTAATTAAATAAAATTATTAATGAATAAATCAATAATAAATAAATTTTATTAAAATAATTTTTCTTAACAAATCAAGAAATTAAATAATTAAGTAAAGTAAATATACCATTTTTTTTGTATTAACATATTTTTTTTTTTGTTATTTCAAATAAATATATTTTTTTTTGATCTTATAACATTTGGTTTCAATTAATTTTTCAAACGGATAAAAAATTTTGATTGACCAAATTAATTTTCTGGTGATTCAACCAAAAGTTTTGAAGCAATAAATATATTATTTCGATTCAACAAAAATTAAGTTTATTCAAATAATTGGTTACTTTATTATCAAATAAATAATTTTTTGTATCAAATAATTATTGAGTCAATTAAATGTTATTTGTTTCAAATAGAAAAATTATTGGTATAATTTATTTAATTTAAATAAAAATTATTTGGTTCAAGTAAATATTTACTTGTTATAATAGTCAAATTATCGATGATTTGAATCAAATAAATTGGGTTGAGGACGCCATCACTAGGGGGACGGTTTTAGTTGAAGACGCCACCGCTAGGTTTTTTTTTCGTTTACATGTTCGTTTTTCCTACATATACACTGAAAAATAAAATTTGATTCAAATAAGTAATCGGTCACTTTATTACTAAATAAATATTTATTTAATTTATTATTTGAGTCAATTAAATGGCATTTGTTTCAAATAGAATAATTATTGGTACAAATGTAATTTATTTAATTCAAGTAAAAATTATTTGGTTCACGTAAATACCTACTTGATAATAGTAAAATAATCGATGATTTGAATCAAATAAATTGGGTACTTTAGTTGAGGACGCCATCACTAGGGGGACGGTTTTAGTTAAAGACGCCACCGCTAGGTTTTGTTTTCGTTTATATGTTCGTTTTTCCTATATATATATACATTGAAAAATAAAATTTATTTGATTTAAATAAATAATCGGTCACTTTATTACTAAATAAATATTTATTTAATTTATTATTTGAGTCAATTAAATAGTATTTGTTTCAAATACAGAAATTATTGGTTCAAAAACAATTTATTTAATTCAAATAACCGTGTATATTTAAATCAAATAAATTTTTTTTCAGTGTAAAAAAAATCTCTTAGAAAAATTCTCTTTATTAAACGATTTTAAAATGATTTTTAACTCCAATAAAAAAAAAATTAAATCAGATGTTACCCGAGGCATATGTTTAAAAATCATATAAATATATAATTATCATTATTATATCCGACTTCCTAAATTAATGCATATGTAATATATGAATAGTTTTGTTTGTTGATCTGACCAACGCAACTAAACGGAGAAAGTGATCGAGAATATGAAAGACACACGTCAAAAGTTACTATATATTCATTCCGTCACTTTTTTTTTTTTTTTTTTTTCTTTTTTTCTTTTGGTCTGGTGTTAGTATTATATATAAAAGACAAGGTTACATAGCAAGGTTATACTCCCATTTCGCAGATATATATTATATTCTATAGTATGCGTATATAGAAAGAGAAAGGAACAAATTTTTGTTCTCTCCGGCCAAAAGAGAAAAGACGTGAATGAAATTTTGATAGTGATACACTTTTCGAAAAAAACATATACACACACCAAATTGCATGCGGTTTAAAAAAAAATCCTTTGCTCGAGATATGGATTTTCATATATATATATATATATATATAAAATAAACACTTCCTCGGGATAATAAAAATCTGTATTCGATATATTTTATGAAAAAATATCGATCGTAAAAATTTGATTATTCCATATACTACTGTATTGAACGAGAAAGTCGAAAGAAACAACCAAATTTCCTGTAGCTCTGAAATTGTTTGAAAATTAGGATCTTTATTTGTATTTTACGAGAAAGTGCCCGTATTTGGGTTAGTGTGCTTTTAAAAAAAAAAAATTCGATATCCTGATAGAAAATGATTTTTTCCAATAAAAAATGATATTTTTTTTATAAAATATTTTTTATATATTTTTTTATTATTATTTTTTAATTATTTATTTTTTTAATGTAAATATTTATTATTACAATTACCGCGAATTTTTTTTTTTTTTTTTTGCAATTATGTAATATTAATATTTTTTTTTTTATATATGCAAAAATTTTAAACTGTCAAACTTATGCATATAAATTTTGATTTGAAATCGCATTAGACTTTGAACGAATTTTTGAAAGTTGAAATTATGCTTTCTAATTTTTTTTTCGCAATGTTACAAATCAAAATTGAGTTTTTTTTTAATCTAAATGACCGAAAACATTTTAATATAAAAAAAAAATAATAAATTACTTTTTATTAAATGTCTAAATAAAATAATTGAGTTTTAAAAATTGATTTCAATTTAAAAAAAAAAAAATATTAAAATAATTCTAAAATTTAATAAAAAGCTTTGTAAAATCAGAAACAAATTGGAAAAATTCTTTTTTAAAAAAACGATCGGCTCAGAAAAAAATTTGTTTAAAACAACCAAATTTTTAGTTGAATCAAATGTATACTGAAAAAAAATTTATTTGATAATATAATATCGATTGTATTATCAAATAAATATTTATTTGAATTAAATAATTTGGTGAATAACCAAACGTTTATTTGGTTCAATAAAATTCTTTCTTCATTCGAAAAATTTATTTAAAATAAACCAATCGTTTATTTAAATCAAATAAATGTTTGTTTGAATCAAATAAATGTTTTTTTTTAATCATATAAATGTTTGTTCGAATCAAATAAATGTTCGTTTGAATCAAACCAATATTTATTTGAATAAAAAAAAATGTTTAAAATAACCGAAAAAATTGTGTTAATACAAATAAAATCGATATATTTGGTTTAAACAAAATTTTCTTCCTCTTCAGACTTAAAACATGTTCATGACAGTAAAAAGTCAAATATTAGATTTGTAAATAAAGATTAAAGATACAAAAAAAAATTATTTTTTTTTAAATATTTAATAAAAATTCAAATAATGCTCGTCTTTCATTTAACATATTTCTAATTGAAACTTAAATTCCCTATTTTCCCAGCTCAAACAGATAAATCAACTCCTGCAAATATTGCCTCATGAATAATTCATGTCGTAGTTAATATTTTGTTGCAATCATAAAATGCACGTTAAGAAAGTAATAGTTTACATTAAGTATAGAAGCTACTAAATAATATCTACACATGTCATGAATATTAAAACAAATGAAAATTTTTTTATTCCACAATGAAAAAAAAAAATTTATTATATTTAAATAAAAAACTACTTGATACCTATTGTCAAATAAATAATTACTTGAATCAAATAATTTTTTATTCAATTAAATAAATTGTAAACCAATAATTTCTGTATTAAAAAAAAATACTATTTAATTAAAATAATTAAACAAATAATTTTTTTCAGTGCATAAAATTCGATTTTGATTAATTCAAATCAGTTTATTATTATTATAATAGTTGAAATAAAAATGAATTTTCCTCTATATATATTTTCAAAGAAAAAATGGATTTTCATTAAATTTATTAAACTCTCGAAATAATTGCTTATATGAAATTTTTTTCTCGATCAGACCCGAGCGGTGAATTTACTTTCTTCTTTGAAAACACTTTGCGCGGTTTCGGCTTACATTTACAAATTAAAATTTTCGTTTCGCGCTCCAATAATTTTTAAAAGCGTGCAGAATCCCTTTACTTCAAGGAGAATAATTTAATTTTTACTCCGTAATTTCCAAAAGAAAAAAATTTTGTTGTTAATTATTACAATGATTTTTAGAATCTCATATTATTTTTTTTTTTAATTACCAACAATTGTAA